ACCATGTCAATCGATGGAACTTGACAACTTCATCAACTGATATTTTCATTCATCTAAGTGTTCACCATTCAGGCGATGACCCGCGATTTCTAACTCCTACCGATTCTCAATAAAGAATTACCTCCATTCAAAACTATTGACAAGAATATGTCATACATGAAATTGGTGCGTTCCATTCACATAACGATTCCCCATTAATCAGCTGCTTGATGTCGACTGTTTATTATTTGTTGTTTACTCTGCTTACTTGGTAATTCAGACATCTATAAAACACAAAATAATTGAGCAAAGAATATTCTTTTCGATAAATCCCTCTTCCGACTCTACAATTATATATATGTTTATATACACAAAATATTCTAGATTAGTAGTTAATGACAATATCAACAACTAATTATAGAGCGCGCGCTTTTCGACTATTACGCTACATTTTGGTCATAAATAAAATATCTTATTACTCTAAAATTTTATGCAAAGTGTTTGCGGAAATTATCACAATTATTAACCTTTCGAACACTGAATCCAAAAAATACAATCTTATTGACAGATAATACACATAACTCACTGTTTGGATTTGTGGAATTTTTAAACATAAACACATCTATAATTGTATATATTGTTGGATTTATATGTTCAAGTTGCTCCAAGTCAGTGAGTTTATGGTTAAGATATCATTTTAGTTACATATACTGAACTATATTGCATGTTGTCTTATTGTATAGTTGTCGTCGCTTTTTGCCCTTTTTTCTGTGAACTGTTTCCTTTGTTGATGTTGTTCTCATTGTTTGTCCGTTTTTTTTTGATTTTGAGGGGAGCAACCCAAAAAGTTGCTTCTCTCTAAACTTTTACTTAATGTAATCATTCTTTTCTCAGGCGTGAGGCTAGCAACCCCACCCTGTAAACAAAAATTGCTACAGAATCTTCAGTATGCTGAACCTCCTTGCACCAAAAGAAAAAGTCTGTGTAGGAACATGGAACGTCCGAACTATGTACGAGACTGGAAAAGCTGCCCAGATCGCCAACGAGATGAAAAGATACGGAATACAAGTGCTGGGAATATGTGAGAGCAGATGGAATGGGAGTGGACTCACCAAATTGTCAACAGGTGAGTCAGTGATCTACTCCGGTCACCCAGAAGATAACCACACGCACACCGAGGGCGTGGCTATCATGATGTCACCAACGGCAACGAAAGCCCTGATACAATGGGAGGCGATTTCGTCCAGGATAATGACCGCCAGGTTCAACTCCAAAGGAAGGAAAGTGTCAATCATACAATGTTATGCACCCACAAACAACGCAGACCTCGAGAAGAAAGAAGAATTCTACAGGCAACTACAGGCAACAATGGACAATACTCCAGCTGGCGACATGAAAATACTAATGGGAGACATGAACGCCAAACTGGGACCAGACAATACGGGAAGGGAACTCATCATGGGTAGAGAAGCTCTAGGAGAAATGAATGAAAACGGAGAACTCTTCGCCGACTTCTGCGCCTTCAACGAACTGGTGATTGGTGGCAGTGTATACAAGCACAAAGATATCCACAAGGCTACATGGGTGTCACCAGACGGGCAAACCAAAAACCAAATCGACTTCATCTCAATCTCAAGGAAGTGGAGGCGCAGCCTACTGGACACAAAAGCAAGAAGAGGAGCAGACGTTGGCTCAGACCACTATCTCGTACAAGGGACAATCCAAATCAAATTAAAAGCTTTCAGGGAATCAGGAGCTGCAGATAGACCACAAGCCAAGTTCAACACTCAAAAGCTGAAGGACCAGGCTACAAAGGACATCTTCATTGCAAGCATAAAGGACAAAGTCGAGACACAAATCAACACTAGCGAAGAGGTCGGCGTTGAAAAGCACTGGAACAACTTGAAAACGGTGTGGAGCCAAACCTGCATAGAAATTCTAGGCAGAAAAAAGAGACAGGACAAACAGTGGCTCACTACGGACACTTGGAAACTAATAGAAGAGAGAAGGACAGTGAAGCAAAAGATTATCCAGTGCACGGACGAGCAACAAAAACAGGAGCTGAATGCAAGCTACAATACACTGAACAAAAGAGTGAAGAAAAGTGCCAGGGAAGACAAAAGAAAATATTATGAAACCATGGCAAACGAAGCAGAACAAGCTGCAGGCAAAGGAGACCTCGCCACACTCTACCAAACAACTAGGAACCTATCGGGCAAACGTTCGACACAGATTAAGCCAATAAAGGACGACAATGGAAAGTCAATCACCAAAGAGGTGGAACAGAGAAAGCACTGGGTTGAACACTTCAAAAGACTTCTAAATCGTCCGCCACCTACAACACGTCCAGCAATACCAACAACGGAAGCAGAACTACCAGTGAACACTGACCCCCCGACGAAATCAGAAGTCCTGAATGCAATCAAGATGCTTAAAACTGGGAAAACACCGGGACCAGATGGAATCCCAGCAGAGGCTTTGAAAATAGACCCAGAGACAACAGCGGACTTGATGACACCACTACTGGAGAAGGTGTGGAAAGAGGGCAAAGTACCCGAGGATTGGAAGAACAGTTACTTATTCAAACTTCCAAAGAAAGGAGACTTAAGTCAATGTAAAAACTGGCGTGGAATTATGCTTCTGTCCATTCCAAGCAAGATACTAAGTCGCATCATCCTGGAGAGAATCAAACAAGCCCTAGATGAAAAACTTCGTCCGGAACAGGCTGGATTCAGGAGAAACAAATCATGTATTGATCAAATCGCCACTCTACGGATCATCATTGAACAAAGCTTGGAATGGCAGTCACCTCTCTATCTCAACTTCATCGACTTTGAAAAGGCCTTCGACAGCGTCGATCGAGAGGTCATTTGGAAACTACTTCGCTACTACGGGGTCCCATCGACAATTATACACCTCATCCAACAGTTATACGACAATGCTGCATGCCAAGTAATCCACAACGGGAAACTTACGGAAGCCTTCGAAGTGAGGACGGGAGTGAGGCAAGGCTGTCTACTATCACCAATGATCTTCCTGATTGCAATTGATTGGATAATGCGACAGACAACGGCAACCAACGAGGGAACAGGCATAAAATGGACTGACACAAAAGACTTGGAGGATCTGGATTTCGCCGATGATATATGTCTGATTTCCCATAAACTGGAAGATATGCAAATGAAAAGTAACAAGTTGGCAGAAGAAGCATCAAAGATAGGACTTCACGTGAACATAGATAAAACAGAGATGATGAAGATTCCTTGCCAACATCAACAGCAACAACAGACCACAATAAGCATAAATGGGAAGAACCTGAAAGAAACAACCTCCTTCACCTACCTGGGAAGCATCGTCTCAACTACAGGCGGAACTGACGAAGACATCAAAGCCAGAATCGGAAAAGCAAGACAAGCTTTCATTACTCTCAAATCTGTGTGGAGGTCAACAGCAATCAGCATCAAAAATAAGATCCGGATTTTCAACTCCAATGTGAAGTCAGTGCTACTATACGGATCAGAGACTTGGCGAGTCATAAAGAGCATCTCAAACAAACTTCAAACCTTCATTAACAACTGTCTCCGCTCAATACTCAAGATCAGATGGCCAGAAAAGATCAGCAACAGGGATCTCTGGGAGCGAACCAATCAGGAACCGATTGTGAAACAAATAGGCAGAAAGAAATGGAGATGGATTGGCCATACGCTGAGGAAACCATCAAGTGACATCACTAGACAAGCCCTCGAGTGGAACCCGAAAGGGAGGCGGCGAGTTGGTCGTCCAAGGGTGACTTGGAGGAGGTCATGTGAAGAGGAGATGAAAGCATGTGGGCAGACCTGGAGCAGGGTGAAAAAGTTGTCAGAAAACCGAAGTCAATGGAGGTGCGCAGCTGAAGCCCTATGTTCCTCTAGGAACTAAAGGATACAATAATAATAATAATAATAATGAGTCATAAGAAAAAGGCACAAACAGCGAAGAAAATTTTCCCCTTTTCGACGATTCATTTTCATGAGCTGTACAATCATAATTATAATTAACACAGAAATTTTTCGACCAATCAGATACTGGTAAACTTTGTCCTTGAAAATTCTACTACATAATGTGAGGTGTAAGAAGGGATGACTAATTGTAAGTTGGCATGTCTTAACAAGTGTGAGATAATGACTAATTAATAAGCTAGTGTAGAATGGACAGGAAAGGCTAGTGGAAAGGCTATAAAGTAGTTTTGTATAAGATCTGTGTGAAAAAGCAATGTTATTAATAAACAGTAATAGAGTGGTAATAAAATGTGGATGATGGGATTAATAATAATAATAGTGAACTTACATTGTAAAAGAAAGGAACAAAATTATGGTAAGAAATTTACTCCTTTCTTTAAAATGTTCACTATTATTATTATTATTATTCCCATCATCCACATTTTATTACCACTCTATTACTGTTTATTAATAACATTGCTTTTTCACACAGATCTTATACAAAACTACTTTATAGCCTTTCCACTAGCCTTTCCTGTCCATTCTACACTAGCTTATTAATTAGTCATTATCTCACACTTGTTAAGACATGCCAACTTACAATTAGTCATCCCTTCTTACACCTCACATTATGTAGTAGATTTTCAAGGACAAAGTTTACCAGTATCTGATTGGTCGAAAAATTTCTGTGTTAATTATAATTATGATTGTACAGCTCATGAAAATGAATCGTCGAAAAGGGGAAAATTTTCTTCGCTGTTTGTGCCTTTTTCTTATGACTCAATATGGGAATATTTTGTTCATTGAAGGACACATGGATGAGGCGAAATTAGATTGTTGTTGATATTGTCATTAACTACTAATCTAGAATATTTTGTGTATATAAACGTATATATATATATATATATAATTGTAGAGACGGGAGAGGAATTTATCGAAAAGAATATTCTTTGCTCAATTATTTTGTGTTTTATACTTGGTAATTAGTAGACAAAACGAATGGTACTGATTATTATTATTGTTTTTTTCCCTTTTTTCATCTAGGCTGAAAGGTCTGGTGATTCACGGTTTTCATCGTTATTCTGTGAAGATCTGACTATATTCATTCAACTGATCGGCTCACGTTTATTATCCTCTTTTGGTAATACAACGCTACGTAATCCTTTAAATAAAAACAATAATTGTTCAGCGATGCCATTGTCAGCTACTACTGGTGGTTCCAGTTATACCAGTACTCCACTATGCATAATATCATCAAGTGGACAGTTGTTAAAGTCTGAGTCATCCGTTTCACTGAGTACTTCACAGACAAGTAAATGCGCCAGTGTAAATGAGTCGGTAACACCGAAAAATTCACTCGGAGAGTCAGTCAGCAGACAAAGCTTTCCTACAAAACATACCAGTAATGATGTTTTCAATTTTAATCGAATTGATGTTATTAATGCAATGGGAAAATTCTTAGGACATTTATTCAATTTAATGGATCGAGGATATGTGTTGAAACGTGTTCGTGATCTGCTGACATTTCTCGAAATCTCACCAAGAATGGTTAGTGTGCGCTTTTTTTTCCCTAATAAGGCTTGAAAGTCTATATTTTCTATACCAGTGATGTTGTTTTACAAAGTGGCACTGATAGTCTCACCCATACCCAAGCTTATCTCTTTCCAGGGCTCACTGCCCCGACTAGGAACGAAGTTTAGAAGTGCGTTGACCGTGAATCAAACCGGGACCGTCTGCGTGTTGGTTGGAGAGAGCATGCGTATAACATTCAAAATCTGGTCTAGTTTATGAGTTATAGGAAATAACTGAGCATTCGCTGTGCACACATCAAATTATCGTTCACTGTGATGTGTAAAGCTGTTTAATGGAAAGATGTCTGTCTGTCTGGATTCAACATAGAACTTGGCACCGAAGTGCAGCAGTTCGAGTTGCCACCTTCCAAATAGCACACAGAGGTAGACAAGAAGATGAGTGAAGAGAATCAATACAGTCTGACAAGTATAAGAGTGAAACAGAATGGGTAATGGTAGAAAGGAATATGAAAGATTACAGAGACTGAATACAACTGCGCCACTGACAACGATGGAAAGATGTGCTTATTAATCAGTCAATATGGAGTCACTGGCTGTTGATTTTACCTATGCAAGCCTCCTTGGGTTTTTATGTGTGTATGTATGTCTGTTGTTCAGCAAGCAATATGTATATTAAGGTCTGCCTGGTTCACGGGACCTCAGTAAATGGACCAGCATCTGGAAGTGTAATCCTCTGTTTTAAAATCCGTTGCTTTATCTAGTGACCCACAATAGGTAGTTAGTTACCTGAATTCTAGTAGGAAGTCGTAACCAGTAGGGTACAGCAGATCGGATGTGAAGACAAGTACTCACCACCGATGACATCGGCTAATAGTCACTCCGTATGACGAACTGTCAGAAGTTGGAATTCATAAAGTGGACATTGGATCGGGTCTCGGTTGCTACTGTGAATGGTCTACGAGCTTGCCTTATAATCGGAAGGCCTTGGGTTCGAACCCTAGCGTTGGTTGGGTACTTCTGAAGGGTCTCGAACTAGGACGAAACAGCTGTCTAGTGTCCCTATATTTTCCATTTATTCTCTAACCAATGTCACTTCATGATGAAATCCTGTAACCCATCAATCAAATCCCTACAAATCAAAACTTGAATAGGAACTGAAATATTTCTACGTCTCATTTTTGTCTGCATCTCAGGCACTTTACTAGTCTCTCTACTGTCTATCTGTGTCGCCTTCCCGTTGAGGTTTTTCTGTTCAAATATCAACTTGATTAAGCAGCTGACTGTATACAACTCAACTGAGTCGGGATACAGGCAATAATTTCTCACTCAGTTATATCAACGTTTTAAAACGTGATACCACTTACTCTCCACCATGTTACATATCTCTGGATGTGAATTGTTATAGTAACAGTAATAATAATAATAATAATAATAATAATAATAATAATAATAATAAAAGTGATCCAACTTTGTTGTACTTCCGTTACTTAAAAAAAGTCAACTATTGCACAACCAAACTAATTGAGCACACTAAACAGTAGTTTTTAACCTTCACGGGTTAATAGGTGTCATGAGATTAGACCGAATTATTTGTTATGGAATTTCTGTTATTTATTTATATATTTCCTCTATTTTGTATCGATAATTGTTTCTAGATTTTATTCCACACCTCTTACAAGTTCAATGTGGGGGAACGTACATCATTGTGTACATCTTTGTACACTGTCTTTTTGTATTGTGGGAGATGGTACCAACTACTATAGCAGTTAATTATTATTATTATTGTTTCCTTTAATTCCTAGAGGAACATAGGGCTTCAGCCACACGTCTTCATTGTGTTCGGTTCTTTGCTAAAGTTTTCACCTGGCTCCACGTCTGCCCACATGCTTTCAACTCCTATTCGCATGATCTCCTCAATGTCACCATCGCACTGACGACCAACTCGCCGATTCCCATTCGGCTTCCACTCGAGTGATGGTCTGGCGTGTGGTATCACTTGATGGTTTTCTCAGAGTATGGCCAGTCCATTTCCATTTCTTCCTGCATATTTAGTGCACAATCGGTTCCTGCTGGGTAGGTTGTTTCGCTCCCAGAGATCCCTGTTGGTGATCTTTTCTGACCGGCCATCTGATCTTGAGTATTGAGCGAAGGCATCTGTTGATGAAAGTCTGCAGTTTTCGAAGTAGTTGCCAAATCACCTCTCGATCGACGCTGTCGAAGGCCTTTCCAAAGTCGATGAAGTTGAAATAGAGAGGTGACTGCCGTTCTAAGCTTTGTTCAATGATGATTCGTAGAGTGGCGATTTGATCAATACATGACTTGTTTCTCCTGAATCCGGCCTGTTCCGGTCGAAGTTTTTGATCCAGGGCTTGTTTGATTCTCTCCAGGATGATGCGACTTAGTATCTTGCTTGGAATGGACAGAAGCATAATTCCACGACAGTTTTTACATTGACTTAAGTCTCCTTTCTTTGGTAGTTTGAATAAGTATCCGTTCTTCCAATCCTCGGCTACTTCGCCCTCTTTCCACACCTTCTCCAGCAGTGGCGTCATCAAGTCCGCTGTTGTCTCTGGGTCTATTTTCAAAGCTTCCGCTGGGATTCCATCTGGTCCTGGTGCTTTCCCAGCTTTTAGCATCTTGATGGCATTCAGGACTTCTGATTTCGTCGAAAGGGGGGGTCAATGTTCACTGGTAGTTCTGCTTCCGTTGTTGGTATTGTTGGGTGCGTTGTAGGTGGCGGACGATTTAGAAGTCTTTTGAAGTGTTCAGCCCAGTGCTTTCTCTGTTCCACCTCTTTGGTGATTGACTTTCCATTGTCGTCCTTTATTGGCTTAATCTGTGTCGAACTTTTGCCCGATAGATGCCTAGTTGTTTGGTAGAGTGTGGCGAGGTCTCCTTTGCCAGCACTGCAGCTTTTTCTGCTTCACTTCCCATGGCTTCATAATATTTCCTTTTGTCTTCCCTGGCACTCTTCCTCACTCTTTTGTTCAGTGTATTGTAGCTTGCATTCAGCTCCTGTTTTTGTTGCTCGTCAGTGCACTGGATAATCTTTTGTTTCACTGTCCTTCTCTCTTCTATTAGTTTCCAAGTGTCCGTAGTGAGCCACTGTTTGTCCTGTCTCTTTTTTCTGCCTAGAACGTCCATGCAGGTTTGACTCCACACCATTTTCAAGTTGTTCCAGTGCTTTTCGACGCTGACCTTTTCTCTGGTGTTCATTTGTGTCTCGGCTTTGTCCTTTATGCTTGCAATGAAGATGTTCTTTGTAGCCTGGTCCTTCAGCTTTTGAGTGTTGAACTTGACTTGTGGTCTATCTGCAGCTCCTGTTTCCCTGAAAGCTTTTAATTTGATTTGGATTGTACCTACTGCTATAGCAGTTAATTATATATATAGCGGTTACGATTCCTGGCTTTTCAAGCAGGCTGCACGGGAGCACTTTTGTGCGTCAGTGGTTCAGCGGTGGAACGCACGTCAACCATGCCTCACGTGGACGGGGTTATGATCCTCAGCCGACGCACCCCTTAACCTCACTAACCTGTGATATAGGCCGAAAAAGGGGAAGTTTGGGTGTGAGTTAGGCTAGCAACGTCATCCCATTAGAATAAACCCACTGCTGCCTAAACTCCGAAGCTCTTGCTTGAGGTTCTATGTTCCACTCGAAATGTAAATGAATAAGATAATAATAATTTTTTTTATTCCTTTACGTTCCCAGTGGAACATAGGGCTTCAATCTGGAACTCTGAAGTTTCGGTAGCAGTGGTGTATACTTTTAGGGGTCTGCTAGTCTCATGCCCAACCTTCCTTTTTAAGGAGGAAGTGTGTCTGTGGCTGAGGATCGAACCCCGAATCATATGCGTGGTCGGCGAGCATTCTACCGTTGTGCCGCCGACGCACTGAGTCCTGTTACATTTACTAAAAACTTGAACAATCTTACAGTATTCTCTACTTTCATTTTGACGAATATATATACATATATGAACACATTTGGTGTATAGTTGGTCGCACTGACCTCAAATTGCATTATTATTATTGCTTTATTTTTAGCCTGTTGATAAAATTGATCAATTGAATGAATTACGTTTTGAATTGTTACGTAGTATCTGTGAACATGAACAGTTTATCCCGTTGAATTTACCAATGCTAAATATATCAGATGGATCAAGTGAGTTTATGTATGTGTGTGTGTGTGTGTGTATGTGTGCATGTGAACTTTTACTAACGGATTACATACTTATTATGATTGTGATGCTTGTTGTTGTTGTTGAGGGCATTCTGGTTTAAATCTTTTTATAATGGAATGATTTGAGATTTTTGGTATATTGAGTCGGGTACTCTGACAAGATTTGCATCCCTGACACAGCGGTAGAATGCTCGCCAACCACGCCTCATGTGGTCGGGGGATCGATCCCCGGCCATAGACGCACTCCTTACTTTACCTCGCTAAGCCAGTAATTAAACTGTTGAAAGGGGAAGGTTGGGAACCAGGTTAGCAACCCCATCTCGTAAAAAATAAAAATCACTGCTACAGAAACTTCAGGCTTCTAGCTTGAAGCCCTATGTTCCACTGGGAACGTAAAGAAGTAAAAAAAAATAAACTCTGACAAGATTTGAATCAACTATCAATTCATGCATATTTTTTACTTTTATTACACATCACTCCGTACGCCATTGTTTTAATTTCGGCTATTATGCAAGTCATTGCTTTGACCTCCGACATCCTTAGATGCTATTAGCTGGTTTATGCGTTTATTATTATTATCGTTATTTCTTTTTGAGTAATTCTTCAGCTACTTATAAGTAGTAGTGTGAGTTCCAGCCACACTTTTCACAAAATATTAGTTGGCACACCAGTCTGCATATCCCGTTAGAGTATTCTGAAACTGAAACCTCCACTTATCCCATAAGTAACTGCTGACATTTATCAATATAAGATTGTTTTCATGCTTCATAAGGCTTCTTTTTCTAAAAAAAGTTCGATTATTCGTCTTGAAAATTCATAGATGAATTCATCATTTTTTACGTTTTAATTCGATTCGGACTTCCCTGTTGATTGACTGGAGATCCGGCCTCTGTTGACATGTCGGCTCCTTTAGCGATAGCTTTGACGATGTCTGATGATTTAACCTGACGTAATTTGGTGTCATTCTGGTCACCACGCACCTATCACTTCTGTCCAATCAACCAACGGAAAAATCCGATTCGATTTAAAATAATAACTGTTACAGCGTCGGTGGCACAGTGGTTAGGACGCTCGCCGACCATGCACATGGTCCAGGATTCGATCCCCGGCCGATGCACACGCAATATCTATGGTTGGCCTGCAAAAATTTGGGCTACCGATATCCACGCTGAAAATTCCATACTTGTACCAAAAATACAGTGTGGAATCAAACTGTAATCAAAAATAAATAAATAAGGATTTAAATAATAAGGTCAAATATATATATAGAAAGAAAATATTTCTAGTGAATAGCACACTACCCATCAGAGTTTATTCAGAAATGTATGTAGAACCATAGAAAATCTAAGATTTGTAATAAAAGTGACGAAAATAACGAAAAAACAGTCGTATAGAAATCAAAGTCTATGCAGTAGTTCCGTATAAAGAGGCAGTGTCGGAGGCCTTATGTAGAATTCTCAGTGAGGTTACAACTAGGGTGCCATTTGAACCAATCAGCCAACCAACTCCCTCAGAGATAAACCTTGTCGACTATAGGACCCGATAGGTCCAATTACGAAAAATAATAATATAATTTACTAAATACATCATGTAATGACTGTGAGGTCAAACTAGTGTTGGATCGGGATCAGTCAACTAGATTATTGGAAGATAAATAAAACTCAGCTAGACTTAGAAATGATTGACACTGCGTAGTTGAACAATCTAGAAAACAGCTTAACCATTGCACTGCTCTGCAGTCGCCTGCATGTAAAAGTATTAAAAGAATATATCTGATTGGACACTAAGTCAGTAACTGGTGTAATGCGTCTATTCCTTTCCTTGGTGCAGACTGAATTCTATTATCAGTCAAGTTTGCAACGTGGCTACCCATGCTAGTTGGTTCACTATCACAATGCACTGCACTGTGAATTGTTGATATTAGATAGTTGGAGGCAATCGACAATAGGTCAGTAGTAACGTCTCAGACTGCAGCACTGTTTGGTGCCGGTTCGAATCTCAGAAGGGACATGAATTCCTTCAAGGTTGGCGATACGCCTTTTAGACTGATGAGTGCCAACTAGCAAGAAACCTAGATCAAACAAGGCTTTTTGTGGCTGATTGCCTCTAACCATCTAATATTGGAAGAGTATAAAAAAGTAATGCAGTTAGTTGGAGAGAGAGAGAGAGAGGTTAATCACTGATAGTATGTTTCTCGATTCAACACCACATACCTGCAATTGGAATGACGCAACGCATATACTGGAGATATGGAAAGTAGCAACAAACAATAAGGGGAAGATGGAGAGGGAAAGAGAGAGAGAGAATGTAAATGTGCGTCGGTGGCACAGTGGTTAGGACTCTCGCCGACCATACACATGGTCCGGGGTTCGAGCCCACGCCGGCGCACACCTGATATCTATGGTTGGCCTGCAAAAATTTGGGCTACCGATATCCATGCTGAAAATTCCATACTTGTACCAAAAATACGGTGTGGAATCAAGCTGTAAATAAAAAAAAATAAAAAATAAAAAAAAAAATTGTGAAACCACATGACTAAAATGATGTGATTATGTATAGATATAATTTATGCTCGAAACCTTGTCATCCAGTTGTTAATACTGCATTATTGTAACGACGGAAGACAAGGACCAGACAACAGATCGTTTATTAAGGAAATCAACACATATTTATAGATTTTCATGCACATTATGATAGATTATTGTTAGCAGAAAAACACAGTCTTCTGATTGGTTGTTTCTCACAGAAAGTTAACCTTGCATCTCTTTCTGACTGTTTCTTCAATGTCAGATCATCTATATGTTAACTGTATCCGCCTACGCAAAGCCTTTGTTCTCATTTTTCTCACGACAAATATATTAGGGACATAAACATTGACGTAAATTACTGTCCACCGATTTTGACTAACAGCCAGCTCTCACCACTTTATCACTGTCTTATATTTAAAATAAATTTATCTGATATGAAATCATGAAAAAATTCGTGCGTCGGTGGCACAGCGGTAGAATGCTCGCCGACCATGCCTTATGTGGTTCGGGGTTCGATCCCTGGCCGGCGCACTCCTTTACCTCGCTAAGCCAGTGATAAAGCTGATAAAGAGGAAAGGTTGACCATGAGGCTAGCAACCCTATCCTGCAAAAATAAACATACAACTGCTACAGAAACTTCAAGCCGGCTCTAGCTTGAAGCCCCTTATGTTCCACTGGGAACTTGAAGGAATGAAGGGAAAAAAACACTGCCCAAGTTCTATACTTACATTAATCGATATTAACTCCTATGTTTAGTTTTACCTCTCGGCGAATCAACTTTGCAGTATAAGCGGTATTTGTTTTTAGCACAAAGTAGTTTTTGTCGGGTAGAACAGCGGAAGAAATCAAACGCCTAACATTACTAGTCGTATATTATTGTGTAAACGTCTTTTTTTATTATCATTGTTATTATTATTATTGTTATTATTGTAACAGTTGAGCAAGACTCTGTCAACAGACTATTTGCTCTAAACGTAGAAGATACTAAGGGTAAGTGTTTCTCGTGTGTGTATGTATGTATTGGCTTGTCTCCCTCATTTTGTTATTTTACTAATATTGATTATTCTCCTATACACACATTTATTGGATTGTATGTCTTATATGCTCATAATTAATCATGCATGGTCAACCGTATACAATTATTTTCTTCTTACTAACTAATCTTAAGATTATAAATATTCTTTTTGTTTTAATGGAAAGACAAGTCCTTTCAGTTAGTTAAAATAGTGTAAACTTGAGTTCGTAGAGCTTTCTTTTTATCAGATATGGTGAATTTGTGTAACAACAGAAGACAAGAGCCAGGCAACAGATCGTTTATTTAGGAAATCAACATATATTTATAGATTTTCATGTACATTATTATAGATTATTGTAAGCAAACAAACACAGTCTTCTGATTGGTGGTTTCTCTTTATGACCGTTTCTTGAAGTTCAGATTATCTATCTGCAAATTGTATCCGCCTACGCAAAGTCTGTTGTGATTGGTTGTTGAGTCAGTCTTTGTTCATATTTTTCTCACGACCAATATTGGGGACATGAATATTGACGTAAATTACCGTCTACGAATTTGGCTAGCAACCAACTCTCACCACAAAGTGTAAGGAGTACATTTAACTTGCAATAAGATTTCAAGGATAAACCTTAGAAACTCCTATCCCTAGTTAATTTCAGCTTCAATCAATCATTATCGATTTGTCTTCTGATCAATCTTCCCTAAAATAGTTTATTGAGGATATTTATTTTGGGTTCATTAAGATGAGCTCCTCAGCTCTCTGTTCCAGTGACAGTCAGTCAGTCTTCAAAATATCATTTTCACTGTCGTATTATAATGAAATGAATATCAGAACTTAACAAAATCTACATAGGATTGATATAAGTATAAAACTTGGGCACTGTGGTAGAGTATAACTCCATTATAGATAAGATTTTAATTTGATAAACTGTCACACAGTGTTTGTTATACAGTAATATTAACTGATGACCACGTTTCAAGCACTAACTATTGCCACTCATAATCATATCAAGTTGCTCACACAAATTTTTCCTTCATTTATATACATGTGTGGAATTGACCAGATAATTGAATAAAAATCAATGTACTTATGTAGTATGTTACTTTTGCTTTTGGCCTTTTTCGATCTTCCTAATGAATCTAGTAGTGATAACATAAATAAGAAAGGATATAAGTCATCTGCAGTTTTACCAAAGACGGAGGGAACATTTGAGACCCTATGGAGGATTCTTAATAAAGCAGGAATTCGAGTGGCATTTAAACCTAAAAAACTTACTCAGAGACAAGCTGTGTAGGCTAAAAGACCCGGTGGACCCGATTAAACAAAATAACAATTTACAAAATACCCTGCGATGACTGCGGGTTCGGTCAACTATATAGATCAAACTAGTAGATCGGGGGTAATCAGATTGTCGGAACATAAGAATTTAGTTAAGCTAAGAATGGTTGACCTCGAGAAGATAAGTAATTTAGAAAAAAGCTGAGCGATTGCACTGCATGCATTAACACACAATAGGGTGGGAGAGGATTAAAATTCTAAGAAGTAATCTATGTAGGTGGAGAGAGAGAGGTTGATTACTGAAACCTGACTGGTTCACTGAGTCTACACCCAACACATGCAACAGAAATAACTCAATGCAAATACCAGAGAGATATGGAAGATACTATTACCACCAGTCAGTCAAATCAAAGGAGGATAATAAATCATCTTAAAATTCTATTTCAATTCACGTACATCATAACATTCTAATAAATAATAATTTTTCCTTCACGTTCCCCAGTGGAACACAGGGCTTCGAGCTAGTAGCTTGAAATTTCGGTAGCAGAGTTTATTTTACAGGATGGGGTTGCTAGCCTCATGCCCAACCTTTGCTCTTTACCAGAATTATTTCTGGCTTAGACAGGTAAAGATGTGCGTCGGCCGGGGATCGAACCCCGGACCATGTGCATGGTCGGCGAGCGTCCTAACCGCTATACCACCGACACTAACATTCTAACAGGTTACTTATTATGACTATAAAAACTCTCGTCTTATTTCCCACCTAATTGTATTATTATTTCTGAATGTACATTATCCCATATTGATTTTTTATTTAAATATCTAGTCAGTTCCACATATGTATATAAATGAAGGAAAAAAGTCGTGTGAGTGAGTGACTTGATATGATTATGAGCAGCAGTAGTTTGTGCTCGAAACGTGGTCGGTCATCAGTTAATATTACTGTATAACAAACACTGTGTGTGACAGTTTATCAAAATAAAATCTTATTCAAAATGGAATTCTGCATAGGATGATTCCTAATAAGGTTGGAATTCAGATAACATTTAGACTGACTAACTCATTCGGAGACAGAGGTAATCAAAACAGCCGTGAATAAAGCTATGTATAATGATAATGATAATAGCTTTATTCCAAAACAGTACTTGCGATATAGAATGGAATTCTCAGCATTTTACTACATTATTGCATCCAGTTAGTAAATTAACAATAAAATAAAATTCTACATAGATTAAGGGTAATCTCAGTTAGTTTTGACAACAACATATTAGCATGTCGGTAGCAAAGCCGAAATTGAACAGAGTGTTTGAAGGTGCTAAAAAAAGTAGGTGCTAGCGTATTTTCTGGCGTAAGCAGAAGATAGAAACAAAGCTGCACATAAAAGAAAAAAGAGAGAGAGAGAGAAAAGGTAAAGAAAGAAAAACGTTGTGCCTATAAATGATATGAGCTGGAAGCAAGTTATGAAGTAGTATGATATGATTATCAACAAGAAATTGTGCTTGAAACGTTGTCATACAGTTAGTTGTTGCGACTATATATATATATATATAAATAAATAAATATATATATATATATATATATATATATAATCATTGTGTTTTATATCACAAATATAAAGCTGCAAATGCTCACTGTCGCTATATGAATACCATGTTTATTCGTCTGGGTTGTGTGTGCTTGCAAAAGTGAATGTGACTTAAAGTCACATGTATACAATGCTCAGAAATATTGGTAACAATCTTGGTGGTGGCGGTGTTGGTCGTGGTTTGTTACTGTGCATGATAATTGTGCATAATTAATTTATTCGATATCTTTGATATGATATATATATATATCCGTTTGTCGGCACACTATGTATGATTAATTTATCCACTAATTCAATAAATTAATGAATTGGTCAGCTAATCTGCCACCCTCTCACTTCCTTCCTCCCTCCCTCCCTCCCTCCTTCCTATATTTGTGATTATATCTCCCCCCCCCGCAATAGAACAGAATTGCTTTTATGTAATTTTAAATGATGTTGGACATTTTACATTTAGTCAGTGGACTACAGTTAGGGAAAAACACTGATTCCAATATTATAAATTATTTAAATTAATCCCAGTGTGTTAAGAAAATCAAAACAAGATCTGTTTTCTGAACGTTTCTCCGTGTAAGCCACAGCTTCTTCAGCAGATTTATTCGGATTATTATTAATATTAATCATCAAAATACATAGTCAAAAATTTTTACAAGATGTAAAGATGTACAGCAACTATTCTGCTGTTGTTTTTTTACTTTTATTTTTTTTCGCCTTTCTTCCTTCTTGTCAAGATTTAGGTGTTGAAATTTCTCTGACTGATCAATTTTGTCAACAACACTTTTTGATTGGAGTTCTGTTAAGCCAACTTAGCTGTCTATTATCCGGTTGTATAAACACGGGTAGTTGGGCACTACTTAAGTCAACATCACAGTGTTATCGACAACCGATTATCATTTTGCGTAATCTATTAATTAAGCATTGCCTGGATCCACGTTATCATAGTTCTAAGGCAATTCAAGCAAGAATTTGTTCATTGTATCTACCGTTAGTTCGTTTAATGTTGGATTATTATGATTCACTTGGACCTCCAGGTAATTATTAAGTAGAATAATATATTTTCATGTATTGTTTTTAGTTTATTTTTTTTCAGCTTTTATCATAACAATAATTATCTGAATCGTGTAATGTTGTATTTCCGCGGACAACACTTTTCGAACAATCTCATCACAGACGGACTTGTTATAGGAATGTGTATATATGAAATTAATAAAGAGGTAAGAGGTGAGAAAATAGACTACTTAGGTTAAATTAAAAGGACTATATTGAAGGTCAGAATAACAATATGAAGATCACTAAACCGAATAGCAGAGGTAATAGTACATCTACCCTGGGTGGTATCAAAACAAACTTTACCGAGGAAGGTAGTTTAGTGTGATGACGGATTGTTGGCTTGAACGCGTAAAAGAGGTTTAAAGCAAGAAAGAAAGTTGACACAAACTCTGGTTGATAACAATTATCCAGACAAGTTCATCAGGAGATACAAAGGGGTCAGTGGAACACCAAGACCCACTCCACAACTCGCCCCTAAGAAAGACGTGTACATCACAAGCTATCCTATATGGGGAATCATAGCAGCTTGATAACTAGGCAAAGATTGAACTCTGCTGTGGTTAAAAAGACTTTCTATACAGCGAATATCATAATAATTGAGAACGTGAAGCCAATATATCTATCCATCTAAGCCCTTCGAACATGCGAAAAATGACGTCCCATCCCACTGTATTTACCAATTTGAATGTACGTGTAGACAGTCATACACAGAAGGGAGGACTCGTTGATCTCTGCAAGTAAGGCCTGGCTTCAGAGCACATTCGAAAATGGCTCCAGAAAGAAATAGAATTCTCAACCCATTAATGGTGAGAACAGGAGACCTAGCTCCTAGCTCAATTGCGAAACATATTATAGAGACAGGGCTTAAAATCGATGTTAACAGATCTTTTGAACCTATCTATAAAACGTGTTTGGAGCGTTTCCTAAAGATTTTAGAAGCCCTAGCTGGTAATTAGAAAGTTTAAATCACCTTTATACGTTCAAAGCAACAATTCGTCATCATATTAAACCTTCCTTGGTAAATTTTGTTTTGATACCATAGCAGATGTACTATTACCTCTGCTATATGGTTTAGTGATCTTTATATTGTTATTTTGGCCTTCAATATATCCTTTTAACTTGACCTAAATTTATTTTCTCATCTCTTACCTCTTTATTAATTTCATATTTGACAAGTCCGTGTGTTTGATCAGATTGTTCGAAATGTGTTGTGAGCGCAAATACAACATTACACGATTTAGACAAATTACGTCTTCGGCGAAGTTAAACTTTCGACATCACTAACTACCAGTCAGCGAATTATCCATTGAGATTCACGAACGATGTCGAATTATCCAATGAGGCTCACGAACGTAGTTCAATGTTGTATAACGCTTGATTCATTTCAAATGCGTGCCCTTACAAGGTTACGCTTGCAATTCGAGGGGGATAGTGTTTTCCAGTATTGCCTGGATTTAGGGTTGCTCCAGAAGGGGCAAACTTGTTCGTGTGGTTGTATCATGACTTTAAAAAGCTATAGCAGATCAACTGATGGATTTGTTCACCGTTGTGCTATATGTTTGAAGCGTGCTAGCATTAGAGAGGGTAGGCTGATTGTTTTAATATTTCGTAGGAACTTTTTTCGCTAGGTCGAATCTCTTCCTAACCCAGATTTTGTATATCTGCAACTACTGGGTGTTGAAACGGCCGGTTAGAGCAGCAGCAGCCGAGACGGAGAATAGCCTCGTCTCAACAGTTCAGTGGTACCAGTATTGCAGAGACATCGCATCATGGAAAATGGAGAAAATCACTTGTTTGCTGGGTGGAGAAGACGTTATCGTGCATGTCGATGAAACAGTGCTGGTACAAAAGAAAGGATTTTGGGGCAGATTGAAAAATAGGATAAGGGCTATAAATGGATCTCAAAAGGATCTCATTTATAGTCATTTAGATGAATATATGTACAGGATGTTGTGTAACTTCTCCATTGAAAGTCCCATGCTAAACTGGGAGATGTTTCTCTCACATGTTCGAGGAAGATATCTCATGTAACTTTTTTATTATCTATTTTATGCTTTTTTTTCTATAAATATACATTTCCATTTATCATATATGCCTCTTTAATGTGATTGGTCCGTTCAAGGTCGTTGGCTGATTGGTTGTTAGTGGTGTCTAAAGTTTAACTTTGCCACGTCTTCTTATTGCTTTATTTAAATTCGTAAAGGGAACTAATTGTTTTGAAAACAATAATTATAACAATTATTATTACTGTTTTCTTGGGTTTCGAGTGGAACACACGGCTTCAACAGGACATATCCACTTTGTTCTCTATTCTGCAGTCCTCTTCAGCTGGCCTCGTGATTGCCCACAGGTTTTCATCTCCTCTTTTCATGATCTCTTCAATGACAAGCGTGGATACATACATGCCCAGCTCATTGTTTCTCACTCGACTTCCACTCGAACGATGGTTTGGCATGCGATGTCGTTCGATAGTCTCCTTGGCGTATGCCTGATCCATTCTCATTTTCTTTGAAATGTTTGTTGGGCAATAGGATCTTGGATAGTTTCGTTTTCAGATTTCCATGTTGCTAATTATTTATGGCCAGCCATTTGATCTTCAATATGCAGCCAACGAAGTTAGCAGTTGTTGACAAAAGTCTGCTGTAGCTTCTTAGAAATTCTTTTCATGGCACGTTGGCCAATTCTCTAACCCATATATAGAAGTGACTAACTGCATTTACATTGGCTCAGAAAATCCGAATCTTTTGCTTTGTGCTGGGGAGTCAAGAAAATTTTCAAACCGATTTCATAGTGATGAAGGTGTGACTCCTTTTTCTGATTTTGGCTAGCTTTGATACCTTCATCTGAGACGACTGCCTGTATTTTAAACGTTGCTTCCTAGATAAGTGAAGGAAGTAACCTCTGTTAAATCTCTCCCATTGATGGGAGACCTGTCTTCACTCCCTCCCTCTTCTACCAGTTTGTTGGGTTTCACCTGCAAGTCTTCGAGTATGTGTGACATTAGAAATAAATCATCTGAGAGGTTCAGTTCTTCTACAGTCTTCCTATAGGTCTAACGTATTCCTGTCTTCTCAATCCCTGTGAACAGTCTGACACATAACCCAGTGCCCACCACAATTAGGAATATCATCGGTAATGGTAGACAGCCTGGTGTTACTCCATTCCGTCTTCACTTCAAAGGCTTCGCTCAGTATTCTGTTGCGCATCAGACTACTTGACATGTGGCATTGTCATTTAACAAGCTGTTGAATGCTAGTCGCTGAAGATTCGGGCTCTCCGTATTGTGAAAATAGCTTCCGAATTACTTCGCGGTCAACTCTGTCGAAGGCTTTATCAAAGGCGATGAAGTTGAGGTAGATATTTGGCTGCCATTCTATGCTTTATTCAATGACGATGCGTAGAGTTGCAATTTGATCCGCACACGATTTGCCATTCTTTGCCTTGATTCCTCTTTCTTCCTAGAACGGTTGTACACGTGTCTTTGAACGCTATCCTCAGAGAGTTGCAATGTTCTTCCACACAGCTTTTGTCAGTGATATCTCTGGGTGTCTTCGACTTTTCTCTGATATCTGCAGTAAACGTATCCCTTGTAGTTTTGTTCTTTCGTTTCTGGGTGTTGAACTTGGCTTGTAGTCTGTTTCCAGTGGTTTTGAAGGCTTTCATCTCGATCTTGTAGGTTCCTTGAACTAGACGATGGTCTCAACCCACATTTACACCCCTACTCGACTTTGTGTTCAGCAGACTGTCTTTTATCATATCAACATTTGCCTGTCTACTCTCAGTATATCTTAAGATTTGGGATAAGGTGATTCACTTGGAAGCGTAAAAAGTCTGGACAGTTCTGAAATATGTCACTTCTGTCCATTCCCTTTCAGTTTTTTTTTGTATTATTGAAAATCTATTAAGAACTAATCGAATGAATCAGAGAAAAAAATAGTTACTCTCGCCTAGATGTTATCATTTTACAGGCATAGACACAGAATGAGTATTTTTGCCCATTTGAGAAATCACCAACCAGCAGCTTGCATGAAAGCAGACCTATCAATGAGCGTCTTTATGGTTCACTATACTGTTGGAATCCAATGGTCTGTATTTGCCAACGTATATATGACTTCTTTATGTAGACTAATGATCATTCAGTATTCTGTGAGAACAAATGTTCCCAAACTTATGGCTCCTAAAGAAGTGTTGAAACGTATCAGGCGAGAAATATGAATGTGATCTCTAGAAATACTTATTGATTCAACTGAATTTAATCTGAACTGATGGCAATGACTTACCAAATCTGCGCATTAGAAATGCACACCACTTGTGTAGAATTAAAAACTTATGTAAATTGAAGGCTTTCGAATGATTGCATGGTAGCTCTCTTTGTGAATACCATTAATACATATGATGTCGGTGGCTTAACGGTGGAACGCTCGCCAGACACACCTCACCTTGTCTAGGGATCGATCCCCAGTCACACCACTGCGACCGCAACTTCCAAAAACTCTCTAACTAAAATAGGTACATTTCACTGGCGGGGAACGTAAAGGAATTAAATAACTAATAAATTGCAATTAATAGTGTTCTCTGAGCTGGTTGGTTTAGTTGAGAATTTCTATAGTTTGGTTTGTAAGGATTAGTTATGTTTTACGAGTTGATCACGGATTGATATCAGTTAGAGAACCATTGAACACCCGCCAGAGGGAGTACTGGACATCTGCTGTTTCATCCTAGTTTGGGAATCATCGGCAGCACGCACCCACTGGGATTCGAACCCGGGACCTTCCGGTTACAAGGCAAGCTCGTATACCATTCAGCCACTGGGACCCGATTCAATGGCTCGTGAATTCTAACTTCTTAGTTGAGAATTCCATTCTGTATCACATGTACTGTTTTGGAATAAAGCAAATTATTATTATTAGTTGCGGAGCTTTTGTCGTCCTTTTGGACAACATCTTCAGCGCAAAATAGATATAGCACACAAGCCAGTGAAATCGCTTAATTCGATATTATGCAAACCAAAAGATCCAACAGAAAAAGGAGATAAAATTAATACCATTTACAAAATAAACTGTATGAACTGTTACAGCCATTACGTCGGCCAAAGTGGGTGTCCCCTTCGAATAAGAATCCAAATCAGCCGTGAAAAGACACGATATATGTTGTTTAGTATCAATGCATGTAGACAATTATGGACATCAATTTGATTGGGATAATGTCGAAATCTTAGACAGTGGAAACATCAAAAGTGCCAGGGAATTCCTAGAAACCTAGTACTCAAGCGAAGCAGCAATTAACAAACATGTTATTATAGACCAAATCCACCAACTAATAAAAAGTAAATCATGTGACCAGAAAGTTTAAAATCCAAGTCAATAGAAAATGGTCAATATATATGTAAAGATGGTTACCGGGAGACGCAATTCTATCACTCATGAAAAAGAATTTAAATCATTTCACTTTATGCTAAATATTGCGCTGAAAGGGAGGGGATGTTGTCCAGCAGGGGGACGACGAAAGCTCCGCAACTAAACCAACCAACTCAGAGAACACTATTAATTGCAAATCATCCACCTGAGTTACAAATCTTCTCTATTATTTCATAACTAATAATTATTTAGAATATTGAATACAGGAGAGGTTAATACCTCAAAACGCCTTGGTACTGAAACCCGCTCTAAGCTGCATTTCAACACAAATGAATAGTGAGTCTTGTCAATGAAATTTCTAAATTAACCCTAAGGGATTCGAACAGGCTGTTATGTACACATGGAGTTAGGCAGTCAAAGAGTCCGTCAATAAGTTAAAGTTTTCCCTTGGATACTGTTCTATAACGCTTAGTAACAAACTGTTTCTTTCTAAAATAATTTTTATCTCAATGTTAATCCTTTCTTCTTCTTTTTTTCCTACGCGTATATTTATGTCTTTGTAAATAAAGGTGGTGCTCTTCAAACCGCAGTTATCGCAGCTGCTGTACGTCGAGATTATGAAGAGTCCTTATTAACTACTGATGGAAATAGTAATTCAGGTACTTTCTCTCGTCGTCATCAACGTTCTTTTGATAAGTCGAATAAAACTGGTAAATCTAACGTATTCCCCAACAATAATAATACTACTACTACTAATACAATAACTAGTAATAGTACTATATGCCATAGACCACAAAGTATGATTAGTGATTATTCCTTAGAAGCATTGAATAACTGTGAAGGAAATGCACAAATAACAAATTCTGACAGCGGATCATTTACTTCATCATCATTATCATCAACACACAGTGGAAGTACTGTATCCTTTATCCAATCAGTATCGAATTCAGGTTTTAGTAGTCATGGGAAGTCATCACCATCGAACACTAGTGATGGTGGCCAGTCAAATGCTTCAGCCAATTCTCCTTCTACAGCTGCTGCTGCTGCTTATCTAACTAAAGATGGCAAAGTTCAACAGCATATCTTAGATCAAATAGCCGGTGTTAATCGAGGTAAGAATTATTTTTTTATACAAGGCATAATCATCAGTTTAGAGCAATTGGCTCTGTCTATGATGTTTGACAGCATAAAAGGAAGTGCTTTGTCTGAGACGTGTAATTTGTTAGCGCAACATATATCGTAGAATATTATGATTTCATACGCGATTTTCATAGGCGTTTATGACAAAAGTTATCAGAGAATAAAAGGTTAAAATTAAAATTTATAGTTTTCAAGGCAAAGTTCAACAATAGCGTCCCAAGGGATGCGAACACACGGGTGTCCTTGAGCCGACCAATCAAAAAAATGAGGAATTTTCGCATGAAAAATGACGTATATTTACAAGAAAATGCGTGAAAGCACATTAAAAAAGTTTATCTCTCTCTGACATGACTTAAAAATACGTCCAAGCTATAATGAGGAGTTTCGGTTGCTAAGTTAGACTAGTTTTTGTACATGTATTCACCAAGGTGACTGAAGATGAGCTATTTTTGTGAGCCGTTCATCTCTCCTATCCTGTTGTGCGGTCTTCCTCAAAGCTCTCGCTTGAATTGCTATTGTTTCCAGTAAGACGATCGACGACTACTTATCAGCAAACTGTGGGTAAGGGAACACTAAAATGAATGACTTAACCTCTAAATCTATCCCTAGTCGTAACCCTTACCTTAATCCTAATCCTAATTACAACCCTTATCCTACCCGTAAACCTAACCCTAATCCTAATTATGATCCTAACCCTAACCCTTACACCAATACTTACCTTAACCCTAATTCTAACACTAGCGAGCTATTTACACACTGTCGAAACAGTACTTAAAAACGAGATCTGAGTGAAATTTCCTGGTTAGTTGGTGAATAGCGTTGATATCTCAGCAGTGATAATGACAGGTGCCGTCAGCCAACGACTAGCATGCGTTTAACGTTATTGGAGCGTTCGCACTTATGGGACGCTATTGTTGAACTTCTCCGTTTTCAAAATCACTGATGAAATCAAAATAAATAAATAAATGTTGAAACATAAGCTCAACCCGTGATTTCAATGGAATTTCAATGTAATAATATGCTTTCGACTCTATAATGATAATTATGGCTTCAATTAGCTTGATTATTAGTTCCAGATCATGACCTGTTATTGATATAAGGGTAAAACTTGGGCACTGTCTTAGAGTATAACTCTATTATAGATAAGATTTTATTTTGATAAATCACGCAGTGTTATACAGTAATACTAACTGATGACCATGTTTCAAGCACAAATTATGACTGTTCATAATCATATCAAGTCACTCACAAATTTTTACTTCATTTATATACATGAGTGAAGTTGATTGGGCATTTGAATAAAATCAGTAATATTGTAACAACAGAAGACAAGAGCCAGGCAACAGATCATTTATTAAGGAAATCAACACCTATTCATATATTTTCATATACACTATTAGAGATTATTGTTAGCAGAAAAACACAGTCTTCTGATTGGTTGTTTCTCACAGAAAGTTAATCCCTCATCTCCTTGTGGTTGTTTCTTGAATGTCAGATCATCTATATGTTAACTGTATTCGCCTACGCAAAGTGTGTTGTGGTTGTTTGTTGAATCAGTCTTCGTTCATATATTCTCACGACCGATATTTGGGACATACACATTGACGTAAATTAATGTCTACCAATTTGGCTAGCAGCCAGCTCTCACCACAATATAAGATAAAGTACATTCAGAAATAATAATATTAGTGTTATCAATCAAATACAATCAGATGAGAAATAAGATGTTTTTTACAGTAAAAATAAATAACTTGTTTGGATGTTATAATGTGAATTGAAATACATTTTAGGATTATTTATTATCCTTTGATTTGACTGGTGGTAATACTATCTTCCATATCTCTGGTATTTGCGTTAATTCATTTCTGTTGCGTGTTATGGGTATATAGACTCGATGAACCAGACAGGATTCAGTAATCAAACTCTCTTTCCACCTACTTATCTTACTTTTTAGAATTTTGAATCTTGGAGGATTTAATCGTGGGCTGACATCAGTTAGAGAACCATTGGAAAACCTGGAGTACTGGACAGCTATTTCGTCCTAGTTTGGGACTCTTCAGCAGTACGCAACCACCGGGATTCGAAACCAGGACCTTCTGGTTACAAGGCGAGCTCGTGGACCATTGAGCCACTGGGACCCGATCCAATGGTCCTTGAATTCTAACTTCTGCCAGTTCACGACATAGCGCGACCACTTCGCAATGTCTTCTTCGATGAGTTACTGACGCATATTCAACCTGCTGTACCCTACTGGTCACGGCTTCTCACTAGAACCCCAGGTTAACTGCCTGAATAGGGCCAGTCACTAGTGAGCATCAGATTAATTTTCCATGCAATCAAACAAAATCCCTACAAAACCAATACTTGAAAATTTTGACTCTGTCCCACCCGCCCTATTGTGTGTCTGCGTGTTAGTGCATACAGTATAATTCTTGAGTTCTTGTCTAAATTATTTATCTTCGTGGGGTCAACCATGCTGACCTTAGCTAAATTTTTATGTTCTGATAATCTCACTACTCCTGCTTGATCTACTAGTTTGACCTATGTAGTTGACCTGAATCACAGTCATTGCAAGATATTTTGTAAATTATATTATTCTGCTTAATTGCATCCACCGTGTCTTTTAGCCTTTTAGTCTCATTTCCCATCTGATTGTATTTGATTGATAACACTAATACTAATACTATTTCTGAATATACTTTATTTTATATTACTGATTTCATTCAAATGTGTAATCAACTTTAATCATGTATATAAATGAAGTAAAAATATGATATGATTATGAGTGGCAATAGTTAGAGCTCAAAACGTGGTCGCCAGTTAATATTACTGTATAACACTGTGGTTTATCAAAATAAAATCTAATCTATAATGGCACAATATGACCTGTCTCTATTTCCACGGTCATGAAGATAATGTTATCTGATAGAATGCAAGTAGTACATGTAAATTGAGTTATTTAACGTGAATTAATAAGCTCCGTCTTTTACTATGAGTTCATCTGCCCAGTGTGTTGTACAGAATGCTACCCTAAATCTTTGGTAGTTAAACTATGACAGTAATATACATATACAAGTGTTGGTTTTCAGGGATTTGATTGGTTACAGAATTTCATCATGAGCCATGACATCGGTTAGAGAATCATTGGAAAACCAGCACTGGAGTACTTGATATTTGTTACAACTCTTCTCTTTGGGACCCATCGGCAGTACCTACCCACCGTCAAAGTTCGAAACCAGGATCTCTCAATTACAAGGCGAGTTCATAGACCATTAAACCACTGAGATGTGATCCAGTGGCCTGCCCATGGATCCCAACTTCTGCCAATAATTCACGATATAGTGCGACTGACACTAGCCAATGTCATCGGTGGTGGCGAGTATTTTTCTATACACTCTACTTGTTTGGGGGACCCCACTGCTCACGATCCCCTAGTGGGTTCGAATCCTGGTGAGTACAACTGTCCCGTACTCCCTGGTGGTTTTATAATGGTTCTGTAGCCAATGTCAGCTCATAATGTAGCATACATATCTTTCTTTTCAATTAGCGGAATTACTGCCGCTTCACTTACGGACAGCATGGCAAGGAACTGAATCCTAAGATCCTATTACTTCCGAAGACGCTCCTAATCGACTTTAATTCGGAAACACAATGGATGATAAGAAATTTTATTCTTCGATTGTTGAAATCAATATTCTGTACGAAGTCTTTGCACAAATGTTTTTACAAGGAATGTATTGTACTTTTATTCGTATTCTTTCGTCTTCTCCTGACTTGTACATGATCGAATCACTCGTGCCTTCGAATTGCCCACCGATGGCGACCAAAATCAATAAGCAAACGTTCAATGTTCATAATCATTGACACAATATATATTATGCTTCCATACAGTTTATCCATCGTTATATGCCGTTGCATGTACGCATATTAGAGGTGAATTCAGATTGGTAACTTTATTTGGTCGTATGAATCCAGTATTAGAATTATCGTTTTCGGAACATGCTTCTAGTGCTTTGTAGCTTTCACATAGTTTTGATATCACTAAATAGTTTGATTACTTAGTAAGCCACGCATGTGGTTCGGGGGTTCGATTCTCCAACTACAGACACACTCCTACCTTTACTTCGCTAAGCCAGTAATAAGACGACTGGTAAAGAGACAAGGTTGGGCATCCGGCTGTTTAGCAACCCCACCCTGAAGCTTGAAGCCCTATGTTCCACTGGGAACATGATGGAATAAAAGATAATTTTAAAGAAAATTTAATGATCCTAGATTCATATTCTACTACACTATCATTAACTTTCACTTCTCAAGTTATTCTCAAACTAGAATGAGGCGTGATGGTTTAAGGCTGGTTTGTGTTTAGTGGGTCCCTACCGAGAAGTTTCCTAAAATCTTTTTACAGGATTGTTTCCATGCCAAAAAACCACAAATTGACTACTCTTCAGACTAAATTTGAATAGTTAGGTAGGGAATATAACTCATTTCATAAGATAGGTGAACTGGTAATCATTGAAGTGTTCGAAACATAATGTCACTTTTTTGTGTTCTTGGACAAGGCTAACTGAAGTAGAATTAATGTGGAAAAAGTTAGGTGCTCAATGCCATAGCCTATTAACTTGCAATATGAGGCATGTAAATATATTACATGGAGGATTTCATCATGAGCTGACATCAGTTAGAGAACCACTGGAAAACCTGCGAGTACTAGACAGCTGTTTCACCTGGCCTAGTTTAGGACTCTTCCACAGCAGTACGCACCCACCGCCAGCGGGGTTCGAACCCAGGACCTTCTGGTTATAAGGCGAGCGAGCTCGTAGACCATTGAGCCACTGGGACCTGATCCATGCAATCAAACAAAAATCCCTACAAAATCAATACCTGAAAATTCATCTGATGCTTACTAGCGACTGGCTCTATTCAGGCAGATAACGTGGGGTTCTAGTGGGAATCTGTCACCAGTAGGGTACAGGAGGTTAAATATGCGGCAGTAACTCATCGAAGAAGACATTGCGAAATGGTCGCGTTATGTTGTGAATTGACAGAAGTTAGAATTCATGGACTAACCATTGGATCGGGTCCCAGTGGTTGCTGAGTGGTTTACTAGCTCGCCAGCCTTGTAACCAGAAGGTCATGGGTGTGTACTGCTGAAGAGTCCCAAACTAGGCTGACGAAACAGCCGTCCAGTACTCCCAGGTTTCCCAATAGTTCTCTAACTGATGTCAGCTCATGACGAAATCCTCCATGCAATCAAACAAAAATCCTTACAAAACCAATACCTGGAAAATGCATGTAAATATAACTTTACGGTGTTTTTTGCGCCTAAGAATCAACCTGTCTTGAATTCAGTGATTAGTTAATTAATTAATTGGTTTTCAGCCCTCACCTTCAAAACTTAGATATCGTGTTTCTAACATCTTTAACCCCTTAATTTCAACCCCCTTACATCCTATACCTAGAACTGATTAACTTAAAATAACCACTTGATTGGTAAAAATTATTGAGCCGATGATACGGAACTAACTGAAAAGAAATGCATATTTCTTCTCTCAATCTGTTGTTGTTGTGTGTGTGTGTTTTTTGTCGTAAAATTTTATGTTAATTTTTCTATTTCATAATTAAGGTGGTGCTCTTCAACAACGCATTCACAAGAATAATCGTCTACAAGGCGGCAATTCTTCAATATTACCACCGTCGGCAGCATCATCGAGAGGAATAGGAATGGAAGAAATGCCTCCTCATAATGATAATAATAATAATCAATATCCACGTTCACATTCTATTCAGTCTGTAGACGGTTCACAGAATAGTTTTCGCCTCTCCAGTCATGCAAGTAGTAGTACGCTTACACTGACTGGTGTAGGTATGGAAAATAACAACAATAATGTTATGTTGAATGGAGGCATGAATAGTCTAGATGATGACTACCTTCATAATGATATAATGCAGTATAAAAGTGGTGAAAATTATAAAAATCATCATCAAGAATTATCACCGACATCATCAGCTTTAGACATGAATTTACAAAGTAAGTACACTTGTACATTGTTACTTTTTTCTTATCGATAAATATTTGAATGTAAGATTTGAACATTATGAAAGTTGAGACATTTTTATCAAAAATTAAATAGTACAGTTTTGGTTTTGCAGGGATTTGATTTCGTTGGTTACTGGAGCTGACATCGGTTAGGGAATCACCAGAAAACCTTACAGTATTGGATACCTTCCTCGTCCTAGTTTGGGACTCTTCGGAAGTACGCATCTATCGCCAGGGTTCAAACCCGCAGCCTCCTGGTTACAAGGGGAGTTCGTAGACCATTCGACAGCCAATTGAGGCCTATTCAAAATTTTGCCTCTATAATTCACAATGTAGTGTGACTAGCACTAGCCAGTGTCATTGGTGGCAAGTATTTATCCTCACACCTGACCTGTTGGTGGTGTATCCCACTAGCCATGACTTCTCACTAGAGTCCAGTTAACTACCTACTCGAATAGGGACAGTCTGTACTGGGTATTAAGTATTGGTTTGCAGAGATTTGATTTGATTGGTTAGCGGATTTCATCATGAGCTGAAATAGGTTAGGGAACTATTGGAAAACTTGGGAATAGCTGTACAGGACTCTTCAAGATTAGGCACCCAGTATTCTCTCTAAACCAATTGACAATAAATCAGGGATGTGAATTAGAAGCAGAATTCTGTTGTGGTAAATCATCTCTGTTATCGTAAGGAGATATTCTGTCACACAATTGTCTCAGTCTGCCAACCATAAAATGGCATAAAGACTAAATTCCCTATTCAAGCTGCAACTAGCAGTTTTCTGCAAAGCATTTCTTATGCAGATTAGAAATCCATTCACAATTGTTTTTATTTTTGAGGGTACTTAACCAGGCAACAGGAATACACATCACTTATATTACTGCATAAGTACAATGTTATCGGAGATGTACAGAGATATGCCTTGTATGAAAAGACGTATAATCTGAATCTGTTTTATCCAGAGATTATGGGTCATTTGGCCTAAATAGTCAGTTTTTAGTTGTTCAGTCTCAGCTGCGGATCGTAGTGCTACCCACGCTTCCATCTGGGTAAATTTTTTTTATTTTCCTGCACGTTCCCAGTGGAGCATAGGGCTCCAAGCTAGATGCTTGAAGTTTCTGTAGCAGTGGTGATTACTTTTACAGGATGCGGGTTGCTAGCCTCATGCCAAACCTTTTTTCTTCACCAGTCTCACTACTGGCTTAGCGAGGTAAAGGAGTGCGCCGGCCGGGGATCGAACCCCGGACCATGTGCATGGTCGGCGAGCGTCCTAACCGCTATGCCACCGACGCACGTTCTGGGTAAATAGATAATATTATCAACTCTCACATAGCAAGTGTGTGCGTTCTGGGTAAACTGAGCATAATTTTTAGCCAGGTTGCAATCAGTGTAATGTAGGAAACTGTAGTCATATTGTGGCAGGTATAAAACCATTTAGTCGACTTATATTTCTCTGACATTGAAATATATTGGGATCATAAATACGCTGAAAAGTTGTTTCACAAAAGCACTTATTTCGAGAAATGTCTGTATAGATTGGCGACTGAAAATCAGTGTAATACTGTAACTCAAATTCACAATCTGCAAATTGGTTAGCGATTTGCAATTTACATACAGTTTGAGTGGTGAAATTTCACCATGGTGTTGAAAACCTTTGAAAACCAAGTTATTCCGATCACAATTCGTGATCTGCTTGATATCGTCATAAATGGTTATCAGGAAAGAAAGAAAGGAAGCAAGAAAATTTGCATAAAACTATACATACTACTGATTGACTTAGATGAGCAGCTGCATACCACTCTGCTGGCTATTAAAAGTAGGCAGCTAGCCACAATCGAGTGGTTTGAACTGGTTCTACCCACTGCTAAACTGACTCAAACCGGGTACACCGCTGATGAACTGGACCCCAAACGACAAGCGAAATGGCTGTCCAGTTTTTAGGTTACCTTATCTGGCTGGTTGATATGAGTGGTACGCAACTACTCATTCTAATCATTGAGTAGTACATCGTTTTAATGTAAAACTGTAATCTTCAATTGATCTTATGAAGGTGGAAATGTGTTGCTCTTTTGACAAGCGGGCACACAAATAATGAAGTTGTTTTGAACCGTTTAACTGCCTATGTGTTATCCCCACCTACCCACACCCCCTCTATCATAGATTTCATAGCTGTGTGAATGAAGAACAAGCGGTAGGATGAAGAGGCTTCTGTAATTCCACTAAGTTTTGACTTTATTCTCAAAAACGAATCTACCTAGATCGACTTGTTTAATGGTGAAAAGAAGTTGTGTTTTCTTTTTTAAAGCTTCAGCCTATTTATAGTTTTCACACCAGTGAATTTCTAGTCTTTCACAATTACTCATTTCCTCCATTGTTTGGAAGTATCCACTTGAAAGCTCTACCGATTGATTCCTTTACGTACTGAGTGGAACATAGAACTTCAAGCCTGTTGAACTTTGAAGTTTCGGTAGCAGCAGTGGTGTTTATTACCTTACGGGATGGGGTTGCTGCTAACCAGCCTGATGCCCAACCTTCCCTCTTTACCAGTCGTCTTATTACTGGCTTAGCGAGGTAAAGATAGGAGTGTGTCTGTGGTCGCGGGGATCGATCCCTGGACCACATGAGGTGTGGTTGCTGAGCATTCTATCGCTATGCCACTGACGCGCAGTTTTATTAGTAGAACGATAGACTGTCGTGTATGTGGAAATATACATGCATAAAAACTCTGTTCCAGAAATATTCTAATAAGATCAGTTTTGATAAACAGCTTATTATCATTTCACTTTGCTATTTTGTTTTGTAGATTCAGATCAAGATTGGGCCAAACAAGTTCTCACATTGGCTGGTGTCTATCCAGATCGGGTGAATGATGTGAAGTCTACAAGTTCTGATGGTGAAGATTCTGTGTCTACACCTGTTGCGGGTATGCCTTTGGGAATAAATATCTCGGATATTGAGTAAGCCTTTATTACTATTATTATGAATGACTTAGGTTGATTGTTTTAAAATTCGATATCATTTCAGCTAGAGTTTGCATTTTTGTTTAGAATGAATAACATCGAACCTTAGGTGCTGGTTCATTACACTATGTCACAATATGAATGACTTAGGCTTTTAACACAATATTCCCAACTCATTTTTAAACAGTCTCGTAACATACTGAATTCTCTTAGCCGCCAATATTACACCTTGAATTTAATCTCTGGAAAATCTCAATATTGTAAATTTTTAACCACTTCACATCCACACAACCACGCTCTGTCCTCCTTTATGGCTGTGAGACCTGGCCATTGACAGTGGAAGAGATGAAAAAATTAGCTGTTTTTGATCGTAGGTGTCTGCGCTCTATCTCCCATACGAAGTGGTATAATAAGGTGAGCAATATTGAGGTTAGACGTGGGTCGAGTTCTAGGTAAGGAGGGGAGATCAATCGACGAGGCTGTGAAATTAGGTTGACTGAGATGGTTAGGACATGTGTTACGTGTGTCGAGTCATCGCCTTCCTCGATGGGAAATGTTAGCTAACATAGGGTCAGGTTGGAAAAGAGCTAGCGGCGGTCAAACCAAAACATGGTTCCACCAGTCAATGAAATCTATGACAGTTAGTTTAAGCCACGTAGGAAGGTGTAGACTTCCTGACTGGTTGGTGTCTTCGGGACGGTAAAAACCAATGGATGGAAACAATTGGTGATATGGCACAAAATCATTCTCAATACATAGCGAAGATGCATCCACTCCTTGTGACTTATGATTTCCAGTGAAACTATACTGTTTTTCGTTATTACTATTCCTTTTATCTCTTATCTCTGTTTACTGTCCCTATTATGCATTTCTTCTACTTTCTTCTCTTGATTTGTGTGCTACAAGGAGGGAGTGTGGTGACTTGAACTACCGTACATCGGCGCAAAGTTCTATGTCGAAAACAGACAGACAGACTTTCATATCCATCCACTGGAAAATGAGTCACACCTGTTGTGTTAAGACCTACTGATACTTCCATATTAGATAAGTTTATTTCAGATATCACACACACACATACACAGAGGGATGATGCAGTATTACCAACTGGATGACAAGGCTTCAGACATAAATTATTGCTGCTTATAATCATATCAATTTTAGTCACACAGTTTCACAATTAGTCTTGTGTGCATTCTTTCTTTCTCTCTCTTTCTCTCTCTCTCTCTCCATTTTTCCCTTGTTGTTTTTTTGCCATATCTCCGGTATATAGGCGCGTTGTGTTACGCCGACTGTACACGTGCGGTGTTGAGTTGATAGACAAAGCTTCAGTGATTAACCTCTGTCTGTCTTTCCACCCAACTGGGTAGTATATCAGTTCTGACACAAACAATGAAAAATGTTCTAGTGTATCCCTTGGCGCTTATGGTGTTAGTGGTGGAGTGTAATCGAGTGCAACGAGCCACAATTCGACTACATTGCTGTTATTACTTTCTGACTAACAATTAAGGTGTTGAATAATATACGCGGATAACTCCTCCATTGAGTAGCTTTGATTCTTTTAAGAGCAGAGACACACTGGTTACTACATTCTCATATTAAATAAACGCCTTTTTCCACTACCCAATCAGATGTCAACTATTTCTTTTGTTCCTTCACTTTCCCAGTGGAACACAAGGCTTCGAACTAGAGCTTTGTAGTTTCAGTAACAGTGGTGAAGGTACTAGTCTTCTCACGTCCAACATTCCCTCCTTATTGGCGTTAATACCGGCTTGGCGATGTTAAGGAGTACGTCGGCCGCAGGTCGAACCACCAACGCATTTACGAAGGAACTAATGTCCCTCCTCGTAAGACTCGAACTCGTGCCACCCAATGCTGAAGACAGAGACCTTCCCCCACCAAAGATGATTATGAATTAAATACTCGTGAGATAGTCTCTCATTTTCAAGATATACGCATGAAGAGGACATCACCATAATCGTAAAAATACAGTTATTTTTAAAGTTATAGAAATGTTGTAGTTTTGTGGATGGTGACTGACTAGCAGTGGAATCCACTAGGATGATAATTTCATCCTTTTTGGGACTCATCAGCTTCATGTACCAACATTCCCCAGTCAGTGAGTGATAGTGTGACGGTGATTATTTTAAATTGAATTGGACTTTCCCGTTGGTTAATTGGACAGAAGCGATCGGTTTCTGTTGACATTTCGGCTCCTTTAGCGACAGCTTCGACGATGTCAACACAGACCAAGTGTACTTTAGTCCAATCAATCTAACAGGGAAGTCCAAATTGAATTAAATCATAGAAAATGAAGTATTCACCTATGAATTTCAAAGAAGAATAATCGAACATTTTTTTTAGAAAAAGAAGCCTTATGAAGCATGAAAATAAAAGGAGTGCCTTGTCGGTTGGGCGTCGAACCCATTTGCATGGCCGGCGAGCGTCCTAACCGCTGTGCCACCGACGTACAGACGTTAACTAACTAATAAGAAATAGTTATTCACGCAACCATCAGTTTGATTGAATTGTACCAGGGCGAAATAGTTCATAATGTTTGACTGATAAGTGTATATCCCACAGAGTGAACTATTATTGATTATTAGAACAAGGACAGTATAAGCGAACAATGTTGTTGTTTTCAATTAGGTCTTCTTCAGGTTTCACTCTAATTCACATAGATTTATACATAAAAAAAATCTAACCAATGACAATGAGTTTGTCGATCAAATAATAATAATAATAATGTTTTAGATATTTTGAACATCATGAATAACGATGATTATAATGATAACAAAATATTGATAATAAGGTTTATGCATGTGGGGCGATAAGAATAACGAAGGTAGTGAGTGATATGTGTATATGTAGACAATTGGATAAATAAGTGATTAGGTGAAATCATAAAAGTTACCTAATATCAGAGGTAGGTGAAGTGGACAGATATTCAGATTTTTAATAAATATCCTTAAAACACGAACAAAGTGGAAAACAGGAAAGGGTGGGAGGGTTTATTTATCATACATTCAAATCCTATAAAAAAAACGTGACTTATCATCCGTACCCAAGAAAATACTTTACATGAGCTTGGAATTCAAAGGGGACTTAGCTTCCGATACCGTGAAACGAAGGATGTCACAGCCCCTGAATAGAACATTCGCTGCTGCATCTTTGAGAGTAGACTTTACTAGTAGACCATTGCTGTTCAAAAACCTGAAGGACAAGATCCCGCTGTTGACCAACTCTATGTGTGTTTATCAATTCACCTGCTCGTGTGGAGCTAGGTATATCGGTCGTTCGACTCGAGTTTTGTCCAAGAGGGTGCAAGAACACTATCCTCCATGGTTACGAAGAGGTGGAAGTGGAGCAATAAGAAGCGCGATCATTGAACATCTGGTCGATAATGATCACCCTATGTCTACAGCCTCCGCCTTTAAAGTCATCTACAAGGCAAAGAGTAATTTACCCAAATCCCTACGTACCCGACTCATCTGTATTGATGAAGCCATCTTTGGCTATCGAAACAGAAAAACCAGATCTCTGTGTACAGAAAAAGTTCGTTCAACCCTCCAACTTTCATAGTCTTAATCTCTCTATACTAAAGTATGGTAATCCCCAATCATATTTTAGCTCTACCAATTTTTCATTTTCATTCTGTCTATTCAGTTTGTATTCCTTTGCTTTATTACGTCAATTGTTACTATTAATGTTCTCATTTGGAACTGTCCCCGGTATTATTTCACTTGTTCCACTTGTCATTCTAAATCAATTCTTTTTTACAACGTTAAATTCTATGCTATTAAATTTCACACAATATTACGTAATGTTTTTATTTTATTCGATTTGTCTATTAATCCTATAATTCCACACCCTTTTTCAAGTTTTATCCATCCTATGAATTATTCTATATATGACATTAATTTGCTTTGCCACTTGACGTTTAACTACGATTATAATCACAAACATTTCAAATGGATGGGAAAGTTCCAGAATAATATCCGGTCAAGGGTCAAATTAATAAAAATTAAAATTGGGAATTAGAATGCCATAATAAACAGGGGGATGGATAAAACAAACAAAGTAGCATTATAATAACTAAGAAGACTGACATTGTGCAATTAGGGGTTAGAAATGTAGAAATAACAAAATAGACAGGATGTTTGGATAAAAACTAATGTGATGAATAATTGTTTATGCAATCAGGGATTAAATATGTAGAAATAGTAAAATGACAAAATAAACACTAAGTTCGGGTATGAAAATATGGTAGTGTAAACAGGGATTAAGAAAAACTTGAAATAACATGAATAAACAGGAAGTTTAGATAAGAAAGGCGATGGGATGGTGATTACTAAAAATTACCTGTTTATGATGGCCATGGCAAGGACAGGGGTTGGACGTATTTCTTTTGTATACAAAGCGTGGGTTTGAGCTTTTGTATAGCTAGCGCCTCGGCTATGCCCAGATGTCTTGATTTTACTCCCTTTGATGGGTTTGATCGAATCTTGTAAATGATTTTGAAGGATTTTTCGAGTGGCGCTGAATGTCCTGAATTCACCAGGTGTTCTGTCACCGAACTATTTACCCGTTTTCGTTCTCCTTTTACTAGCCAGGCTGGATAGTGTTCACGAGCGCGTTTTTCAAGTCGGCGCATGGTACGGCCAACGTACTCAGCTCCACAAGAGCAAGTAAACTGGTATATGCACGTTGAGGTGGCCCAATGCGACAGCTTGTCTTTCGCGTTCTGGCTGAACAGTTTCTTGCAGGAAAACGTCAGTCGTAGGCTAGCGGCGAAGTATGTTTTCCTCAGCGATTTTGAGAGGCGTCTGCGAAGGATTTCTGCTTCAATATCACCTTTGAATTCTAGATTAAGCAGAAGCATTTTCTTTGGGACGGATTGGACTTGTTCAGAAGTCTTCTTAGGTTTGAGATTCTTTTCTATGAACCTGGGCGGGAAACCGTTTTCCATCAGGGTTTTTCGAAGATTACGCAGTTCTTCTTCAACCACTTCCTCGCTGCATATCTTCCGAATCCTCGAGGAAAGAGCGTATATCAGGTTCCTCTTTCTGCTCAGGGGCACGAAGCTTTGAAAGTTGATGAATTGTCCATTCCATGTAGGCTTTTTGTATATGGACCTTTTCAGGGAGTTGTCGGCGTTTCTTGTCAGATGGACGTCGAGGAAGTGGAACATTCCGTCGGATTCAGTCTCAAGTGTGAAGTCGATGTTTGGGTGGGCATTATTGAAAATTTGAAGTAGGTTTTTTAAATCACAGTTCTCATCACAAATAATGAAAGTATCATCGATGTATCTCTTGTAGAGATGGAGGTCGTTGATAGTTGTTGATAAGGCGTTGTTCTCTAAGCTAGCCATAAAGCAGTCGGCTAGAAGGGGTCCTAAGGGAGAACCCATTGCTACTCCATCTACTTGCCTGTATATTTCTTTGTTGAAACTAAAGTATACGTTGAAGGTGCATCGAAGTAACAGTTCTTTCAGGTAATGAATTGGTATATCGACATTGATGTTATTGGATTCAATGTAGTCACAAAGGAAACATACGGTTTCTGTCAGTGGAACGTTGGTGAAGAGAGACACGACATCCAGGGAGACCATTTTCTTTTCTGCCACATTGACATTCTTAATTGAATCAACAAAGTCGAATGTGTCGCAGAGGTTATGTCTTGACAGCTTCTCTTTCACCGGCCCGAGAATCTCCACCAGCCATTTCGCGATTGTATGATATGGGGAATCTATCATATCTAGTATTGGGCGGAGTGGGACGTCTTGTTTGTGCACCTTGGGTAAGCCGTACATACGTGGCGTTGTAGAACCAGATGGGCGCAGTTGTTCGTATAGCTTTGAACTGATAATGGATTCGTCCTTCATTTTCTTCAATATCTTTGTTAGCTGGAGCTCCGTCTGTTCAGTGGGATCTTTCTGTGGAGACTGTTTCTGAAACTTTTTATCATCGGATAGTATCATCGAGAGTTTGCTTAGGTAGTCTGATTTGTTCATCAGGACGATTCCGGAGCCTTTATCTGGTCGCGTGATGATCAAGTTTTCATTATCTTTCAGTTCTTTCAGCTCCTTTCGATGTTCTTTGGAAAGGACGTTACGGAGGCTGGGTTTTTTGTTGATATAATCGAGACAGCAATTTAAAACGGTTGATTTGAAAAGTTCTGCATTCTCATATGAGATTGGGACGAGATCTTTCGTCTGGTCGATTAAATTCTCAAATTGCACTTTCGTGTTGAGTTCATTCACTTTTGACGTTGCATCACAAAACTTAGGCCCAAGTGCTAAGATTTGCATTTGAATTGGAGATAGTTGAACATCAGAATAATTGTACACGTATTTTTCTGGACAAGTAGGAAAGACGGTTTCTTTTGTAACGGACTTTAGGCTTTGGTTTAGTTTCATTATAACATCATCTGTTCTTTTCTTTGTAACCGTATTGGAGTAGTTTTCGAATGCTGTTCTCTCGTCTTCAGATAACTCATGGAGAACGTGGGAGCTTTTTGAGATATTCTGCTCTAGCTCAGGTAGTCTTGATCGCACTGCATCGATGTGATTCAGAGTGTGTCGTTTCAGCGTACGTGAGTTAGGGGATATGTGATTTCGTCTGAGATGCTTCCAAAATACTTTGGGATATTCATGTTTCTCGAGACAATTCTTCAAGAAGAAAATCTTTGCGTTCGCCTCAGCAAGCTTGACGGACAAACGTAGAAACTTGTTCAGTTCCCTTACCGTCGAACGGTCCTTGCTCCTCTTTAAATCACGGAATATACACATTGGTTCATAGGAGTAAATAAGAAGACAAATTTTCATATCCGAACTTCATATTTATTTTGTCATTTTACTATTTCTACATTTCTAACCCCTAATTGCACAAACATTTCAGTTTTTAATTGCATTTCATACTATTATTAGTAGTAGTAGTATTCTATGCATTCACACTTATGATTTAGTTCCTTCACCGGATATAACTTCTTAAAAACTATATGTATACGATTGTACAGCTTGATGATAAATTCGTTGTTGAAAAGAGTCTCTTCGCTGAATTACCACTTGTTTTGATTTTCTGTATGTTACAATGGGAATTTTACATGAATTAGAGTTCACCTTGACCAAGGGAAGAGACAAAGGAGAGCAAACTTTTATATGTAGAGGCTAGAATTGTTCTCTTGAATTAACTCCCATAGCTTCTTTGGCTACGTGTTCAACGAGTGGGTTCGAATTCCGTTCGAAAGGCTGTATGGAATGGGATGGGTAACTTTGAGTTCACTACTTCTGTCCACTTGTGGTGGCCGTTATCATCAATCAGATGAGATAAAATCGAACTTCTTTTAGATTTTATTACTGCTGAGTATGACAAGCACTTATGTTTGTCGATCCCATGGTAACAACTAAAGTTTTAATTATTATTATTATTATTTTTATTATCTTCTCTAGGCATTCTGGAGAACATGATGAGAATTTAATCTCTGATACTCCTGCAAGCCATCATCATCATCATCCTCATCATGCTCAAGATAGTCATCGTCTTCTCTCTCATCCTTATAATCATCGATTCAACTTTCAGAGAATATTTATCCCCGACCTCTTGTTGACTAAAGAGCCAATTATTCGACCGCATATTCATCGTCGTCCATGTGATCAAAATATTTCAGGTCCACGTCGTTTAACAGACAATTGTCAAAGAGATTTATACATATGCCTTTTGCACATTCTGTCGACAATCACAGTGACACATTTGAAAGTATTGCTGCAGAGTTTCACTGTACAAGAAAGGCTAAGATTTTTAAATATACTGAAGTAAGTTCAATAGATCTTTTGTTTCCCCTTCTAGGTAAATAAATGAATCGATACTAGTAGTTGTCAAATGAAATCGATATTTTTTTTTAATAGTAAATCATTCATTCACAAGTCTAGTGGTTGTAAAGATTAACTTTTAAATAATCATGGTTATTTGTGTTATGCGATTATTTCCTTTAAAAATATTTGGTTACATTTAATTCACAATTTGGAATTTCCCGTTGATCATCGATTGAACTGAAATGTTTAGTCTAAGGCTGACATGTCGGTTGTTTATGCGCAAATGCTTCAACGATGTTTGAGGATTTAATCTGAAGTAATTTAGTGGGTAGTGGTGACTGACGAGCAGTGAAATCCACCATGATGCGCATTTCGTCTCGTTTGGAACTCCTTGGCTTGATGTACCTACGCTCTTCAGTGAGTGAGTGAGTGATGGTGTTCGCATTGAGGCTTGAACCCTGTACCAATAGTTTCAAACACCGAAGCGTTATCCACTAGAGCACTTGAGCCACGACAGCCAGCTCTTGTGTATTAATGTGTGTGTGTGTGTGTGTGCGTATAAAGGCCTATAGCGTAGTAACTCGAATATATTCGAATGAATGTTTCCAAATTCCAGCCTATTCATAATTCTTTGCATCTAATTCACATAGTAGCGTGTCTTATCGCCGTCAACCAGATAAGGCCAGTTAGAAATGTGTGTCCAGAATCGAGAACACGTATGAGTGTCAGTCGAGTGAGGAAATCTACAGCTAATATGCCAAAATCAGCGCAAAATGGCACTTCTCATTTTAGATGAAAATTCAGATTACCGGTATAGGTATACTAAATGCTCTTAACATATGGTTAGTTTTCAAGTATTGGTTTTGTAGGGATTTTTTTTGGTTGGTTGGAGGATTTCATCATGAGCTGACATCGGCTAGAGAACCATTGGAAAACCTGCAGGAAGTATTGGATAGCCGTTACCTCCTAGTTTGAGACTCTTCAACAGTACGCATCCATCGTCAGAGTCCGAACCTAGGACATCTGGTTACCAGGCAAGCTCGTAGACCATTCAGTAGCCACTCGGACCCTATCAGATGGCCAACCCATGAATTCCGAATTCTGCCAGCAATTCACGATATAGTGCGACCACTTCGTAATGTCTTCGATAAGTAACTGTATTCACCTTCGACCTGCTGTACCCTACTGGTCACGACTACCCACTAGAACCCTAGGTAACTGGTCAATGGATCGGCTCGGGTGTCAGTGGTTGTTGATTGGTCTATGAACTCGCCTTGTAACCAGGAGGTCGTTGATTCAGAGCCCCTGTGGTGGGTGGGTACCGATGAAGAGTCCCGAAATAGGACGAAACAGATGGCTGTCTAGTATTCCGGTGCTGGTTTTCCAATGGTTCTGTAACTCATGTCAGCTCATGATGAAATCCTCCAACCAATATAGTTAATTGTGTTAGTGTATAACCCGTCAGAGGAGTAGTGTTCGTTCTAGAACGATTGGTTAAAAGTATATATGTGTAAGCCAATGAGCTGTATTCTCTTATTTTGGTTGCTATTTCAGGGTTCTATAAATGCATAAAAATTGGTTTTCCCTAATACTATTTCCCTTTAGACTGACTGTTTTTTGCACATTTAATTTAAATATTTTACTCTAACTCCATAATATATTTCCGAATTTCCTTATTTTTATAGGTTTGCTATTCAACACCTACGTTATCGTGGAAAACATTGTATACAACAATATGAGTAAGATTACTATTATCATTATTATTATTATTATCATTATTTTAGAATTTGTTCACTTATGAGACACATGTAATAATAATCGATTCTTATTATATAATATACAGTAATTTACTACAACTTTTGAAAGGGATTTCACTCCTGTGTAAATTAAATTGAAATCGATGCTTCATAAATCTTGCAAGGAATTCATATTTCACTTTCACCTAGTTGGATTAAACTAACAGTCCTGGCATTTTTAGCCTCATGAATACTATGAATTGCGAATGCTAAAAACTATGAATTTGAATCTATATATGGCTACTCAAAAGAGTAGGCTAGTGCTTCACTGTGTTTATTTTTTTTTGAAGGCTTTCTAACTATCTGTCTGTCTGTTTTCAACATAGAACTTTTCAACGATGTGCAGCAGTTCAAGTCGCCACACTCCCTCCATGTACCACACAAAGCAAGAAAAGAAAGCGAAAAGAAGTGCATACTAGAGACAGTAAACAGGGATATGAGGCAAAGGAATAGTAATAACGAAGAACAGTATAGCTTTATTGGGTATTACAAGTCACAAGGAGTGGATGCATCTGCGCCAGCCATTGGAAACGAGGATTTCGAGCCATATTACCAATTGTTTACAGCCTTCATTGGTGTTTACCGTCCCGAGGACCCCAATCAGTCAGGAAGTCTACACCTTCCTACTTGACCGGCGTAAACTAACTGTCGTGGATTTCACTGACTGCTGCTATGTTTTGGTTTGACCACCGCTAGCTCTTTTCTAACCTTACTCCATGTCAGCTAACATTTTCCGTCGAGGAAGGACAAAGCGAACTGCTGACCAGTATACACGTTCTTTGGTCGACGACTAGTCGGATATCACTTCTACGCCAGAGATGGCGTAAACTGGCATATGCGAAACTAGCCCTCTGTATCCGTGCTGAGATTTCCTCAGAGATCAACTTTCTAACTATCTGCAAATATCTGAGATCTGGATGATTCTCTATCAGTGACTGAAGATGACTCTATTTACATCTGTATGATATAAAAATAATAATAATACCAATTCGGTTCCATACGAAGCGGAATGAGTAACTCGATAGAGTACCTGTTGCTTTTGGTCCCCACCGACTCCTCTCCGCCACAGCCACCGAGAAGGAAGGCAGAAGAAGGATTGATCCAAGCCGGTAAACAGCTAGTTTGACTTGTTGCACAAGGTTGAGCTCTAATGGTTTTCCCGTCAGTTTGCTTAAGACTTGATTATCTCCGTAGCCAGTGGTTTAAACCGTGGTTAGCCTTTGACACGGGTTAACCTGCAAATGTAGGTACTTCAGTATTATTGCACTATATTATGCTACTTGTCTTTCGATGAACGAACAAATAATGTGTAATTTCTTATTTTTTTTTGTTCAATATAATTTAGACACATAAGTCGTAGTGGTGTTGGCCGAACCGGTGGTATTGGTGGTGGTAATCTGCTCAATATCAGCAATACACTAGCTGGGAATACTGTTGCTGCGGCTGCTGCTGCTCGTAGAAGAACTACTCCTGTAGGTAAAAGTTTACAGAATGATTCATCTAAGCCGAGTTCTCATGATTTCTCTGGACAGACTGCAGAGGATATTCCAAGTAAGTATATTGCTACATTAATATTCTAACCTGTAAACAATTTACCTCCAATTTTTTTCACAGAATATCTGCCTGGGTTTCTGAGCCTTATTTTAATCTCATATATATCTTAACGTTCCGAGTGGAACATAGGTCCTCAGGCTAAAGCTTTGAAGTTTCGGTAGCAATGGTTTTATTTTTACACAGGGGGGGGGGTTGCTTGCCTCACTCCCATTCTTACCTCTCTACAGGTTTTATTACCAGCTTCGTCATGTTAAGGAGTGCGTGCATTATCGGGGATTGAACCCCGGACTTTATGAGGGGCGTTTTACCCCTGAATCATCGACTCATAAAACAAGATAGTACTTCATAGTAACTGGAATGATAATTAACAGTTTAATTCAAGTGTTGGTTTGTAGGGATTTGATTGGTTTCAGGATTTCATCATGAGCCGACATTAGTTAGAGAACCATTGGAAAACCTGGGAGTACTGGACAGCTGTTTCGTCCTAGTTTGGGACTCTTCAGCAGTACGCACCCACCGGGATTCGAACTCAGGACCTTCCGGTTACAAGGCGAGCTCGTATACCATTGAGCGTACTGCTGAAGAGTCCCAAACTAGGACGAAACAGCTGTCCAGTACTCCCAGGTTTTCCAATGGTTCTCTAACTAATGTCGGCTCATGATGAAATCCTGTAACAGTTTAATGATAGAAAATTAACAATTTCAAACTGTAGAGTTGTAACTTATTTGGTCTGAAAAAGGGATCGTTATTTATTTAGTCGGTCATAAGGTTTGAGTTCTTCATCCCAAGAGACTGGATGATGCACTGGGTACAGAACTCCGCCCACTGGAACAAGCTGGATTGAGAAAAGGCAAATCATATGCTGATCAAATTGCAAGTTTACGCATTCTTTTTTCAAGTATTGGTTTTGTAGGGATTTTTGTTTGATTGCTTGGAGGATTTCATCATGAGCTGACATCAGTTGGAGAACCATTGGAAGACCTGGGAGTACTTGATAGTTGTCTCGTCAGCCTAGTTTGGGACACTTCATCAGTATACACCTACCGCCAGAGGAGTTCGAACTAAGGACCTTCTGTTACAAGGCGAGCTTGTAGACCATTCAGCAGCCACTGGGACCCAATCCAATGGTCAGTCCATGAATTCTAACTTCTGCCAATTCACAACATAACGCGACCATTTCGCAATGTCTTCTTCGATGAGTTACTGACGCATCTTCAACCTGCTGTACCCTACTGGTTACGGCCTCCCACTAGAACCCCAGATTAACTGCTTGAATAGGGCCAGTCGCTAGTGAGCCTCAGATCGGGTCCCAGTGGCTCAATGGTCTACGAGCTCTCCTTGTCCTGGGTTCAAACTGTGGTGGTGGGTGGGTACTGCTGTGGGAGAGTATCAAACTAGGACAGGTGAAACAGCTGTCCAGTACTCCCAGGTTTTCCAATTGTTCTCTAACTGATGTCAGCTCATGATGAAATGCTCCATGCAATCTACGCATTTTTATCGAACAAAACATAGAATTGCAGTCAAACCTCTACTTCAGAATCATCGACTTCGAAAAGGCAGTGTTGACCGAGAAGTAATTTAGAAACTACTTCGACGCTACGGCTTACGTCAAGTCTTTGTCAACCTCATTCAACAGCTGACTATATGGCGATGGCACGTGTTAGGTGATCTGATACACAACGGAATACTCAGCGAAGCCGTCAAAGTGAATGCAGGAGTAAGACAAGATTGCCCGCTTACTATCACCGATGATATTCCTAATTATGGCGGCCCCTGGATTATGCATTAGACTGTGGGGGTTGAGAAGACAGGAATACGTTGGAACACCGATAATAAGACTCTAGAAGATCTGGATTTCGTTCGTACGTGGATGATTTATGTCTAACGTCACATATACTCGAAGACTTACAGGCGAAATCATAGGGGGATCAGCCTAACGAACATAGTCTCTAAAATCCTAGGCTCAGTAATCATGCATAGACTAAGCAGAACTCGGGAGGAACAGACAAGGGAAAATCAAGCAGGCTTTAGACCAGGTAGAGGGTGCATAGATCATATCTTCACTCTTCGACAGATTCTAGAACATAGACACACTTTTCGGCGTCCAACAATTGTCATATTTCTTGACTTGAAGGCGGCCTTCGACTCCGTGGACCGAAAAGTACTATGGCAATGTCTGACTGTGAAGGGAGTGCCAAGAAAGTACATTGCACTAATCAAGGCACTCTATTCAAACTCACGTAGTCGTGTAAGGGCTTATGGGGAATTGTCATCTGAATTAGTAACAACCAGTGGTGTCCGACAGGGATGTCCACTTTCCCCATTTCTGTTTAACTTCATCATAGATATGCTAATGGAAGTATCCTTAACTGAACGTAGTGACTTAGGAATCGACTTGTTACCAGGGAATAATCTAATGGACTTAGAATATGCAGATGACATAGTCCTGTTAGGGGAGGATGCTGACAAAATGCAGAGTCTTCTGAACACCTTGAGCAGCAATCTTCGTATGTTTGGCATGCGATTCGCCCCTGCAAAATGTAAGATGCTGCTACAGGACTGGACGACGTCAACCCCTAACTTAGTGATAGGGAGTGAAGTGATAGAACATGTTGACCACTTCACCTACTTGGGAAGTTGTATCAGCACCAACGGACTGATTGGCGATGAAATCTCAGCACGGATCCGAAAAGCTCGAGCTGCTTTCGCTGACTTACACCATCTCTGGCGTAGGCGTGACATCCGGTTATCAACCAAGGGACGTGTGTACTGCTCATCAGTTCGCTCCGTCCTTCTCTATGGCTCTGAAACATGGCCAATACGCGTTGAAGACATGAAAAGGTTGACTGCTTTCGATCATAGATGTCTGCGATCTCTGTCTCACGTTAGGTGGTTTAATAAGGTAAGTAATGTTGACGTTAGGCGTAGAGTGTTGGGCAAAGAGGGAAAATCAATCGACGAGGTTATAAAGTTACATAGACTAAGATGGCTAGGTCACGTGGTGCGCATGCCTAACCACCGCCTCCCCCGACGGGCATTGTTAGCTGATATAGGTTCAGGTTGGAAAAGAGCCAGTGGTGGCCAAACAAAAACATGGCATCAATCCATGAAATCCTTGACAGTTAAACTGAGTCAGGTAGGGAGATGCAGACTCCCGGGTTGGGGCCCTCGGGACTCTAGGAATCAATGGCTGGAGACAATAGGTGACATGGCTCAAAATCGTTGTCAATGGCGCACATGTATTCAGTCTCTGTAATCTTTCATATTCCTTTCTACCATTACCCATTCTGTTTCACTCTTATACTTGTCAGACTGCATTGATTCTCTTCACTCATCTTCTTGTCTACGTTTGTGTTCTATTTGGAACGTGGCAACTCGAACTGCTGCACTTCGGTGCCAAGTTCTATGTTGAATCCAGACAGACAGACAGACAGACAGACAGACAGACAGGCGAAAACCAACAAACTGGTTAAAGAAGGCAGTGAAGACAGGACTCCAGGTGTGGACATAGAGAAGACGAAGGCGCAATGAAGATAACCAACAATAATAACAAGCGCTAATCACTAACAAAATGCGAGATAATTGGACGAGGTGACTTCCTTCACTTATCTAGAAATCATTATTTCGACTACAGGCAGGCAGGCAGAATGGATAAAGATATCAAAGTCAGCCAGAATCAGAAATGCAAGTCTCACACCTTCATCATTTCATCACTCTGAAATCGGTTTGAAAATCCTCTGCACTCTCTCCAGCACAACGAACAAGATTCGGATTTCCAACACAAATATTAAGTCACTCAGTCAGTCAGTCAGTCAGCTCTTCAATATGGGTCAGAAACTTGACTAGCACTTCTCGGAAAGCATTTCCAACAGGCGGTTGTATGGGTGTATTAACAGCTACCCCCTTTGTTCACTCCATATTGAAGATCGAATTGCTCACTGGCCAGAAAGAATCAGCAACAAGAAACTATGTAATGGAACTAACCAAAAATCAAGAATCTATTGATCCAGAAATATTATAGAAAGAAACTGGGATGGATTGGATGGCACATATTGAGAAGACCGTCGAATGAAATTGCGCTCAATGCAGGCCATCACTCAATTGGAACGTGAATGGGAAACGACTATTGGGATGTTCGAGGGTGACATGGAGGAGAGATCGCGTGGTGAGGAGGGAGGAGATGAGAGATTATAGGAAATCGTGGCCCCAGATGGAGAGAGGATCTCAGAGAATATGACAATGTGGATATGGGTTGTTGAAGCCCCATATTAATGAAATAATAATAATAAGTAGACTAAAGATTCCCATTTGGTTGTATAGATCATCAGACTTTTATTCTATATATGAGTATTGCTGTGCATAGGCTTGTTCAATGTTCTTGTAATTAAAGCTTTCCATTTTTTATTTTATTTATTGTCTGTCTTTTTGTTTGATATAGAAATGAAGGTATTATTGAAAGCTAATTTGGCGACTGAATCAAGTATGATTATATTGGATATTTTGAGTACATTTACAACAGTTTTTAAAGTAAGCCTTTTTCTATTGTTTGTTTTTTTTCCTTTGTTGGTGTTCAATTAATTCTTCAAAACTGGCTTCCCTAACCCACTTTTGTTGGTGTATACGAGTTATGTTGAGTGAACTGTTTCTACTCAGTGTAATTCTTCGTTTAACCGTCCTCATTGATGCTAAAACTCATTGTGAGGGGGGTGGGGGAAGGTGGGGTTGAGGCTTTCTTGATTATAAAAAACTGAAGAATTCTGTAATTTCTAGGCCATCATCACCTACCTAGTATATTCACTAATAAATAATAGTTTTTTTGATTTCATACAACCGATTCCCTTTATTAGTTTGAATGAAGAAAGAACGAACATATTTACAGGATAATAAGTGCTCGTTTTATTTCATTGTCGCCTGTAATTGTCTGTAGAATTCTTCTTTCTATTCGAGGTCTGCGTTGTTTGTGGGTGCATTGTGGGTGTAGCATTGTATAACTGACACTCTCCTTCCTTTGGAGTTGATTCTGGTGGTCATTATCCTGGACGAGATCGCCTCCCATTGCATTAGGGCCTTTGTTGCCGTTGGTGACATCATGATAGCCACGCCCTCGGTGTGCGTGTGGTTATCTTCTGGGTGACCGGAGTAGATCACTGACTCACCCGTTGACAATTTGATGAGTCCATTCCCGTCCCATCTGCTTTCATATATCCCCAGTACTTGAATTCCGTATCGTTTCATTTCGTTTGCGATCTGGGCAGCTTTTCCAATCTCGTACATAGTGTGAAAGTTCCATGTCCCCACACAGACTTTTCTTTTGACGCAAGGAGATTCATCGTTCTGAAGTTTCTGTTGCAACTTTGTTTACAGAGTGAGGTTGTTAGCCTCACGCCTGAGAAAGGAATGGTTACATCAAGATATAGTTTAGAGAGAAGTGACCTTGTGGGTTGCTCCCCTTAAAACCGGAAAACAAGGAATAAAACAATCAGAACAACACCAGCAAAAGTAAAATAATTCACTGCAAAAAGGGCAACAAGCGACTACAACAACATACAATACAGTTAAACACAGTTAACCAAAATGATACCAAAATCATAGACTCATTGACTTGAGCCAACTTGAACATGTAAATCCAACAATATATACACTTATAGATATTAGATTTATTTCATCGATTGTCATCTTCAACTGCTCACATCCTAAACAAAATCGATTATAAGTTACGAAATTTCTGAACATACTTTTCTTTCCACAATGACTTCAAGCTATGGATAGAGCCTCCAAAGCCTCAGGATGGTCGGGGGTGGGTGTCTTGCGCTGCGGGCTAGCCACCCCTCCGTACACCTCTTGAAATGCTCCCATATGACCGTGCGTCTTACATAGCCTCTCCTGAGGAAGTCCTACTCACTGCCTTCACGTGGCGGAGGTGTTTCTCACCGAAGTGAGAGGGCAAAAGCGGATGCCCGGCGCTCTTCACCGGGTTGACTGTCCATTGGATGACAGTCTAGGGGAGATGGCTAAACCCTGATTCCAAACCTCCAACGACTGGCGTATGAAGCTCACCGGAGTTCACCGGCAGACGTATGGACAAAGAGCTTATTGGATGCCCTGGATGTCTGGCCCCATTCAAAAAGGCGTATGAACCGGACTCCGGTCACCGGCTGCCAATGGATAGTGGACTCCCTACTCCACTCCTACTGCCTTGTAGGTCACACTTGGTTGTGTAAAGGCTAGAGCTGCACTCTCAAACAAAAGGCCGAGCGATGCTGGGGACATCACTCGTACCCAATTCCCATGAAACTTCATCAACTCTCTTACAAACATTCGAGATGTTCATGAAGCCGGTTCATCCTCCCGTAGGAGATAGCCGAAGTAAAGTAAAAAAAGTATAGGCAATATAATTGTAAATAGATACTTATTCAGTGTCAAAGGAGTAACTATTTACATCATAATTAGACAAAGCGGTAGAGTTTAGATTTCACTTGGAAACAATGAGTGAACAACAAAGTTAATTTATGTTATGTTGTTTATAGTTCTGTTGCATAATTATTCGACTCAGTCTTGATTTTGATTTTCACTTACTGAGTTGAGCAATTCACTATTAAGGTTCCAAATCTACAATAAATTTTACTTCACTATTCACCCTCACTCCCTATCCTACTGAACTCTCTATCATAATATGTATCAATTCACTGTGTTGTTCTGCCTTGTATTTTGTCTCTAGTCCATGCTTGTTTCCAAGTCAAATTTGAACTCTACCCCTCTTCAATAATTATGATATGAATAGTTCAGAATAAAATAGTTCGAGCGAACAGTCTGAATTCTGTCTAACAACAACAACAACAACAACATATTTTACATTTTGATGTGGTTGTGTTCTCTGAGCTGGATGGTTAATTTGCGAAGCTTTCATCACCCTACTGGGTGACATCTTCAGCGCATACTTCAATTTGAAGTGAACTTTTAGATTTCGCCACGAGTTCACACTATTAATCATCTCTCCTGACGGGTGACCTTGGACGTGATTGGTTATTTTTGTGTGTTTTCATACCATCTAGGTAGGTGACTTGTATTGGAACTGATTGTTTCTTTGACTTGAACTTTGACCTTTTGTGTGTGAAGTTTCTTTCTTATCGGTTGATAAATTTTGTCTATCTCTATGTGTCTGTTGATTGATGATTCACTGGAATGCCAAGCTTGTAAAAATTCTCTAGCATTCTTGTTGTTTCCTCTGTCTAATATTTGAACGTCAGTTGTCCCAGTCGAATTGATGTCCATGGTTGTCTGTATGTAGTGATATGAATGAGGGAGTGGATTTCATGTCTTTTGACCGCTAGCTTATGATCATGGATATGAAGACGAAGGGGACGTCCACTTTGGCCAATGTAGTGTTTTTCTCAGTTGTTACAATTTATTTTGTAGATGATGATGTTGGTTTTATCTTCTTTCGCTGTTGAGTCTTTTGGTTGACATAGAATTGAGTGAAGTGACTTTGTTGGTTTGTGTGAGACGTCAATGCCTAGAGGTTTGAATAGTCTTGTAGTAATTTCTGAGGTATCCTTTATATATATGCTAGGGGGATTTTCTTTATGCTTTCCTTGGTGGCTTTTGGTTTGATAGGCTGACTTGGGGGTATATGTATTTTGATGATATTCCGTGGAAAGCTTCGCAAATTAACCATCCAGCTCAGAGAACACAACCACATCAAAATAATCCACCTGAACTACAAATCTTCTCTATCATATTTTACATTTGAAGGAGGAATATACTAACAAAATGAAGGAGTGGCTGTGGAATCGCCCATCTCACAAATAGTAGCTGACATATTCATGGATCTTTGAGGTGACCAGTAAAATTTTGGTGGAGAGATGTATATGATACGTTAGTAATAATGACCTAGAACGATGTTGAGAAACTCTTCTCATGCATGAACCACAGTCATTTAGACTCAATAAAATTCATCATGAAAATAGAGAATGAAATTGAGGAACTATCTATGTTAGACTTGAAAGTATGAATAGTAACAGATGGTAGCATAAAAACGACGCTACATAGAAAAACTACACTCAGCTCATCCACCCACGGTAAAACGATGGTCAATACAAGGTCTTGATAAAATGTTTGCAAATACTTGAAGTCTGTTATATCTCACACCGTGCAGTGATATTTTAAATGTCTTAAACAATACCTATCTATGCTAATGTGAATGACATGTTGACTTTTTCTTATCTCTGTGTAAATAATCAGTAGTACGTATTTCTTTCTCGTGTGTTTTTTTGGTGTATACTTTCTGCTTACTGACTACTATTTAAGTAGTAAATCTATTTTGTGGTAATATCTAGGCATTATGGACTTTTTTATTCGAGTAAATAGACCTTTGAAATGCTTCCAATTTTTTACTTTAGTTGGTAAATTTTGTTGTCTCTAGAGGGAAGATTAATGCTTGGCCATCATATGTGTAGATTTTTATGCGGTAGTGTAGGCAAAATTGTATACAAAGTGTATCTTTAATTTTCAAAGATGTCAGATAATTCAATAAAGCCGAGATCGGAAAAGTTAAAGAGACTTGAATTACTCTCAAATCAGTATGGAAATTTACCGTATTCAGGCAAAGAAGTAGAATCTGAGATTTCAATGCTTATGTCAAGTTAGTGGATTTAAACAGTTCACAGAGACTTGATTGATTACGAAAACTACTTCTAACAGACAGGTTACTGCAGAGACCAACCTGAAAGAAACAACCTCCTATACCTATCTACCTGGGAAGCATCGTTTCAGCTACAGGAGGATTTAACTGATGAGGATATCAAAGCCAGAATCGGGAAAGCAAGACAAGATTTCATTACTCTCAAGTCTGTGTGGAAGTCAACAGCACTCACCATCAAAAATAAGATCCGGATTTTCAACTCCAATGTAAAGTCAGTGCTACTCACTATGTGGATCAGAGACTTGGCACGTCATAAAGAGCATCTCCAACAAACTTCAGACCTTTATTAACAGTTATCTTCGCTCAATGCTACTCGAGACCAGATGGCCGGCCAGAAAAGATCACCAACAGGGATCTCTGGGAGCGAACCAATCAGGAACCGATTGTGAAACAAATAGGCAAGAAGAAATGGAGATGTATTGGCCATACTCTGAGGAACCCATCAAGTGACATCACAGGTTAGCCCATCACTCGAGTGAAACCCGAATGGAAGCGGCGAGTCGGTTGTCAGTGTAAGGGTGACTTGGAGGAGGTAATGTGAAGAGGAGATGAAAGCATGTGGGTAGACGTGGAGCCAGGTGAAAAGGTTGGTGGAGAACCGAACGCAATGGAGACGCGCTGCTGGAGCCCTATGTTCCTCTAGGAGTTAAAGGAAATAATAATAACTGCAGAGACCTACACATGAATAGCTGCCTCTTCCGTTTGATACTGAAGATCAGACGACCAGATAGAATGCATAAACAACAAGGAACTCTGACAACCAAGCAAGAATCGATTGTCTTAAAATATACACAAAGAAATGGATATGAAGCGGACAGGCTAAAGAAACCGTTGGATGATATTACTCCCAGACAAGCCGTCGAATGGGAACTCTAATACCAAATAAGTTGAGTGTCTGAAGGTAATATGAAAGAGGTTATGTGAAAATGAAATAAGAACTTATGGGTATTCATGGAGATAGCAAAAAAGATTTAGAGAACAGGATGAAGTCCTATATTAAACTCGGAATCTAAGGGACAAATGATATAATAATAAGTTTGTTCCTTAACATGAACTTTCAGTCCTTTGAAGAAATGAACACAAAGTTTCTTTCACTCATAAAATACCAAAATGTAAATCGGATGAATAAATTTATTTTTATTCAGGGAATTCAAATTAGGGCTGGCTTTTTATTTTTTAGCTAACTGACCCCACCCCACCCCCACCCCCTGTCTGTCTGTTTTCGACATAGAACTTTGCACCGATGTGCACCAGTTCAAGTCGCCACACTCCGTGTAGCACGCGAAGCAAGAGAAGAAAGTACAAGAAAAGCATAATAGAAACAGTGAGCAGAGGTGTGAGACAAAGGAGTAATAAAGAAAAACAAAACAGTTTTATTGGAGATCATAAGTCACAAGGAGTGTATGCATCTGCGCCACTGAGAACGATTTTGAGCCATGTCACCAATTGTTTCCAGCCCACCATTGGTGTTTACCGTCCCGAGGACCCCAGCCTGGAAGTCTACACCTTCCTACGTGGCTTAGACCAACTGTTGTGGATTTCATTGACTGATGCCAAGTTTTTGTTTGACCGCCGCTAGCTTTTTTCCAGTCTGACCCTATATCCGCTAACATTGCTCGTCGAGAGAGGCGATGGCTTGGCATACGTAACACATGTCCTAACCATCTCAGTCTTTGTAGCTTCACGACTTCGTCGATTGATTTCCCCTGTTTACCTAGAACTCTACGCCTAACCTCCATGTTGCTCACCTTATTATGCCACTTTACACAGGAAATAGAGCGCAGGCACCTATGATCAAAGACAGCTAGTCTTTTCATGTCTTCCACTCTCAGTGGCCAGGTCTAGCAACCCCACCCCCTAATTTGTGAGTACCCTTGAAATCAAGCATTTCTGGTTAGGTTTCCCACTTTATGGGCCCACCTACTCCCTTATACATAATTTAGCCTAAAATTGTAAAGTCACATGTCAACTACGTTACCAGTCGTCAGTTATATAGTTGGAATCCACTGGACTGCAAAATTAGCACTGCAGAAAAGTTCAGAAATGAGACGAAATAATGTGCTTCTTGCTTTTTAAACATCTCATATTAGTTCGTGACGAAATTTTGCTTTAAGATAATTTAACATCTCAAATAAATCTTTTAGTTATGATAGAGAAGATTTGTAGCTCAGGTGGATAATTTTGATGTGGTTTTGTTCTCTGAGCTGGATAGTTAGTTTGCAAACTAACTATCCAGCTCAGAGAACAAAACCACATCAAAAAAAATCTTTTAGTCTTTATGATTGGACTAGCCTTGTATTATCTTCTTTTTACTTCAAAAACGATAGGGATAAAATATAAATTTTAATATCTGGTCTACATTGTAATCCTTTTCCTTATTAGATCTGTGGCTTAGTTAGTGGTTGAGTCGTTTGAATACCAACCGTTGGTTGTTATTGTTGTTCCGCTGCTCACTTCTCAGGTTTAGGTAGCCAGGTAGTAGTATTTTTTAGGCGTAACATAAAATAGGTGTGACTCATTACCAATGGGTGTTAACATACTATCATTTATCTTGTAGATGTTTATTGCATGTATGAATTCATGTGTGTATCTCTTGTTCTGCCTTGTTGAAGAGATTCTTTTGTTGCGTTTACTTTGACTAACAAATCTCTCAAGCAACATTAGCCGTATTCTGGTGGGTTTGTTATCTGGGTTCTAGTGGCAAGGCATGGCCAGTAGGATAAAGCAGGTTGGGTGTGAGGATGAATAATCTCTATATCATGAATTGGCAGAAGTTAGAATTCATGGACTGGCCATTAGATCGGGTCGCAGTGGCTGTTGAATCATCTACGAGCTCTCCTTGTAACTGAAAGATCATGCGCTCGAACCCTGGCGGTGGGTACTTGCTGCTGATGAAACAGCTGACTGGCTATTCAGTACTCCTGTAACTGATCAATAAGTATTCACCTAATCTTGCACTCCTTCCTAACAGTTTACTTTTATTCTTTGTATCTGAGCGCTTAACTTCTAACACTGGAGTTTACTGAACTTGTACTGTTCACCTTCATCCACTGAGAGTTCAATAATTAGATAGTATTCCAGGCCTTTTTCAGATGATCCATGTTGTATCGTACATAATAAGTGTGGATAGTGCCATGTAGTCCATTGAATTACTTCAACAACAAAAACTCTATATGCATCACTTTATACACATTAGAAAATAACAGTTATACATTAGCATATATTTGCAAAAGTTAACATTCCCACTGGTTAGTCAGATTGACATGGGATATTAGATTTATTGTGTGAGTGATGCACACATTCGCACATGCATACATATATATGCATAAAATACACATGAGACTAACCTTGAAAGCAGTATTGAAATGTTTAGACAACAAAACAAGCATTGAACTAGTCATCAAGTGACCTGCTTAGTTTGTGTTTGTGTGTGTGTGTGTGTGTGTATCAGATAGATGTATTACTAACATTTTTGAATTCTCAGTTGTATATTATGATTTAAAAAACACAACACTCATATACTTGGGTGAAATTATCATCCAAGAGAATAAAACTGTTCATTCATTAGGAATACATATTTGTTAAATTGATTTCATTGACTGACAGACTTAGAGCAGTTGTTTGTGGGAGGGTAGGGTGCAGGAGAAAGGCGAGAATGACTATGCATTTTGTGGGATAGAAATCACTAAGCTGTGACACTCTTGATACATATATGTCATCCATCATCTTAAATAGGCTGTGATTGATGGTTTGTATCCAAATGTTTAAAACAATTAGTTCCCTTTATGAATTTAGATACAGCAATAAGAAGACGTAATTTGTCTGAATCGTGTAATGTTGTATTTGCGACCAACATGACAACTCGAACAATCTGATCACACACGGATTTGTCATAGGAATGTGTACATATGAAATTAAATAAAGAGGTAAGAGGTGAGAAAATAGACTACTTAGGTCAAGTTAAAAGGACTATATTGAAGGTCAAAGTAACAATCACTAAAACAAGTAACAGAGGTATTTATTATTTATTTTTTATTTTATGTCCTGTCCCCTCTGTAATATGTTTCGCAATAGACATAGGAGCTAGGTCTCCTGTTCTCACCAATAGTGGATTCTGAAGATTCCATTTGTTTCTAGAGCCATTTAGGAATATGCTCTGAAGCCTTTACTTGCAGAGATCGATGAGTCCTCCTTATGCATGTGTGTCCACACGTACAATCAAATTGGTAAATACAGTGGGATGGGACGTCATTTTTCGCATGTTCGAAGGGCTTAGATGGATGGATATATTGGCTTCACATTCTCAATTATTATGATATTCGCTGTATAAAAAGTCTTTTTAACCACAGCAGAGTTCAATCTTTGCCTAGTTATCAAGCTGCTATGATGCCTTATATAGGGTAGCTTGTGATGTACACGTCTTTCTTAGGGGTGAGTTGTAGAATGGGTCTTGGTGTTCCACTGACTACTTTGTATCTCCTGATGAACTTGTCTGGATAATTGTTATCATCAACCAGATTTAATTGATGATAAATATTCAGTTTCTTTTCTGTTAACTTTGTTTCTTTGTGACCCCTTTTGCTGTTGTTGTTGTTGTTGCTGTTGTTATCGTCCAAATTATCTTTGTTTATTTTTTATTTTATAATCATAAAAGTGTTTCTCCTTTTTTTCTTCCCCCTATTTCCCGCCTCCTTTTTCCCTTTTCTAATTTTAGTCAGAGTTGAATAATTGTAAACCCAATGATCCAGTATTTCGATGTCTACTTGAAACTTATGTTGCTATTCTATCGAACAATCCATCCGATCATGTTATACGACATACATTCTCTGCTCTTCGCGTATTTATCAATCAAAATTCTCAAGTAAGAAGAAGAAGAAGGTGTATTAAATATCTGCATGAAATTCAATACATACTCTTTTTCTTTTCTTTTATGAACAATGGAGTATGTGTGTGTGTCGTTAATGGTTGATTTTAAATTTCGCGCTTTAACACTTCGTCTACATCTATGATTGGTTAGAATTCAGTTATTATGATTGGACGTCTGATTGACCAGACTACACTTGTTGCATATAAAGATTGAAGTTGATAGGATAGGATTCGAACCCTAGTGCCTGTTGGGTTTTGAAAACGTATGCTTAAACCAGTGGGGTCACTTTGTGAGTGTAAAACAGACTAGTAAGAAAAGGAGAGAATATCAAGTATGTATAACAGTCAACTGTGTGTGTCGGTAGCGCAGAGATGTAGAATGCTCGCCAACCATGTCTCATGGGGTTTTGGGGTTCGATCTCCGGCAGACAAGGTACTCCTTTACCTTGCTAAGCCAGTAATAATACTGGTGAAGAGGCAAGGTTGGGCATAAGATTAACAACCACATCCCGTAAACAAATAAACACCACTGCTACTGAGATCAATTAGCTAACCCCATTAGACTTCCGATATGGGAGTATTGGACAGCTGTTTCACCAGACTAGCTTGGTACTTTTCATTAGTACGCACCCACAAACAAGGTTCTACCAGCTCACCTTTTAACTCGGAGGTCCTGGTCTCGAATCCTGTTGAAGAATCCCAAGCACTAGGACGAAACAGATGGCTGTTCAGTCCTCCGGTGGGGAGGGGGGAGGGGGGCTTCAATGATTCTCTAACTGAATTCAGCTCACAATGAAATCCTGTAGCCAATCAAATCATATCCCTGCAAACCAACACTTGGATAAATAGTTGCTGAATCTTCGATATATATTTATTAAATTCAAGCTATTTCAGAACAGCTCTCCATCACTAATGACTGTGAGGTCTTTATAGTAGTATTTGTATGCATGTGACAGCTACTAACCCTTCAATCGGTGCCAATAAGCACTGGTTACAAGTTCGCATCTTGATTAAAAGTGTCCTTAACCTCCAGTCGGATATCCATCATTTTAAACTCTAAAGTGGTATTATCCACTAGGTCACTGTACTAGCCTTGGATGTCAATGGGAACAACTGGGGATGTAGTTACATCTATCTGCCGAGCCTATGCTAGGAGCAAAGTGCTCATTATGAACTCCACTGCTATCCACCACCGGCCAACTAACATCCTGTCAATCTTCAGATATCATTGAAGTGGGTGTGTGTGTGTACCACTAGGAGGGGATATATCGATTATAACTGGAAAGGAGGCATGTTGCTTACCTTCGTTAAGGGTAATTTTATTGAAACAACAAGTTCTTAAATAGATAAATTATAAATGCCCTAAATAGCGTTCACTACTCTAATTCTAAGATAAAATATAAATACCATGTACTGCACACTTTTCCCAATGTCACACTAATTAAATACTATTCAAAATTTAAATTGGCAACTTCAAATATCGAAATAGGAAAAACACAGTTTCCCTTTGGTTCAGAGAAGAGAAATACTATCTCTTTTCAACGACTTCAGTGCCAAGCAGCTGTACAACAGTCTTATTTATATTATGGAAAAAGAAGGCATTAATAGGTGGGTGGCACGAGAAATTACTCACTGGTCAATATTGCACATACATATGTGATAAGAATAAAGATAATTAAAATGATGTACTACTAAAATTTTAAAAATAGTAGGTCAAGTATTGTCTAAAAAAAAAGAACTTTGGCTCTGCTGCATAAGTGGAGAAAACGTAAGCTTTTGCAGTGATTGGATTTGGTCGTGTAGATAACTTTAAGAGATAAATCACCTGAGGCTGGAAGACCTGACTTTGGAAGGTGTGCACAGATTAAAGGCTTTGTCGTCCTTTGCTCACCTTTCATTATTATCTTAACCGGATAGTGTTCAGCTACGCGTTTACAGAGATTACGCTTACGACGCCCAATGCTATCAGCTTCACACGAGCATATGAATGAATATATGCACATAGAGGTGGGCATAAGTGGTAATTTATCCTTGACGCATTGTCGAATCATATTTCTTCTGGTAAATACTAAATGTAAGTCACAGTTGGAATTTAATTAGTGGATGATGATTAGCAGTGGAATCCAGGATAACGTGCACTTCGTCCTATTTGGGACTCGTCGGATGGATGTGCCTGCATTCCCCAGTGAGTGAGTCAGTGATGATATTCCCACCGCGGAGGCTTGAACCTAATGCTCATAGTTTCAAACGCCAAAGCACTATCTACTAGACCACTTGTGCCACGATAGCCACCTGTCGTTCAACGGGCCATTATTAATTATTTAATTGAATTTTAGATTTTCCCGTCGATTGATTGGACTGCAGTGTTCGGTCTCAGGTTGACATATCTGTCGGCTTCTTGTGTAGATGCTTCGACAATGTCTGGGCATGTAATTAAAGGTTAATTGGCAAATGGTGACTAGCAGTCCTTTTTGTGATTCGTCATCTGGATGAACCTTCACAAGTCAGTTGCATAAGAACACCGTTTTGATACATTTAGATAAACACCTCTTAATTACTTCAGAAGTAATGTCACCTTTGAAAGCCAAACTCATAAACAGTGTCTTCTTGGGCACTGTGATGATTTTGCTTAGGATGGTTTCTTTCTTGATATTTCTGTCGATAAACCTTCTAGCACATCCATTATTTTAAGGGAGAGTTGTACGAAGGTTTTCTAATTCTAAGCTTGGAGATGAAATCTTCAAGTTCATCGATTTGTTACCCATATACTTGACTGAACAACTCATAGCTATATGATTCTTCTATGGGAAACTCATATCTCTCATTGATTGATTTCCTAATTATTTTAATTAATTAATTAATTTAATTAATTAATTATTTATTTATTTCTCTAGACCTTATTCTCCGAATCGACAGATATTCTGAGTACACTGTGTCTAGCCGGTTTACGATGTTCTAATCAATGTTTTCTAGCCCTCTCCTCATCATCATCATCAACATCAACTCTGCCTTCGTCATCATTGTCACATAATGACTTTGTGCTTGATAAGCATTGTCAAACATCTTAACGTCAGCAGCTAATAGTGGAATAATGACATTATCTATAATGAATATTGATACAAATGCTAATATTAGAGGTAAACCTCCATCAGCCCCAAAAATACGAAGTTTTGAAGTGCATGAAACAGATCAAACTATGCTGAATACTAGTCAGAATGATATACATAACAACAACAATAATAATAATGATAATAACATTATGGATAATCAAAATGTCATCAGTAAACTTTGTTTAGATGCTTGTGGTTTTTTGTATCGACTATGGAAGTGTAGTTTTGAAACACATCATCAAGCTGGATTTCATCGTGTACACTTACAGGTAATGTAGATGTCTTTTTTGTATGTGTGTGTGTGCCCGTGTGTGTGTGAATGGGTTTTTATGTATTTCGAGACGTGTTAACATTTTCATAATCTTAAAGATATTCTTTAAAAAACTATGTATAAAACCTGAAGTTTCAACTTTTATTGGTTTTGTTGCTTTCTCTGAGTTAGATAGTTTCATTATGACAATCCACAGAACATCCTTTTAGTGTGCATTTTATGAAGAAGTAAGCTGTTAGAATTTCTGTCTAATTACCTATGGAGTTTGTCTTATTACTATTATTATATTGTTGTTTCCTTTAGTTCCCAGAGAAGCATAGGGCTTCAACCGACCTCCTCCTCCATGTCACCATCGGATTGACGACCAACTTGCCGTTTCCAATTCGGGTTCCACTCGAGTAATGACCTGGTGTGTGATGCCACTTGATGATGGTTTTCCCAGAGTACGGCCAATCCACCTCCATTTCTTCCTGTAAATTTTATTGCACAGTTGGTTCCTGTTAGGTTTTGTCGTCTCTAGAGATCCTTGTTGTTGATCTTTTCTGGCCGGCCATCTGATCTTCAGCGAAGACAGCTGTTGATGAAGGTGTGTAGTTTGTTTGAAGCAGCAACATCCAGCACCAATCACCATCAACGGGAGGGATTTGAAAGAGGTTATTTCATTCACTTATCTAGGTAGGGAGCATTGTCTCAACTACAGGCAGTCGGAACGGATGACGACGTCAAATCGAGCGAGAATCGGGAAGGCGAGAAACACATCAACATCATCAACCTGAAACCAATCTGGAAATCTTCGTCACTCATCATCAACAACAAAATCCAGTCAGATCTTCAATACAAACGTCAAGTAAGTCAGTTCTTCTATACGGATCAGAAACTTGGCGGGCGGGTCACAGAGAATATTTCCAACAGGCTATTGCAGACCTTTATCAACAACTAACTGTCTTTACTCTCTACTGAAGATCAGGTGACCGGGTCGGAAAGAATCACCAACAAGAAACTATGGCTGGGAACAAACGAAACAAAACAAGAACCAATCGCCAACCAACAAATATGCAGGAGAAAGTGGAGATGGATTGGACACTGGCTGAGGAGGCCGCTGAGTGACATCATGCGTGTGTCAGGCAATTGCTCGAGTGGAACCAGGCCAAAAGGGAAGCAAGCGGCGAGTGGGACGTCAGTGCAAGGGTGGGTGACATGGAGGAGATCGTGTGAAGAGGAGTTGAAAGAGTATGGACTAACATGGATGGATGCAGGTAAAAAGTAGAGCAGAAGGAAGACAGAAGCAAGTGGAAGGAGACGTGCAGTTGAAGCCGTATGTTCCACTAGGAACCCAAGGGAACAATAATTATAATAATAGTAAATCAACAAATCCAACTATTGAGCAAAGAAATATTTACTTCTCAATTAGATCCTCATCTCTGGCTCTACTCTAATATATATAGCATTTTAATTACAATATACAACAATTTACCAATCAAGTGGCGATATGTTTGTTAACAATAATTAGTCAGTGTCAAAATGTCAATGGGGTGGTAATTAACGAAGAAAAATTAATATGTATTCTGTGTATTCCACTGCTAGTCAGTGTCTAACATTTCACTTTGAATTGTAGTCAGTTTGAATTTCAGTAAAGATAATATCAATCACTAAGGTATATATATATATATATTTCACATAACTCTAATTCAAGGTTGGTGATTAAAGGTGATGGAAGCACTTTGGGCAATTAATCTCATACAGCCTAAACTGTGTGTACAAAAAACAATAGACTTCAATCTTTGCTTACCATGGACTACATGACCTATTTAAATATAATTGGTCATTAGTATGTACTTTTGTTTTTTATTTAACTGAGTAATTGTCATTATAGTTAACCATGTTAGTTGTAAAGCGGTTGTAAAGAAACTATGAAATGATGATATCATCTCGCGAAATTTGTCTTCTTAATGCCTTATTCAAATTAATACACCTTTATTTTTCTATTTAGATTTCTTTTGATATACCACCACGTTGTTTTCTATATTCGCTTATATGTTCTTATTGTTGATTTGTTTATTTATTTATTTATTTTAAAGACAATTATTGCTATTTCAAAGTTGGTGAGTGAAATTAGTCCAGGTTTTGAAGCAACTTTAAGTCTGTTGCAAAGTTTAGCACAAACAGATATGCATCGTAGTTCTGAAATGATGAGTATAACAAAATCGATAACAACAACATCATCATCATCATCAATGCCCATTAAGACTACAACAACTGCAACATCAACAACGCCACCACCAACGACAACGACAACAATGTATACAAAATTTTGGACTGATTCAAATATTCGTTTATTCTTAGATGATATTGATGATTTAATACGTCGAATATTGACTGTACTCACAGCAACAGCTGAAATGCATAGACACTGTGATGATCCTGAACGCATAGTTGATCTACAATATGCACTGGCTAAATCATACAGTAGTAATCCAGCTTTAAGACGGTAAGTTATTTTCTACTTAACTAACTTTGATTCACCCTTTTTTTTAAGATTGTTGTAGTGTCTAAGTGATAGTGCATTATTGAGTTGAAAATTTAAACAATATCCTTCTATTGAATTTTTGATTTTCCCATCGATTGATTGGACTGAAGTGCTCTGTCTCAGGTCGACATATCTGTCGGCTTTTTGTGCAGATGCTTCGTCAATGCCTTGACTCTCGTGGCCCGATTGGTCTAGTGGTAACGTTTTGGCGTTTGAAACTGTGGACATTGGGTTTGAGCCAGGCACATCCAGCTGACGAGTCCCAAATAGGACGAAATGTGCATTATCCTGGATTACACTTTCTAATATCCTTCAAGGTTGGTTGTTCTATCGTCATCATCCTCAGCAGCAGTAGAGTGAGCTTTTAGTATACAAGGGTTAAAGTGTATTTGAATAAACGTGGTTAGTAAAATGTAGGATCAGAGTTCAGGGATGTGAATTAATGGATAACAATCGAGGTAATCATAATAATAATAATAAGGATAAATTCATTCAAGAGTTTATACAATCTAGAGAACGATGAGTGTATTGAAAGAATATACATACTAGTAGAGATATAGGGGGGAAATAACTATTATCACATAGCGATTAGATAATATAATAATAAAGCGAGCTCATAGACCATTCACCAGCCACTGGGACCCGATCCAATGGTCAGTTCATGAATTCTAACTTCTGCCAATTCACGACATAGCCCAACCATTTCGCAATGCCTTCCTCGATGAGTGACTGCCTCATCTTCAACCTGCTGTACCCTACTGGTCACGGCTTCCCACTAGAACCCGAGGTAACTAACTGTCTGAATAGGGCCTGTCGCTAGTGAGCATCAGATGAATTTTCAAGTATTGGTTTTGTACGAATTTTTGTTTGTTTGCATGGAGGATTTCATCATGAGCTGACATCAGTTAGAGAACCGCTGGAAAACCTGGGAGCACTTACTGGATAGGTGTTTCGTCCTAGTGCTTGGGAATCTTCACAGTACGCACCCACGGGGGTTCTAGTGGAAAGCCGTGACTATTAGGGTACAGCAGGTTGAAAATGAGACAGTAAGTCGTCGAAGAAGTCACTGCGAAATGGTCGCGCTATGTCGTGAATTGGCAGAAGTTCGAATTCATGGACTGACCATTAGATAGTGGTTGCTTAATGGTCTACGAGCTCGCTGGCCTTGTAACCAGAAGGTCTTAGGTTCAAACCCTTCCGGTGGGTGTGTACTACGAAGAGTCTCAGGCTAGGACGAAACAGCTGACCGTCAAATACCCCAGTGCTGGTTTTCTAATGGTTCTCTAACTGATGTCAGATCATGGTGAAATCCTTCATGCAATCAAACAAAAATCCCTACAAAACCAATACTTGAAAATATATTAATAGTAATAATCATGATAATAAAGTGTACAACTTCAGCACGGCGTGATATTGATAATACAGTTTCCAGTACGAATCAAACTAATATTTTTACAGTCATCTGGGGTCCAGACCTAATTGACTGACTGGTTTCATCGTAGAACTTTGCACAGATGTGCATCAGTTCAAATCGCCACACTCCCTAAATGCAACACACAAAGCGAGAGAAGAGAATGAAAAGAGATTCAAAAAAGAGCCAAATAGATAATAAACAGAAATATTAGGCAAAAAGAACAGTGATATGGAAGAAGAAGAAGAAGAAGAATAGAATTTTACTGGACATTATAAATCACAAGGAGTGGATGCATCTGCGCCATATCACCAATTGTCTGTACTCTTCATTGCTTTTTACCCATCCTGAGGACGCCAACCAGCTAGCCAAAAAGTCAGTTTACACCTCCTTACTTAGCTGGTTGACTGGCTCAGGCTAACTCGTATGGATTTGATTGATTGATTGATGAAGCCATGTTCTGATTCGACCACCACTGGTAGCTCTTTTCCAACCTGATCTTATATCAGTCAGCTACAATTGCCTGTCAAGGAAGGTGATTGATGGCTAGAGATGTATGCGTAACACATGTCCTAACCACCTCAATCAGTATAACTTCATGACCTCATAAAGTTCACGCTTCACAACATCTGGTAATACCAGGAAAGTTGAATAATCTAGGTTGAAGTTGAATACCATGAGAGAGGGAGATGAGTCGAGCAAACTTTTTTCTAAACACAAGGACTTTGCTGAAAGTTTTTTAAGGCAACCTACCTCAACTATGAGTTTAGCATTCGAATGCATAAAAACTTAATGGAAAGAGAATGTAGTAAAACCATTTAGGTCATCAATAAAATGTGGGTGGAGATATGCAAACGACACGTTAGTAATAATGGAAAAAAAACGATGTTCAGAAACTCTTCTCACACATAAACAGTCATGTGGACTCAATAAAATTCACAATGGAAATAGAGAATGAAATTGGGGAACTGTTTATGTTAGACTGCAAAATACAAAGAGTAACAGATGGTAGCATAAAAACGACGCCATGTAGAAAAACTACACATTCTGGGAGATTCGTTGATTATCATCATTCAGCTCATCCACTCACGGTAAAATGACGAATAATACAAGGTCTTGCAGATAGAATACTCAAACTTACAACAACACCAGCTGACCAGTGTATTCAAAATGTGTAACTCGACAACAACTACCCTAAGGAATTTATTAAAGAGAATATAAAGAAGACAAGAAAAGTGGATTAGACCAGAGAATGACATAAAGGAGGATGGCAGAAACAACAGTCACGATACCGTACAAAAATTGTACATCAGACGCGGAATTCGAAGAAACCTCAAAAATATTGGGATTCGCACCACGTTTAAGCCGACGAATTTAATTAAAAATAAAATAACGCAAATGAAAGATCCCATCAAATTGATGGGTAAATGTGGTAATGTAATTTACAAAATATCTTGTGTCTAGTGTCCGACTGAATCTGTGGGTCAAACGTGCAGATCACTCAAAATAAGAGTGAGTGAACATAAACGCCCTAACTAAAGGTCATCCAACAGGAACACAAGCTTACAAGAATTTAAAAAAAAATTCATCTATGGCTGCAGATGCATGGGACAAAAACCGCAATTATCGATTGGAACAATTGTTTATATTCTAAATATGAACTAATATGAACAAATGGAGAGAGAGAGAGAGACTGATAACAGAATCTATATTATTCATTAAGGTCACACCGGATACATATAACAAAGGTGACTCAGCTGCACACAGCTATCAACAACCTGGAATATAATGCTGGATTCACAAAAAATATATGGACAAAAAATGACCTATATCTGTATATACGAGTACAAATCATAAATGTGTGAAATTGATATGTATCATATATATATATATATATATGTGTGTGTATGTTGGTCTCTTTATCTGTTGCTCTCTTAGTCTGTGACCATTTCATTTGTATGAACCTGTCTCCTTTAACAATGTATATTCCCCTTATATTATATATAATATGAGTGTATGTTGACAGTCCGTTGCTTGGTGACATATATCCATATTATATGTGTTTGTTGACATGTCTGCTATATTTTGCTATGTATATATGGATCGATACTTCATTATAATTAGCCATTCATGTTACGACTGTCTATTGGTTTGTTCACACACTTGTTTGGACATTCATATATATTTCGCTCTCACAATTTGTGTGACTTACTTACTTTTGGTGTGATATCACTTATTGCGTCTCCTTGTGTTTGGAAAATAGAAGTATCATCTCAAACCTAGTGGTCTTCTGATTTCCGTCTTTCTTGCGTCAGGACTATTAAATTCTCGACCAGTACATAGCAATAATTTAGCGACGAGTACATAACAGAAATAAAAAACAAACAAAACAAAAACAATTCCAACAGTGTGGTGTGAACACGGGCAGTAGTAATTTTGCTCGAAATACTACCAAAAGCAAAAGCTTATTAGTGTTTTTACGAATTGATCACGGATTGATATGAGTTGGAAAGGCATTGAAAACCAGGGAGTATTGGACAGCTGTTTCGTCCTAGTGCTTGGGACTCTTCCACAGCAGTATGCACCCTTCAACATGGTTCGAACCCAGGACCTTCTGGTTACAAAGCGAGCGAGCTCGTATACCATTAAGCCACTGGGACCCGATTCAATGGCCAACCCATGAATCCCAACTGCTGCCAACTCGAGATTTAGCGCGACCCCAACCCTGACAAACCAAACTATAGAAAATTAATCTGGTGATCGCTAGTGACTTGTCTGAAACGGTGGCACAGTGGTTAGGACTCTCACTGACCATGCACACGGTCCGGGGTTCGAGCCATCCCCCCCCCGGACGCACACCTGATATCTATGGTCGGTCTGCAAAATTTGGGTTACCGATATCACATGCTGAAAATTCCATGCCTTTACCAAAAAATCCGGTGTGGAATCAAGCTGAAATCAAAAATAAATAAAATAAATATACAGGATGCAGTTTTCTGGAGTTCTAGTGAGAAGTCGTAACCAGTGAGGTCCAATTAGATGTCGCGTGTGTGGATGGATGTCCCATCAACGACAATGGTTGGGGTCGCGCTAAATCACGAATTGGTAGAAGTTGGGATTCATGGGTTGGCCATTGAATCGGGTCCCAGTGGCTAAATGGTATACGAGCTAGCTTGCCTTGGTAACCGGAAGGTCCTGGATTCGAATCCCAGTGGGTGAGTACTGACGATGATTCCCAAACTAGGATGAAACAACAGCTGTCCAGTACTCCCTGGTTTTCAATGGTTCTCTAATTGATATCAATCCGTGATCAACTCGTAAAAACAAAACTAACCGTAACAAACCAAACTATAGAAAATCATTATTGTGTGTTAACTGCTGTGCGTCGGTGGCACAGTGGTTAGGACTCTCGCCGACCATGCACATGGTCAGAGGTTCGAGCCCACGCCGGCGCACACCTGATATCTATGGTCGGCCTGTGAAATTTGGGCTACCGATATCCCTGCTGAAAATTCCATACTTGTACCAAAAATACAGTGTGGAATCAAGCTGTAAATCTAAAAAAAAATATATAATTATACTTTATTAGTGTTATTCATTAATTCACAGTCTTGAACTCTGACCCTATATTTTATTTATTAATTAATATTAATTCATATGCCTATGACTGATATTTTCATTGTACAAATGTATTTGCCACTAAGCTTTAGTTTATAACATTATTTAATGATAGAGTCGAGGGAAGTTTTATTGAAGTTATTAAATTCAATCTTGTTCTGTTCTATGTTTACATGCAGTTTTTAAACAACATCATTCATCAAATATATTCACAAAAAAAATAGCATTTCGTCCTACTGGTTGACATGACTGATGGTTTCAGAGTTTCCCTCTGACATTTAACTGCTCTTCATAGCTCTACTGCTTCAATGAAGAAATAGTTCACTACTTATTCACTTTGAAAGTTTGTGTATCTGCGTGTGTGTGTGTGTGCCTGTATGGGAATATGTCATTTAGTGTTTTCTCACTGATTTCGCTTTACTCGGATACCAATTGCGCTTGGCCTAAATTCACCTCGGTTGGGTTTTTTGACTAGTCATCGATTGAAGGATGCAAAAATGAACTCTCTCTCGAGTAACTACGAGAATCTAGGTAATCATAAGTAGAAATATAGATTTAGATATATAATAGAAGAGAAGATTTGTAGCTCAGGTGGATGATTTTGATATAGTTGTGTTCTCTGAGCAGCTGCTGGATGGGTTTATTTGAGAAGCATTGATTGCCTCACCACTAGGCAACATCCCAAGAGCTTACTTCATTTTGTTGGAAGTGAGCTTTTAGATTTCTCCACGAGTTCACACTATTAGTCATCTCTCCTGGCGACCTTGAACGTGATTGGTTGTTTTTGTGTGTGTGTTTTCACAACCTTTAGGCTACTTGTATATTGATTGGTGTTGGTGTTGATTGTTTCCTTGATTTGAGCTTTGTCCCTTTGTGTGTGAGATTTCCTTTTTAATCGGTCGGTAAATTTTGTCTATCTCTATGTGTCTATTGATTGATGATTCACTGGGATGCCAAGCTTGTAAAAATTCTCTAGCATTCTTGTTGTTTCCTCTGTCTAATATTTGAACGTCAGTTGTCCCAGTCGAATTGATGTCCATGGTTGTCTGTATGTAGTGATATGAATGAGGGAGTGGATTTCATGTCTTTTGACCGCTAGCTTATGATCATGGATATGAAGACGAAGGGGACGTCCACTTTGGCCAATGTAGTGTTTTTCTCAGTTGTTACAATTTATTTTGTAGATGATGATGTTGGTTTTATCTTCTTTCGCTGTTGAGTCTTTTGGTTGACATAGAATTGAGTGAAGTGACTTTGTTGGTTTGTGTGAGACGTCAATGCCTAGAGGTTTGAATAGTCTTGTAGTAATTTCTGAGGTATCCTTTATATATATGCTAGGGGGATTTTCTTTATGCTTTCCTTGGTGGCTTTTGGTTTGATAGGTTGGCTTGAGGTTAGATGTCCTTCGATGAAGTTTCGTGGATATCCATTCTTTTGGAAGATGTCCATGAGATATCTTTCTTCAATTTTCCCTAAGGTGGAAGTGCTGCAATGAGTCCTCACTCTCTTGAATTATGTTTGTATACAACTCTTTTTGTATTCCATTTATTGGGTTGTTGTGTAATTACTCTGTATTACTCAGTTTGCAATTCATGTTATATTCTCTAATGACTATTTGTTTATCTAAGTAATATAACATAACATAAAATAACAATTTCGCTTTATTCCAGAAACAGTACTTGTGGTACAGTGTGGAATTTTCAGCACATATCTACAATATTGCATCTAATTTCAGCGTACATTTAAAAAAGGAGCATAATGCAATTTATCTTAATTTTGATCCCTCTCATACTTCGTCTCCCCTTATCTATTTGAACATGTCCTGGAAAACATTCCCACCTGTCTTTCTGCATGGCTAATTCAATGTAGACATTTGTAAAAATTATATTTGTAAAATCTCAGCGATATTGAAATGAGTAATTCCAACGTTTCGTTCGGCAATCTGGTCCGAACTTCTTCAGGGAAATTAATCGAAATTAACATAACAGAGGTTTATATATAGAAGGAACATCTCTTATTTTTAAAAACTTTGTCCAATCATGAGTCATAAAACAGGCATCAACATGTACAATAAACAAAATTGTATGAGTTGTGATCAAAATTTGATCTCAGACTTACAAATATTGATCTATCTTTGTTAATCACTTTAAACACAGTGTGTATGTGTGCGGATAAACAGTTGTAAAACAATGTCTTAACGTCTCCATAAGTAGATATAGACAGTCAGGAACTATGATCAAGTATTATTAGTTAGTGATACATATCCATTCTTATTTACTAATCAGGATTTCCTATGCGTCAGCTAACATCACACCTTCATGTCTGTTCAAACTGTTAGTATCTAGAATCTTATGATTAGACGTATTTTCAAAATTATGGTGTTTAGGATTAGAGTTCAGTTGAAGCACCCTGTTGAACTTATTGCTTTGTCTTCTTTCTGAAAATTGAGCTGATTTATTCGACCTACTGGAGTTGTCAGTTGACTGGACAGCTATGGATTTAGGGTACGCATTCTGTTGCAGACAGCGGAGAGTGGAAACACGATGATTGTGCCAATTACATAGTTTCTTTGTTAATTTAATTCGATTGCAAAATAAGTCAAATGAACTGTAGTCAAACTCATGAGTTTGACAGAGTGCTTCAACTAAACTCTAATCCTAAACACCATAATTTTGAAAATACGTCTAATCATAAGATTCTAGATACTAACAGTTTGAACAGACATGAAGGTGTGATGTTAGCTGACGCATAGGAAATCCTGATTAGTAAATAAGAATGGATATGTATCACTAACTAATAATACTTGATCATAGTTCCTGACTGTCTATATCTACTTATGGAGACGTTAAGACATTGTTTTACAACTGTTTATCCGCACACATACACACTGTGTTTAAAGTGATTAACAAAGATAGATCAATATTTGTAAGTCTGAGATCAAATTTTGATCACAACTCATACAATTTTGTTTATTGTACATGTTAATGCCTGTTTTATGACTCATGATTGGACAAAGTTTTTAAAAATAAGAGATGTTCCTTCTATATATAAACCTCTGTTATGTTAATTTCGATTAATTTCCCTGAAGAAGTTCGGACCAGATTGCCGAACGAAACGTTGGAATTACTCATTTCAATATCGCTGAGATTTTACAAATATAATTTTTACAAATGTCTACTTCTCACTCGGCGCCCAAATATTTTAGAACTATTCTGCCAAATCTTGACTACAGTTCATTTGACTAATTCAATGTAGTTTGTTTACTTATCAGTCTTATATCTCCCAATGTAATTTCAAAAGTATTTATATATTCACGTATGTAGAGTATTCAGCTGAAGAGGAGTTGTACCGAAATTTGATGAATTCATTAAATCATCCTGCTTTATTAACCACCTTTGTTGCTTCTTTTAAATTCGTATCGGGAAATAAATGTTTTCAATTCAGTGTTTATAATGTACACCGAGAAGAACTTTTCAAGAACTTAATGTTTTTCTACTTTCTTTTCTGTTTTTTCAAATACACTTTAGTACTTGGTTGGAAGAATTAGCTAAACTACATATGGATTCAAGAAGTTTCACAGAATTGGCTATGACTAAACTTCATATTGCTGCTTTAATGGCAGAGTACTTGAAACGTCGAGGTAATTCATCTTGTCTTTTGATAAGGTGTTTCTTTTTTTGCTCTTACTTTTTATCATGTGTGTTTGATTGATATCACTTGAAGTATCATTAGTGTTCGAGTGGGATGTGTGATTTGTTCCACTGATAGTTCATTGTTTCATTTCATTAATTGTGGAGGGCTGAAACACTACGGTGGCGCCCTAACCGAAGCAGTTGATTGTCTTAAGGCCACCACCCTTCTTCGAGCCTTTGACCTCGGGTATAATTCACAAGGCGGTGGAACAGCGTTAGGAACTACGTTTCTATGGTTGCCAATGCCCCATACAGGTTTATACGCTGTTTACTCTGACTGGATTCTGGAGTCCATGTACGCCATAGTTGAAATCAAGTTGAATTTATCACATTGCTGATAGATAGATAGATAGATAGACAGTTTCTCACCTTATCATCATTTAAATATTTCAGCTATGCATTTATTATACCTGTTTATTATCAGAGTGGAGTAGGGTCCCAGTGGCTTAATGGTATACGAGCTCGCCTTGTAACCCAGAAGGTCATGGGTTCGAACCCTGACAGTGGGTGCCTACTGCTGTGGAAGAGTCCCAAACTAGTCTGACGAAACGGCTGGCTGTTCTCTAACCCAATGTTAGCTCATGATGAAATCCTGTAACCAATTTTGCTAATTATTCTAACTTGTAGTTTACCTTAGAATAAAATGGTATTTTGTGAAGATATTTTTTTCTTATAGAAAATGTGTAGTGTGTGTGTGTTTTGTTTAAAAATGTCGAGTTTATTCTCTATACATCGTGTTTCTTCTTTGTTTTATTATGATTTGGTGAACTCTCCATCCAATCTTTCAGACAGTTGTTGTTACTGGTTTATCAGACAAAGACAAAGACGTTCCAACTTGTGGACAGTGTCATCGTATATATATAATTGTGTTTTTGCGGTATTGAGACTTGTTGGAATGCATTTTGTCTTATTTCACTTAATAAGTTTGTTAGTGTACCAAAATGTGCACAACGCACACACAGACGTGTTTAGTCTCGATGCCTATAAATCACCATATCTACACACATTAGTGATTGGTCTTGTATTTAGGAATTTGTATTACACAGATTTTGGCATACATTCAATCATGTAAACTCACTACTAAAACTAGTAACGCATATTTTCTTTCTGTTTTTCAGGCCTTTTAGAGTGTGAGTTTGTGTTTGTCCATCATTTTGCGCGTTTGCCTGCCTGCCTGTCTATCTATTCGTTTATCCATAAGTTTGTGACTTTTTATTTTGTTGGTGAAGAGAGAGGGTGTGGTTATAATAGTAACAACAATAATACCTTTGCATCTTTGCTACTCGCCCTCATTCGCATTCATCTCTCAGACTAACATGCCGTTAAAGCGCTAACCTGCTGTGTGTATGCTGTGTGAAATAATGCAAATACACACACTACTCATATACATGAATAGATGGACAAACAATATTAGTTTTTGTTGCATAACTTTCCGAGACACTCGTCTCTCTCTCTCTCATTTTGTCTCCATCCTCTATGAATGGCGGGGGTGGTGGTGTTTGCCTCATTTTTTTTCTAAGGGTATGAATACTAACCATTTTGTTGTTGTTGGTGTATTTGTTTATTTGTGTGTGTGTGTGTGCTTTATGTATATAAACATGACACAGATAATTACTCTATTGTGCTTTTTCTTCTTCAAGCTAACCAAAAATGAACCAAATAAAAATGGTTTTTCTTTTGTACACATATTAACATTTAAGAGAAAAGAGAAAAAATTTTTAAACTAAAAAGTAAAACGTTGGTGGTGGTGGTGAGGTTGTTGCTTTTTTTTCATTCTTTTGTTTTACACTATATTTTCCGGCAATACATTCATTACAGTGAATGTCATTCTATCGACATACTCATATATGGTAGTGGTATTAGCAGTAGAAGTAGCAGTCTTCTTCTTCTTTAGTGTGTTATTTAAATTTTTGAAATAGGTGGGGTTTTTTTGGTTTTACTCAAGAAATTTTTTGATTTGGCCTCCTTCCTTTTAGACTGATTGATTGATTGATGTGACTCTTAAGACCTACTAGCGTAGGCGGTTTAAGTAGGCAAGGTGAATTTGTTAGAAATTAGTAATTGTGATCAGAATTTTTGTTCGTGTGTGTATTACAGGGTGGGGAGGGGCAAGGGGGTTTGGAGCCATATATGTTATGTGAAAGCCAGTGATACTATGAAGTTCCCTGGGTTGAGGTTCGAACCCGCGATCCGTTGTTGGCTTAAAATCGCCACGAAGATGTGGAATTTACTTGGCTTGGTCTTCAGTTTACTGAAGAATAGTACTACTACAGTGGTGAAAGCTGGCTGCTAGCCAAATTGGTAATTTACGTCAATCTTTACGTCCTCAATATTGGTCGTGAGAAAAGTAAGAACAAAGATTCAACAAGCAATCATAGCAAACTTTTCCTAGGCGGATACAATTTGCAGATAGATGATCTGAACTTCAAGAAACGGTCACAAACAGATGAAAAATTAACGTTCAGCAAGAAACCGCCAATCAGAAGACTGTGTTTGTTTTCTTAAATTATTATTATTATTATTATTGCTCCCTTGGGTTCCTAGTGGAACATAGGGCTTCAACTGCACGTCTCCACTTACTTCTCTCTTCTGCTCTACTTTTCACCTGCATCCATGTTAGTCCATACTGTTTCAACTCCTATTCACACGATCTCCTCCATGTCACCCTTGGACGTCCCACACACCGCTTCCCTTTCGGGTTCCACTCGAGGGCTTGTTTTCCTAAATAGTCTATAATAATGTACATGAAAATCTATAAATATTTGTTGATTTCTTAAATAAAGGATCTTTTGCCTGGCCCTTGTCTTCTGTAGTAGTAGTAGTAGTAGTGAGCTAACCTGGTTTTTATTGTTTTGAAATAGTCATGAGCGTCATTCATATGTGATTTGTTTAGTGGTGGCGGTAGCGCTGAGGGGTAACGATGGATTGAATGTAGTGAGGTAGTCACTATTGTCTCTCATAAAATGCTAAAATTTAAAACTCATTTATATTTTATTTCGATTGGACACTAGATAGTAAATATGTAACGACAGAAGACAAGGGCCAGTCAACAGGCCGTTTATTGAGAAAATCAACAGATATTTATAGATTTTTATATACACTATTACTAGGGTTATTGTTAGCGGAGAAGCAACCTCTTCTGATTGGTTGTTTTCTTGCTGGAGGTTACGCAGTCATCTCTTTATGTCTGTTTCTTAGAAAGTTAAGGCATATCTCTGTGAGTCGTATTTGCACGCGTTGAATCTGCTGTGATTGGATGGTGATTTCGTCAAGGTGAAGCTTTGTTACTGTTTTTTTCTCTCATGACTCCGATCCGGCATGTAAACATTGACATAAATTCTGCCTAGAATTTTGGCTTGCAGACAGTTATCATCACAACTAGTCTTTTCTTTGATGCAGACTGAGTTCTGTCGTCAGTCAGGTTTACAATGTGACTACCAACAAGCTGGGTGGCTCGCCATCGCGGTGCACTTTGAATTTTTTGATTTTACATAGTATTCAATATTGTCTTACAGAAGGTCAATCGTGAGTCTGAATAGCTCAGTGTGGTAAAGCCTCTAACTGCAGGTGGCATTGGGTGATGCGGGTTCGAATCTCAGAAGGAGGGACATGAATTCCTTCGAGTCGGTTACAGATACACCTTGCTGACTGACTGGTGTGAGTGCCAACTAGCGGGAAACCTAGGTGTGTCGAGTAGGGTTTTCTGTGCCCAATTGTCTCCAGTCATCTAAAATATCGTTTATAGATGTTCTTTTTTCTCCATTATTGGATTGTCTTTACTGGATGATTAAAATCGCTGGTCATAATCAGCGATTTAGTTAGTATACTGTAATTTATGAAACAGTTTGTATGTGTATGTGTTACTATCCTATCGGATAATGTAGAAATCCTTCTAACTAAATAGTGAAATTAAGTTGGACTGGTGTTATCACTACACTTTCAGTGGTATTTGTGTGGTTTATGATGAATTTTTGGATATGCATATAACACTGGTTGAATGGTAAAAGATTTACTCAATATGTATATTTCATATATAATGTTTCGGTAAAGCGTAACATACTACCACCTCGCCCCTCCCCCAACCTCATAGACAGAAATATTTAATTTAATTCTTTATTATTGTTTCATTTAACTTTTCATAAATGGAGTGAATAGCCTGAAATACGATAGTCTTTAAGCTTTATAAGATGATAAGTATCCCTAGTAGGGAGTGTGCTCGTTGAAGTGTGTGGGCGGTTGTTACTTCATTGCTGCTCATACCGTGGGAGTTGGTTGATTCTTTGGGCACCTGAAACAGAAAGAGGGTTACCGTTGTGTGACGTCAAAGCCTAAGGGAAAACTGCTTGAGGCCGGTCACACACGGTTTGTATGAACTGGTTTGCGACAGACAACGGACAATGAGGAAACAGGCATAAAATGGACTCACACAGAAATAGAACTTGGAGGATTTGGACTTCGCCCATGGTGATATATGTCTGATTTCCCACAAGTTGGAAGATATGCAAGTGAAAAGCAACAAGGTGGCACAAGGAGCATTAAAGATAGGACTTCAAGTGAACATAGATAAAAAGAGGTGATGAAGATTCCTGGCCAACACCAACAGCAACAACAACAACAGACAACAACCAGCCAGCATAAATGGAAGGAATCTGAAAGAAGCAACCTCCATCTACCTACCTACATACCTAGCTGGGAAGCATCGTTTCAACTACAGGCGGAACTGACGAGGATATCAAAGCCAGAATCGGAAAAGCAAGAGAAGCTTTCATTACTCTTAAGTCTGTGTGGAGGTCAACAGCACTCAGCATCAAAAATAAGATCCGGATTTTCAACTCCAATGTAAAGTCAGTCAGTGCTACTATACGGATCAGAGACTTGGCGCGTCATAAAGAGCATCTCAAACAAACAACAGACCTTCATCAACTTCTGTCTTCGCTCAGTACTCAATATCAGATGGCCGGCCAGAAAAGATCAGCCACAGGGATCTCTGGGAGCGAAACAACCCAGCAGGAATCGACTGTGCAACAAATAAGCAGGAGATGGACTGGCCATACTCTTAGACAACAAACCATCAAATGACATCACCAGACAAACCCTCGAGTGAAGCCCGAAAGGGAAGCGATGAGTTGGTCGCCAGTGCAAGGGTGACTTGGAAGAGGTTATGTGAAGAGGAGATGAAAACATGTGGGCAGACTTGGAGCCAGGTGAAAACTTTGGCAGAGAACTGAACGCAATGGAGACGCGCGGCTGAAGCCCTATGTTCCTCCAGGAATTAAAGGAAATAATAATAATAATAATGACAGGTAGTTGAGTAAACAGTCAGGTTGGGTTTTTTTTTCTCTTTTTGTTTTTGGTAGTCTGTCGTCTACTTCATGATTATTATCATTATTTCAATGCGCTTATCACTTACTCACTCAGTCACTGATTGATCGGTCATATTGTTCTGTATTTCTTTTCAGTAGAATTCCCAGCGTATATGTCAGTTACAGTTAAATTTAGGGTGCTGACATGTTCATATCCAATAAAACAAAAATGAAGATAGTTTGATTACTGATAAACACATTCAAGTAACACAGTTGTGTTGATTTTTATCTACCAGTGTTGAATCATCTCTCTCTTCAGTGCACGCCATACAATTAAAACTGTCCAGTAAAAGGAGGAGATTTACCATAGGAATATAACTGTGTTTCATAGAACCTTATATTGAATTTCATTATAAATAAAATTTTATTTTGATAAATCACACAGTGTAGTGTTATACAGCACAATAGCAACTGATGACCGGCTTTCGAGCACAAATTATTCCCGCTGATAATCATATCAACGCATTCACTCACTCACACAACTTTATACTTCATTTATATCATTATTATTATTATTTCCTTTAATTCCTAGTGGAACATAGGGCTTCAGCCAAACGTCTCCATTGCGTTCGGTCCTCTGCCAACGTTTTCACCCCACTCCAAGTCTGACCACATACTTTCATTTCCTCTTCACATGACCTCCTCCAAGTCACCCTGCCATTGACGACCAACTCGCCGCTTCCCTTCCGGGTTCCACTCGAGCGGTGGCTTGTCTAGTGATGTCACTCACTTGATGGTTTCCTCACAGTATGGCCAGCCAATCCATCTCCACTTCTTCCTGCCTATTTGTTTCACAATCGGTTCCTGCTGGGTTGGTTCGCTCCTAGAGTCCCTGTTCTCCTTTATATACACATGAGTGAAATTGCAATGACTGTGAGTTAGGTCAACTGCACAGGTGCAACTAGTAGTTCGGAGGTAGTCAGATTATCAGAACATAAAAATTTAGCTAAGGTTAGAATGATTCACCTCACCTGCGGAGATAAGTAATTTAGGAAAAAGCTCAGCAATCACGCTGCATGCATTAACACATAGCTACACAACAGGGTGGGTGGGACAGAGTCAAAATTTTCAAAAATAATATAAGTAGGTGGAGAAACAGAGAGATTGATTACTGAATCCTGATTGGTTCATTTGGTCTACACCCAACACATGCAACAGAAATGATTCAATGCAAATACCAGAGATATGGAAGACATTATTACCACCAGTCAGTCAAATCAGAGGAGGATAATAAGTAATCTTAAAATTCTATTTCAATTCACATACATTGTAACATTCTCATAAGTTATTTATTTATTTTGACCATAAAACACTCGTCTTATTTCCCATCTGATTGTAATTGATCAATAACACTCTGATTTTATTCAAATGTCTAATCATCAATTTCACTCGTGTATATAAATTAAGGAAAAAGTTATGTGAGTGAGTGACTTGATGTGATTATAAGCAGTAATAAATTGTGCTCGAAACGTGTGGTCATCAGTTAATATTACTGTATAACAAACACTGTGTGACAGTTTATCAAAATGAAATCTTATCCATAATGGAGTTATACCCTACCAGCACAGTGCCCAAGTTTTATACTTATATCAATATTCCACCTATTCTCTAGGTACTTTTTTCGTAAATCTACTGTTAGGTAGGGTTACGGCTTTTTTAGACTAAGGCTACGGGTCTAGTGTTAAGGTTAGGATTATGGTTAGAGTTAGAAGCGGGTTGGAGAACAGTGTCAGAAACACTAATGGATTTCAGAGCTCCACGACCTACAGTCACCTGGATGAATGTTTCTATCGTGCATGATATGATTTCTTGATAGTTCATCTGTGTTAGTGACTGGAAGACATTCTCACAACACATAACCTACAACTGTGTATAGTGCATTATCATGTTAGCCATCCTTTTTAGTGCATTTTTCAACGATTATGCTACTTTTCTGGCATTCTGATTTATTAGAGAAGGGTATCCTGTGTAACAGAGTGTCTCATGCCTTTTAATTCTTCATTAATTTCATGCATGTTTGTACTTGATTCACACAAATATCGCCTTTATCATGTGATTGGTGTGTTCAAGATATTATTTTCTTTATTTTTGTTGGTGCTTAAAGTTTAACTTTTGCCAATATTGTATTATTATGATTGTGACTAGTTTTGTGCAATATACATATACATTGAGTAATTATTTGATTATAATTGATCTGTCTTCAATTTTCGAATATTTGATGAAGATTACACAGTAGAGATTTTTTCTTAATGAGAAAGACTGTTTAATAATAATAGCGTGATGATGCCTGAAGATGAACTGAAAGCATTTTTCAGATCATTATGTGCTCTTTATATCATCGATTCGAATACGCCATTGATGATTAACCTACAAGTTTCAACTACCACCGACTGAGTGTTCATTACACTTAAGTCATTGACAGCGTGTTATTATTGTCTCCTTTAATTCCTAGAGGAACATAGGGCTTCAGTCGAACGTCTCCATTGCGTTTGGTTCTCTGCCAACGTTTTCACCTGGTTCCACATCTACCCACATGCTTTCATCTCCTCTTCACATGACCTCCTCCATGTCACCCTTGCACTGACGACCGACTCGCCGCTTCCCATTCACCTTCCACTCGAGTGATGACCTGCACTGCGTGTGATGTTGCTTGATGGTTTGTTTTTTCATAGTATGGCTAATCCACCTCATTTTTCCGGCATATTCGTTGTAGATTCGGTTCCTGGTTGGTTTGTTGCTAGAGATCCTTGTTTCTGATTTCTTTCAGCCATCTAATTTTCAGTATTGAGCGGAGACATCTGTTGATAAAGGTCCTCAGATTATCTGAAGTGCCCTTCGTGGCGCGGCGCTGCACCAAGTCTTTGATTCGTATAGTAGTGCTGACTTCACATTGGAGTCGAAAATCCGTATGTTATTTTTCATTCTGAGTGCTGTTGACCTCCACACAGACTTAAGAGCAACGAGAGCTTGCCTTGCTTTCCCGATCAGTTCCGTCCCCCTGTAGTTGAAATACCGATGCTTCCCAGGTAGGTAAGTAGGTAAAGGAGGTTGCTTCTTTCAGATTCCTCCCACTCATACTGTCTGATTGTTGTTGCTGTTGACCAGTAATCTTCATCACCTCTGTTTTTCCCATACTCATCTGAAGGAAGTCCTGCATTTCTCCTGAATCCAGCTTGTTCCGATTGAAGTCTTTCATCCAGAGCGCGTTCGATTCTCTCCAGGATTATGCGGCTTAGTGTTTTGCTTGGGATAGACAGGAGCATAATGCCGCGCCAATTCCTGTATTAACTAAAGTCTTGTTATATGTGTAGATGAAATATACAATTTTGTGAATTAACTCACGATTTACAGAGTTCGAGGTGATATCTCACCAACACTCGAATTGTGGAAATAGGAAATCTGATCTAGCGTTGTATTAACAGCTCACTAGTCAGTATTTAGGCTGCTTAAAGTGATCTGGCTCTCTGAGCTGAGTGAGTTAAACTGGGTACACCATTGGTGCCCAGTACACGAGTGAAACGACCGTCTAGCCTTTAATTCATTTCGATCTGGCTAGTAAGCACTACTGATTGATGTGAGTGGTATCTAACTACTCAAATCCATCAGTCAGTAGTATAAAGCATCCTGCTATATGACTCAATATATATTACACAATTGTTTGTCTAACATTGGTGTTCACGCTGATATGGCTGTCGTGAGGTCGATTGTTAATGATTATAGAGCTGACAGTGCACCTACGTACGCTTGCAACAATGAAAATGCCAGAAGTCTCTTGTGCTCCACTTCGCATGGATATTTTAAACTTCGTTCATCATCAAATCCACAAGAATTCAAGACAACCGTATGCAGTTAGTACCAAGACTGGCCATCAAACCTCTGATGAGTCTTGGGTTACTGGCAGAGCTGTTGCTCGTATCTTCAGACTACTTGGTGGTAGTTTTCATCGGTCAGGCCGTGGAGCTTACGGAAACATGTGTCGAGCTGGGCTTATGTTTGCTCTAACTAGGACGTGGAGAAGGTGGCGCAAGAAAATAAATGTTCAACAAAGACGTTACGCTACTTGTACTACAATTTCAGCTACTGGTGTTCCATCTTTGGTCATCGTAATGATTGTGTTCCCGAGCTCCCTCTTGTTGTGTCAAGCGATATGAAGTCGGCAAAGAAAACTAAAGATGCTGTGAAGATGCTTAAAGCAGTTCAGGCTTGGCCTGATATGCAGAAAGTCTACAACTATCAGCAGTTCAGAGCAGAAAAGGGTAAAGTGAGGAATTGACATCGTATTCACAAACGCGGTTCAATTTTTTTTTACAAAAAAAGGATGACAGAATGACTCGTGCATTGAGAAACGTTCCAGGCTTGACTTTGATTAGCGTCAGAGCTCTCAGTCTGTTGAAACTTTCTCCAGGTGGTCATATGGACTGAATCCAAATCCTGGAGAAAATTAAAAATGCAAGGGATGGCAAATTTACTGCAGGTTTATGCATACAGAAAAGGAGTGTAATCGATCTTTCACTACCTTGTTATAACTGAATTTTGATTACACTGATTAGTCATCCATATTAGTGATTTCAACTCATTGAGCAAGTTTTCACTTCGATGAACTTTAACCTTCTTGAGTTGCTTTATGAAACCTACAAGCTAACACTATTTATCAGATTTTTTCTGTTTTCTAATCTCGAGAGCGATGTATAGTAGCACAAACGCATTGTAGGTACATAAACTTGGTATACCTTATCTTTATTTGCACATCATTTGCAAGTTGGTCGAATTTCACCAGATTCGATAGCTTGTTGGATACTGCACAGTATTTGTCACATACTTCTCACAGTCTTCTTCTTCTTCTTCGACTGCTTCCTCCAGTGCTCCAAAACATATTGGTACTTTTTTGAACTCGTTTACTGATATACTGCTTATATGCGATTATAAGTAGCGCAATACCATTCGAACTTTGACGATCGTCATTTCTATCATGGAAATTAATATAAAAAAAAAGCCAAGTCCACTTTAGATTTCTGTTGTATTGATGTTTTTTTCTTTTACTGATTTTTTGTTTAATTTTGTATAAAATATTTTAGGTGAATTTCCTCAAGGATGTGATGCATTTAAATCAATTTCATCAAATATTCATATAGAAGAAAGTGGGCTGAGAGCAGATTCTGGTGTACTAGAGATTTCTTATACTCAGGTATGTCTTTTTTAATTTTAAAGAGTATCTAGCAAATAAATTCTTATAACTCTGTAACTGGTGATGATTTCGCGCTAATCATTGGTCTTTTAGCGTGCATGGATTTCAACCATTTCGCTCCCATGGTGTGAAACTCCCCTCTCCCACTTATGCCTTGGTAGTATTGTAGCGTATGCTACTGACAAGTTTTGCGAAATGACTACCATTCTAGGTGTGTTGCCGTCATGGTGCACTGCACTGTGTATTGTTAATATCAGATGTTTGCAGGTAATCAGCAGGAAGCCTTGCTTGACCTAGATAGATTTCGTGCTATTTGACACTCACCAATCAGAAAGGCGTAGCTGTAACCTTCAACGAACTCATGTCCCTCCTTCTGAGGAACCAAGTCAGTGTCACTCAGTACCGCCTGCAGTCAAAGACCTTACCACTGAGGAGCTAGCAATTGACCTCCAGTGAGACTGTATTAGATACTTCGATTGAACACTAGCTATAATAATGAGTGTAATGTGTCTAGTTCTTTGTTTGGTACAGGCTTGAATTTTATCAGTCATGTTTGCAATATGGCCAGTATGTAGATATGCCTTGCTGATTGACTGGTGAATGCCAACTAGCGTCGGTAGCACAGCGGTTAGGACTCTCGTCGATCATGCACATGGTCCAAGTTTCGATCCCCTGCCGACGCATACCCTATATCTATGGTCGGCCTGCAAAAATTTGGACTACCGATATCCATGCTGAAAATTCTATACTTGCACCAAAAATACAGTGTGGAATAAAGCTGTAATCAAAAAATATATAAGTCGCCCATGCTTAGCGTCCCGAAAAAAATACTCTACATGAACCTTCAATTCAGTGGAGATATGTCTGCGGAAACACTAAGAAATCGACTGTCGCGCTCACTTAAGAAGACCTTCTTCGCAGCTGAACTACGACTAACCTTCTCCACAAAACCTATGATTCATGTGAACGTGAAGGATAAGCTACCACTGCTGGCCTCATCAATGTAAATTTATCAGTTCACCTGCTCGTGTGGAGGCAGGTATGTCGGCCGTACCCAGCGTTCGCTTTCCAAGCGTATCACCGAACACTTACCAACATGGTTTCACAAAGGAGAAAAACGATGCCCCCGCAGCTCCATCTTAGAACATCTGATAGAATCCGGACACCAAGCTGCACCCCAAACAAACTTCAAAGTCCTCTACAGAGTAAGAAGTAGTCTTCCTAAAGATGTACGAATCAGACCTCTTCAAACTGCAGAAGCAATGGCGATTCACTTGCTAAGTCCTGAATTCTGCATACAGAAGAAGTTCGTTCAATCACTACACTCGCAATGGACGTAATCTATCTTATTACCCGACAAGTAAATTCTACCTAATTTTTTTCTGTCTCTTCATTATTACCATTTTGTCTTCTCAATTTTTATATTTTACATTTTCAACTTTCTTGTTCCCTACTCCCATCCGATTTAATTTCTACACCTCACTACCATTGTTACTGACTTGACCAACGCTCAATTTCTAGTCATTTATGTTACGTCATTCAACTTATTTGCTCAATTTCAGTTCTCATTTAAATGGCATTATTCTCTACCCCACTTCTACTTACTCTCTCCCTGTAATTACCTCTGTTGCTACCCTGACGTCATCTAACTTACTAACTCAATCTTACTTCAGTTGCTGTCTGATTAACCTTGTTTCTATATTAAATCATTCTTGTATTACCTGATTAATTATCTAAACTTGACAAACCTTATGTACACACACACACACACACAAATAATTATATATAAATGCGATTGTACAGAGCTATGTGAATGAATTCGCCGGTGAAAAGAGTCTCTTCGCTGAACGTCTTCTCTTTTTTTCATATGACTCAATAGGGATTTTCAAGCTACTGCAGTATGTCACAAATTATCCTCTTCATATTTAAATTAAAATTCTGTTTCCGTATTTTATATACACATATAAGTATATGTATATTTATCCTAGAATTAATTTGTTCAATATCCAATGTTGTTGTTGTTTGTTCATATATGCTTATTTGTTTATCTTTGCTGTAAATTAAATTAACTTTTCTTTTTAGGAGGATCTGTTGACTGATTTAAATGAAGCTGCTGTAGCTTTAGAATCAGCCGGTCTATTCGAATGTATACTACCTGTTTATGCATTGGTTTTACCCGTCTATGAGTATAGATGTCAATACACGAATTTGGCTCAAATCTATCATCATATTGGTCGAGTTTATGAAGCAATTAGTCGTGTCGAGTCACATGGACATCGTTTATTTGCATCATATTATCGTGTAACTTTTCATGGGCAAGTAAGTCATGAATACTGAACCTGTATTCTAATTGTGATATGGGAAATGAGAATTGTCTTTAGACTGACTGAGTTCATCCCATGGTGTGTGTGTGTGTGCGTATGTTCTATTTTCCTCCACGTTCCCCAGTGGAACATAGGGGGCTTCAAGCTAGTGGTTTGAAGTTTCTGTAGCAGTGGTGTTTATTTTTACAGGATGAGGTTGCTAGCCACCTCATGCCCAACCTTTCCTCTTTACCAGCACTATTTCTGGCTTAGGGAGGTAAAGGAGTGCGTCAGTGGCCGGGGATTGAACCCCGGACTATGTGCATGGTCGGCGAGCATCCTAACCGCTGTGCCACCGACGCGCAGTGCTTCCTTACATGTATGTTAATACTAAAAATCTACATAGTTTAAGGTGAAGAGGTTTCTTTTTTACTTTATAAGCTACGGTGTAATTTTTGTTAGGGTAATTGTCAACTGCTAGACCATTCAATGTGTTAAATACTGTGAGTTATTGGATACATGAGGCAAACAGGTGAATTTGGGCACAAGTGCTGTTATTATCTACTTCCGATAATATCAAAACTTTTGTTGGTTTGTTTAGTTTGAATGTGAAGCATATTATCACGAACATTTACCAGTCCTATAAAGTTTACAAACGCTGAAACAATTAACACCATGCTATAATTACAACTAAGTGATTTTCCTGATTTTGCTGATCCATTAAATCAGATACATAGCAATTCCATAGTACTCTAAAGGCACTTGCAATGGAAGATTCGAGGGGTTGAATAGGTGAGAAAACGATGTCGTCACTTATTTAAAGCTACATATAAGATATCATATTAGTTCAGCACACAGTATCCATCTCACTTGGACATAATGTTCATTACATTCAAACGTTTGAAAGTGTTGTTCAGCGTTATTCCAGACTTCAGTATCCTGCACGGCTACTTGAAATCACTTAATACGTTTTCCAGAGATTTTTTAAATCAAACACATTTTTACTACTTGACGACTCATCTGATTACTAGTTCAGGATCAATTAGTTGATTGTCCCCTAGGGTCCAACTCTTCATTTACAGGGTTGAATTAAGGTCAGAGGTTAAAGCTTAGGAATTAGGACTAGAATCAGGGGAAACACTGGAGGTTAAAGTAACACAAAAGTCCTCCTACTGAGAAGTTTACACATGCAAACACACAATCTATTCAAAAACTCAAGGATTGTTACATTCCATTATTCTGATTACTTGTTTGAGATAACTTAGTGGCTATTATGGATTATCTTCACCCCTTGGCTCTAATGTAACCATTAGCGCTAAGCCCAAACTTAGACAGCTGCCAGTATTCACGATTAGTAACACACCTGCTAATTCAAGATGATCTGGTGGCAAATACAGTTTATCTCCTCCCACTTTGTTACAAAGTGGTACAGTAGGGTATTTGAAATTACCTGCAGTAAACCAACACGCGAAGATCAGTCTGATGCGCACTAGTAGCGCACCTACAATGATACCAGAAATAGAATTCACAAGGTGAATGTGTGTCAAATTGCCCCTAATTTCTAACCTCTCTTGTACAAAACACGACCATCATTCAATATCGTAAAACCCCAACTCACTATTATAATATGAGAAAAGCCATCTGGAGACAAGATACACACGCTATCTGAGATTCAGCAATGGGTTAGTGAACGGTGTGATCGACAATGTATAGAGTAGTATGGTAACATATATTTACCAGGTAATAGATATTAGGGTTTATGGGCTATTTATATTTCAGACGTAGCAGTACTCTCCGTGTAATCTGAAGATCCCAGGTGGGGAGTGTCATTGGTGTGCACTGCCGAAGGATCTGAAGAAGCTAGAAGAAAAACAGCTATCATGTGTGTTCTCTCCAGTTTTCAATAGTTCTTTAATTCTTCATGGCGCGATTGTTGATGAAATCTGCTTTCATATCAAATAGATTAGCACAACTTAAACTTATGAATAAACACCGTGTTATCAACACTAATCTAATCACATTCATAAATCAAATTAAACATATCCACGTTTTAGTTTAATTAGCTAGCTCTAGGCTCTTAGATCGGTATATGATGAAATGTCATTAGGATATTTTTTTCTTGTCCAAGTCAGACAGATAGTCAGATAGATAAACGGATAGACATAATTGGGAGAATGAAGAAACTCTAATCATCAAAACATTTATGATTCATCTCGCCTCTCACCCATTATTCTTTAATGTCCTGGCTTGGTCAAAAGGGACTTTGTGTCATATTGCTCTAAGAGTATTAAAATACTTGAATATCAATGAGATGCTCACTGGTGACTGGCCGTGTTCAGGTAGGTGGTTAACTGGGTTCCAGTGAGAAGTCGCGACCAGTAGAGTGTATAGCAGGTCGGTTGTGAGGACAAATACTCGCCGCCAACGACACTAGTTATTGCCAGTCGCGCTATTACTCTAATTTACATAGATTTATATATATAAATTTTTAACCAATGACGGTGATTTTGTGGATCAAATAATAATTGATAATGAATTATTTGCAGAAGTTGGAATTCGTGGGGTAGTCATCGGATCAGGTCCCAGTGGTTGCTGAGTGGTCTACGAGTTCGCTGGCCGTGTAGGCAACCGAAAGATCGTGGGTTCGAACCATGGTGGTGTGTGAATAGTGCTGTGGAGTTCCGATTGCTAGGACGAAACAGCTAGCTAGCTGTCCAGAACTCCGGTGCTGGTTTCCCAGTGGTTCTCCAACCGGTGTCACCTCATGATGAAATCCTGTAACCAATTAAAAGGAAAGATACTTGCTGAATACAATGGAAAATTTATGAAGAATCGGTGACTTTCAAGTGCCTCACTCGATATTCATGAGACTGGTCTCCAGCCATTGAAATTTACTGTCTCGAGGACCCTAACCAGTCAGGAAGTCTACACCTTCCTACATGGTTGATTGGCTTAACCTAACTATTGTGGATTTGATTAGCTGATGGAGTCATGTTTGGGTTTGACCACCATCAGTTTACTCTTTTCCAACTTGAACCTGTTTCAGCTAACATTTCCCGTTGAGGAAGCCGATGGTTAGGTATGCATGTGTAACACATGTCTTAACCATCTCAATCGATGTAACTTCACAACATCCTCTATTGATTTCAATGATTCTCTAAATGATGTTGGCTTGTCATCAAGCCTGAGACAAAAACAATCGAATCTTTACAAACTAACCCTTGAAAATGAGTGTAGAATGATTGATCCCATAAATATGAGTAGATCAGCAATTGCAATGCATGCATCGAACACACAGTCACATGAGAGAGTGGGGTAGAGCTATAGTTTTAAAAGTAATATGCGTAGGTGGAGGGAGAGGTTGATCATCGGATCTTTATTAATCGAATCTACACTTAACACGTACAATAGGAGTGATTTGCCACCAATACCATGAGATATAGAAAATATTACTACGAATAAAATTCAAGGATGGGAAATAATGGAATTATATAGATGAAGTTGGAGGCTGTATGAATGCCTTGATGTGATTGATATGATGATTATGGGCAGCAGAAATAAACTGTCCTCGAAACGTTGTCATCAGTCAACGAAATAATACTATATCAGTGTGTAGTTTTATCAAAATAAATTGTCTCCATAATGGAATTATACTCTACCTACCACAGTGGCCAAGTTCTATTCTTATAATTACAATAGTTACAACTCCTTTCTTTTTGTATAATTCTACCTTTTTTTTTTCTTTCCTATTAGTTATTTGAATCAATGGCTGGGAAATCATTCATATATCGTTCAAATCCATGTCAAAAATTAAATGAAAAATGCAATGAATTATTACAGTTGTATCGTAGAAAATATGGAGAGAATCTAGTGGAATTATTATCGGATAATTTTATTAATCGATCTAGTTTAGATTCGAATAAAGCTTATGTACAGGTAGGTAAGAGAAGGAGGACGATATGGAGGTGGAGGTTATACTCGACTCGTTCGCGTGTTACTTTTATTTATTCTGTGTTTTTTCAATCAATATATTTGATTGAATTTTAGATTTTCTCGTCGATTGATTCGACCGAAGTGCTCGGTCTCAGGTTGACATGTCCGTTGGCTTCTTGTGCAGATACTTCAACAATGTCTAGGCATTTAATTGAAAGTTAATTGGTGGATAGTGACTAGCTGTGGAATCCAGGATGAACATTTCGTCCTATTTGGGACTCCTCATCTGGATGTAACTGTATTCCGCAGTGAGTGAAACTATAGACACTGGGTTCGAGCCTCATTGGGCACATCGTCATTGACTCACTGGGGAATGCAGGTAGATCCAGATGACGTTTCCTTATCAGAACGAAATGCGAATCCTGGATTCCACTGCTAGTCACCATCCACCAATTAACTTTTAAATTAATTTAATTTGAACTTTTACCCGACGGTTCGGCCTCTGTTGATATTTCGGCTCCTTGTGCGGATGTTTATTAAATGATGTCTAAGAATTTAACTTTCAACAATTTGGTAGATGGTGTCTAGCATTTAGATTCAGGATGTGTATTTCATCCTGTTTGGGATTCGTCATCTGGATGTACCTAGATTTCCCAGTGGGTAGTCAGTGATGGTGTTCCCACCGAGGTTCGAACCCAATAGCCATAATTTCAAACGCCAAAGCGTTATCCACTAGACCGCTTGAGTTACGAGAGCTATCCACCTGTTGTGCAACGGAGATTAGTAATTGTTTAATTCAATCTGGCCTTCCTGTTGGTTGATTGGAATACCATCACTTACTGACTGAGAAATGCAGGCACGTTCAGACGACGAGTCCCAAAAAGGACGAAATGGGCATCCCGGTGGATTCTACTGATGGTTACTACCCACCTAATTAACTTGTTTTTATGTTTAAAATATTGATAAAAAAGTTCTAGTGGGAAGTCGTGACCAGTAGGGTACAGAAGGTTGAAGATGAATCAGTAACTCATTGAAGAAGACATTGAGAAATGGTCGCGCTATGTCGTGAATTGGCAGAAGTTAGAATTCATGAACTGACCATTGGATCGGGTCCCAGTGGCTGCTGAGTGGCTTAGGAGCTCGCTGGCCTTGTAACTAGAAGGTCCAGGGTTCGAACCCCACTGGCGATGGGTGCTTACTGATGAAGAGTCCCAAGCACTAGGACGAAACAGCTGGATGGCTGTCCAATACTCCGGTGCTGGTTTTCCAGTGGTTCTCTAACTGATGTCAGCTCATAATGAAATCCTCCAACCAACCAAACAAAATCCCTACAAACCCAATGCCTGTCACTGATTGTTCACCGGATTACAGATAAACAGTACGGGGTTGAGTTGAGATTGCTAGGACACTTCTATGTATTCCAAGCCACCACCTTCCCTATCGAATGATGTTATCCGATTAGAAAGAGAGGAGTGATCAAATCAAAACCTATTATCAATGCATTCATGATGCCTCTTACTGTTGGTTTGAACCGCATAGGATAGTGTGGACTGCATGGCTGGGTACCCTTGAGACTCTAAGAACCAATGGCTTGAGACTATTCGTGACATCTCTGACAAGCGTTATCAGTGGTGTAGGTTTATTCACACGTTGTAATTCTCCAGATGCATTAAATTCTTGTTATTCTCCATGTACTTAGTATTTCTGCTGAACATATCTGTTCATTCAATTTTGTGTGTGTGCTTTTTTCATCTACATCTATGTGCTGTATAGAGTATGACAACTTGAACTGTCGGACATTTGTTCTGTGGCGATGGCTAGGCATGCGTAACACATGTCGTAACCATCCCAATTGCTGTAAATACTTCACAACCTCCTCGATTGATCTTCCCTCCTTACCTAGTATTCGACCGAAGCCTAACCTCAATATTACTCACCCTATTATGTCACCCAACACGGGATATAGGACACAGACAGCTATGATCAAAGACATCTAGACGGCCTTTTCGTGTCTTTCACACTCAATAGCCATGTCTCACTGACAGACATAAAGGAGGAAAGAGGGGTCTTTTGAGCAATACACACATCCTTTGATTGACAGACAGCCGGATATCATGTTCATACGAGAGATTGCATGTGTTGGCAAATGCCAAACGGGTCTTCTGTATCCGTGCTAAGATTCCATCAGCGATCAATCCGCTGGGATTGGTTTATCCAACTTCCCAAAAAATAAGTGAAGTGATCAACACGCGCAGTCACCACTTCATTGCCTATCTTTTGGCTAGGAGTGAAACGATGTAGTTCCGTTCTGCAGGATCATCGTACGTTTCACAACAGGAGTGAACTGCGTGCCAAACATTCAAAGATGCATGAACACCTTAAGCTTTCCAGTCCAACTATCATTATCTTCTAAAGATTCATAAAAATGATATTCCTTTCTTGGATGTAGCTGTGCTCTCTCTGAGCTGGATGGTTTATAGTTGTGAAGCTTTCATTGCCTCACCACTAGGCAACATCTTCAGTATGCATACTTCAATTTGTTGAAATGAGCTTTCAGATTTAGACAAAATTTACTCTATCTGATAGAAGGGAGGTCTTATGCACAAAGGACGAAACTTCAGGTCAAGGAAACAATCAATACGCAGTCTAGAGGGTGTGGAAACACGTAAAAATAGCCAGTCACGTCCAGGGTCACGCACCAGGGAAAATGACTAATAAACTTGTAGAGAAATCTGAAAGCTCACTTCAACAAATTGAAGTGTGCGCTGAAGATGTTGCCTAGTAGTAGTGGTAGTAGGGTAATGAAAGCTTCGCAAATAAACCATCCAGCTCAGAGATCATGGCCACATCAAAATCATCGCACCGGAGCTACAAATCTTCTCCATTAACATCTGAATGGTGTTTGTCTCTTCCATATTAGTTTGTTTATCAGATGTATCACACAGTGAAACAGTATTATCATTTACTGGATGATGTTTCGAACAAAATTTATTATTTATAATCATATCATCAATTATAATCACTCGACTTGGAACTTGAGTTTTACGGTTTTCTTTGTTCTCTCCTATTTGTCATCGTTGGGGTAGTAGAATTTCCCAGATGTCCGACTGGACAGGTGATGAACTATTCCTGTTACATTTATTTGCAGTCAATTCGATAAACAAAGCTTCTGTTATCAATCTCTCCCTCTACCCTGTGACATTAGATTTTAAAACTGTCATCTTATCCCATCCATCCTATTGTATGGTTGTGTGTAATTAAATGTAGCAAGTGCTATCTACAATTGAACTATTCTCTAGATTTCTTATCTTATTTGGGTCAACCAATCTAGATTTCGCTGCTAGGTTTTTAGGCTCGGCTAGTCTAACTGCCCCTGTTCTACTACTTTGACCTATGTATTTGACCAGACAATCATTAAAAGCAGAAGGATAGATAAACCAAATTGTTTTGTTTTAAAGGCTCCACAGGATTGATCCTTTAACCGACAAGCTTGTTTCTAATTGAGTTTGTGGGTTGACCTGAATAAGATAAGAAATCTAGCGAATAATTCCGCAATAGATAGCATTACATGCAGTTACTCACAACCACACAATAAGATGGATGGGATAAGATGACAGTTTTAAAATCTAATGTCACAGGGTAGAGGGAGAGATTGATAACAGAAGCTTTGTTTATCGAATTGACTGCAAATAAATGTAACAGGAATAGTTCATCACCTGTCCAGTCGGACATCTGGGAAATTCCACTCTCCCAACGACGATAAATAGTAGAGAGAAAAGAAAAAAACTATACAACCAAAGTTTCGAAGTCGTGTGATTATAATTGATGATATGATTGTGAACAATAAGTTTTATTCGAAACATTGTCATCCAGTAAATAATAATACTGTTTCACAGACTGTGTGATATATCCAATAATAAACAAACTAATATGGAATTACTTACTACCACAGTGCCCAAGTTTTACACAGATATTGGCATTTCTGTCTGTTCCCATCACTGGTACAGCAGTTTACGGAATTCATTCATCTTGAATACACTGCTTATTTAAGCTGTTTTGCCTTCTTGCCTAAAGACCCATAACAACTTATGTTATATATATATATCAGTATGAATGGTCTTTCTACTTTCTTATTCTTTTGTCAAAATATATATATATGTACTTTATAGGTCACTTATGTGGAACCGTATAAGGAAAGAAAAGATTCTGATAAGAAACCTTTAACGTCGTATGAAAAACATCATGATGTACAACAGTTTATGTTTGAAACACCCTTCTTAAGACAACCAGGTAAGTATTAATCTATACATATACACATATATATATACTACTCATTAAAATAAGTAGTTGAAAACTATTAATGCCTATCGATAGGCCAAAGTTCGCTTGTTCACCACTGAACTTATCAGCTTTGTATGCGATTCGTTCAGACTTGAACTCTAACTCCTCTAGTCACTTGAGAGAGTAGACTGATAATACTTAAAATTAAATTCAGCGCTTGTGAATAACCATTACTTGTTGTCAAGTCAAGGTAACTTAACTGTGTAGTGAATTCTCACCTCCAGTGGTGAAAACTTGTAGACCAATACATTTAAATTCTAGGCCAGATAATTAAGTTTTCTTTCTTTCTTTCTTTTTATTTATTTATTTATTCGTCTAAGTCTTAGACTCTTCAGCATTTGTGAAGTGGTTGTAAATATTTTCTTAATCTTACAGGGAAATCACTTTGTTATTGATAAAATCAGCAGACAGCACGAAAGCACTAAACTGAGGTAATAATAATAATAATAGAAGTGAGCTTCCTGCTAGAGTTGACTTGTAACAACACTTAACAAGTGAAAGATTGTAAGTAAATTCGTCTTTGTGCTTGTGTGTGTGTGTGTCTGTGTCTGTGTGATAGTTACGGAGAAAATGGTGCACTCGACTGATTATGCACCATCGGTAACCAAAAGGATTATTATTATTATTCTTTCCCTTAATTTCTAGAGGAACATAGGGCTTCAGATGCACGTCTCCATTGTGTTCGGTTCTTTGCTAAAGTTTTCACCTGGCTCCAAGTCTTCCCACATACTTTCATCTCCTCTTCACATCACTGCCTCCAAGTTACCCTTGGACTACCAACTTCCTGCTTCCCTTTCGGGTTCCACTCGAGCAATAGCTTGTCTAGTGATATCAGTTGATGGTTTGTTTTCTCAGAGTATGGCCAGCCAATCCATCTCCATTTCTTCCTGCATATCTGTTGCACAATTGGTTCCTTCTGGGTTGGTTCGTCGCCAGAGATCCCACCTTGTTGCTGGTCTCTTCTGGCCGGCCATCTGATCTTGAGTAGTATTAAGCGAAGGCAGTTGTTTGTGAAGATCTGTAGTTTGTTTGAGGTGCTGTTTATGACGCGCCAAGTCTCTGATCCGTATAGTGAGTAGCACTGACTTCGCATTGGAGTTGAAAATCCGGATGTTAGTTTTGATGCTGAGTGCTGTTAACCTCCACACAGACTTGAGAGTAATGAAAGCTTATCTTGCTTTCTCGATGATCCTCGCTTTGACATCCTCATCAGTTCCACCAAAAGGGGGATTAGTAGCAGAGAAATTCTTAAGGAATCGTAAACAGAGACTACTTTATAACCAAGTGATTTAATTAATGTATCTGTATATTTCCCAGCATTCCCTGTAAAGAAGGCATGTTCGGCTTATCTGTTTTGATTTTAAAATTCGATTATAAGAAGACGTAAACAGTGAGGCGAATCTTCTTTTCGATGAGTCATTTTCACATAAGCTCTGTACAATCATAATTAATTATATCTGACAAAGAATTCATAGGACGATCGATCAGATACTGGTAAAATTTGTCCCCGAAAGTGTATTACGCAACGTAAGGTGTAATATAGAGGGGAGGGGTTGTGTTATAACTGCACTGAATTAAGGTAGAACCCCGTCGCCAATTTGTTATAACTGTAGGGAATTGGATGAAGACGTTTTCACCTTATTCTGTCTGCGCCTGAACTAATCTGCCTATCTGCTTGTCGTACCTTCCGACTTAGTAAAGCACGCAAATATCAAAAGACAAAGGCTGGACTGTGACTGTGTATTGAAGTGCAACAACGATAAAGAAAGCCATGGTATTTATACATTTTACAACAATATGGACAGCTAACAGCATTTAAAATAATTTATCTTAATAGCCAATAACCAAGTGCGTGAGAGATGATAATATACCATATGTGCGAGGTTGACAGTCAGTAACAAAATGCGTGGGAATGATAATATACCATATATACAAAATTAGCAGTCACTACCAAAATGTGTGAGAATGATAATATACCATATATAGAAGATTAAACAGTCAATACCAAAATATGTGGGATCCTATCAGGTTGACTAACTGGAAATTAGAAAAAAGAAGGGCGAAGAAGTTGGGATGACGTAATAAGTGTGAAAAAATGACTAATCAACATAATTGTGTAGTTTGACCACGGATTGATATCAGTTAAAGAACCATTGAAAACCAACAGGGAGTACTGGACAGTTGTGAATTCGTGACGAATGAAGTCCATCTAGTCGAGAGTGAGGATGGATTTCTCACAGATGACATTTGATGGTGCCAGTGGCGCTAAAATCACGTATTAGTAGAGGTTAGAATTCATGGACTGGCCATTGAGTCGGGTCCTTCCTAGTGGCTAGTGAATGGTATTCGAGCTTGTTTTGCAACCATAAGGTCCTGGGTTCGAACCGTCGTGGTGGGTGCGTACTTCTGTGGAAGAGTCCCAGGCACTATGACGAAACAGCTGGCTAGCTGTCCTGTACTCCCTGTTAGTTTTCCAATGGTTTTCTAACTGATATCAATCTGTGGTTAAACTAGAAAAACAAATCTGATCCTTACGAATCAACTGTTGGAAATAATTATGTAGAGTGGACAAGAACTAGTGGAAAGACGATTAAGTGTTATTATATAAAATCTGTATGAAAACGCAATGTTATTAATAAACAGTAATAGAGTGATTATAAAATAAGCATGATGAGAATTAAAGTGCCAATAAAATAATAATAATAATAAACCTACATAATAAAGTGAAGTAAAATTATAGTAAGAACGTTACTCTGGCCACGGTATGGCGAGTGAATGTATGTAGTGCTTTTGAATGCAGATTTCCTGTTTCAGGTTCTGAATAATCAATGATTCAGCTATGTACAGATGGCGTATTCGAAATCCCTTCGTACGGTATTGGAGGGGGGGGGGACTCTGCGTAATACTGTGAAGCATTCATGCCTAGGTGCTCGATGTCCAGAGTCGGCGAGGTGTTCGAAGATGGAGCTGCTAGTTTTCTTCTGTTTTCCTCTGGCTGGCTAGACAAACTGAATAGTGTTCCAGAATAAATTTGCGACCTTGACGTTGAGTACGGCCGGCATACTTTGCTCCACACGAACAAGTAAACAGAATTCAGTCTGCACGAAAGATAGGACTAGAGATACACACACACACACATACATTACACTAGTTACTGACTACTGTTCAGTCAAAAAACCGCTTCTACAGTTTACTGATTTTTTTAAAAATCTATAATTTCTTTTCATACAGGTTTATCTACTGAGGCTTGCCTATTGGCTCCTGGTCCAAAACGTAGTGATGATTTAACTATCCAATGGAAACGTCGTACAATATTAACTACAGAAGCAACTTTTCCACATTTACGTCGACGACTTGAAATAGTTCAAGTGACAGAAACTGATTTCACTCCAATCGACTCAGCAATAGATGCTATTCATGTAAGAATTAGCATTATTTCAGTAGTAGTCCAAATGATTTATTCTTATTTTATTCCCTTTTATGTTCTGAGTGCAACATAGGGCTTCAAGCTAGAGAGCTTTGAAAGTCTGGTAGCATTGGTTATTAGTTTTATGGAGTCGGGTTGCCAGCTTCACAATCAACGTTCTCTGTTTACAGGCCTTACCACAACTGACTTAGGGAGGTTTAGGAGTGCGTTTGTGGCTGAGGTTCGAACCCTGGACCACGTGGGTAGTGGTCATCAGGCATTCAACCGTTAAGCTAACGATGCCATTTTCTGATTTCTTCCATTTTTATTCCTGGTTGGGTAGAACTTTCAAGTTATATATTCTCCTAAAGAAGTGGTAAGCAGTCTGAAGTGGTGGTATTGTATTCTATCTTTTTAAGGAGAGAAGTGGTCGTTTACACAGTAAACCGTGCGCCGTATGTGCTTGATATCCATAACAATGCAAAATGCGTAGCTATGAACTGTTCGCTTAAGGCGTTGGAGTAATTATGACTCTCTTAAGGTAGAGTCGAATGCTTCATCATCTAATGAAGCGTCATCTGTTTCATACGTTGTCCAAACAAGGCATGTCGTGTATGTAGTGGTAGACGTGACACTCTGTGACCATCTTATACTTTTCTAACATTGGCGTCCCTATATGCACAAACCAATTGCCTCTGTTTGGCTACCTTGTCATTTCAGTGGAGTCTGGTGCTCTGAGTATCAGTGTAGAGAAACTTACCTCGGCATGAGTAATGGTTGAAACCAAGAGATGAGTTACGCGCGGTAGATGCCTCCACGTGTAAACCATTGGGGAGAGAAACCGGGAAGCCGGATCAGAGCTAAGATCTGTTGCAAGCATGAACAACGTTTGTGTCCAGCTAGCTCCACAGCTCAAACGAATCGGCCGAAAGGTCCTATGGAGCCTTATGTGAGATGCGGGGCTTCGGAGGACTGAGATCACGTAAACTTTGGGTGAGAGGGCTAGGGTCGGTTAACTTGTGACTCACAGTTGGCGGATGACCTTGGATGGCTTGGTTACTCTATCATAGATCGCTGGAAGGGCATTCGTACGATGACCAGTCTGAAGCAGTTTTTCATGCAGTAGGAAATGGATTGGCGGTAGAGATCTCGTTTCCATGAGTCAGGATAGGCTGTTTCCAATGCGCAAGAGTGCCTGGTTTGGTGTTCTCGATCTGGATTTGCTGGCTGGGATGCTCATAGATTGTTCTGGGACGTGAGAAGCAACATCTCAGTGAGTTGTTATAGAACTGCATCAGTCGCTGGAGAAGCTTTCATAAAAACACACACTAAACAGAAATAGAATATAAGTAGATGCATATCTGATGCTAAATAATACTATTAGATGTTTTAAGGTCCCATTGAAGATGAAACTAACCAACTAACAAGTTCAAGCATATATATACAGTTTTATGAGATGACTTGAAGCAGTTTATTGGGGATCAGTTTCATGCACCCTTTATAAAACTTGGGCACTGTTGTAGAACATAACTCGATTATGGATAAGATTTTATTTTGATAAACTGTCACACAGTGTTTGTTATACAGTAATATTAACTGATGACCACCTCTCAAGCACAAACTATTGCCACTCATAATCATATCAAGTTACTACCCACGCAACTTTTTTCCTTCATTTATATACATTTGTGGAATCGATTAGCTATTTGATTAAAAATCAATATGGGATAATGTACATTCAAAAGTAATAATAATATGAGTGTTATTGATCAATGACAATCAGATGGGAAATGAGACGAGTGTTTTTATGTAGTCATAATAAGTAACTTGTTAGAATGTTATGATGTATTTGAATTGAACTGAAATAGAACTTTAAGATTATTTAGTATCCTCTTCTGATTTGCCCGGCAGTAATAATATCTTCCATATTTCTGGTATTTGCATTGAGTCACTTCTATTGCATGTGTTGGTTGAAGGTGGACTCGATGAACAGGGATTCCGTAATCAACCTCTCGATCCACCTCCCTAGATTACTTTTTAGAATTTTAATCCTCTCCCACCATGCTATTGTGTGGTTTTGTGTTAATGGATGCATTGCAATTGCTGAGCTTTTTTCTAAATTACTTATCTTTGCGGATGGGGTCAACCATTCTTACCTTAGCTAAATTCTTATGTTCCGACAATCTGACTACCCCTGACCTACTAGTTTGACCCATTATAGTTGATCTCACAGTCATTGGAGGGTATTTTGTAAATTATATTATTTTGTCTAATTGGGACGATAATAAATAATCTTAAAGTTCTATTTCAGTTCAATTCAAATACATCATAACATTCTAACAAGTTACTTATTATGACTACATAAAAACACTCGTCTCATTTCCCATCTGATTGTCATTGATCAATAACACTCATATTATTATTACTTTTGAATGTACATTATCCCATATTGATTTTTAATCAAATAGCTAATCGATTCCACAAATGTATATAAATGAAGGAAAAAAGTTGCGTGGGTAGTAACTTGATATGATTATGAGTGGCAATAGTTTGTGCTTGAGAGGTGGTCATCAGTTAATATTACTGTATAACAAACACTGTGTGATTTTATCAAAATAAAATCTTATCTATAATGGACTTTATTGTCATTCTTCTCTGTTGTTAGACGGTAACAGGAATATAAACACTCACGACTTCATTTGTGTACCTCTCACTTTTATAAGGTGGTCTTTATTCACTAAAATTTGAATAATAAGCTCTGTGGGCTAATTGTCTGATACTCAGATGTCTAATATTTGAGATCATAAAGAACATCATTGAGAATACTTCACATCCAACAGATGTTGATAACTACAGTGTCTTTTCTGTGACTATTGTTATTATTATTTTTCTTTTGTTGGTTATTTTACAGTGTAAAAATCAAGAATTGATGAGTCATGTTATAGCATTACGCAATAATTCAACAGCTTTCAATAATTCAGGTAAGCCATGCATGATTTAACAGTATTCTGCTCACCTTACTAACTAACTAACTAACTAACTGATCAGTTGTCGAGTAGTAGTTTGTAGAAATCTGATTTCTGAAATCACAGTCAATCAGAATACTTTGATGTAGTTGTGTTCTCTGAGCTGGATAGTTTATTTGCGAAGCTTTCATTGCCTCACCCACTAGGCAACATCTTCAGCACGCATACTTCAATTTCTTGAAGTGAGCTTTTAGATTTCTACATGAGTTTACTATTAGTCATCTCTCCTGGAGACCTTGAACGTGATTGGTTGTTTTTGTGTGTTTTCACACACTTGTTACACTACTTGTATTGTAACTGATTGTCTCCTTGATTTGAACAGAGGGTGAACTTTGTGTGTGAGGTTTCCTTCTTATCGGTTGATAAATTTTCTGTTGTCTATCTCGATGTGTCTATTGATTGACGATTCACTGGAATACCAGGAGGGCTTCTAAAAATTCTCTAACACTCTCGGTGTTTCCTTTGTTTAATATTTGAACGTTGTCCCAGTCGAATTGATGTCCGTAGTTGTCTGTATGTAGTGATATGAGCGAGGGAGTGGATATCATGTCTTTTAACGGCTAGCTTATGTTCGTGAATACGAAGACGAAGGGGACGTCCACTTTGGTCAGTAACGACGAACACCTTGGACAACAATCAAAAGTGCAACACACAAGTTGGATGGAATGCATAAACCTATGCCTAAAAAAGTACTTTCAGTTAAACGGCTAAGTATATGAACAAGTTAAAAGAACACCCATGGGATCGCCAATATCAGGTGTGATTGCAGAAGCAGTGATGCAAAGGCTCGGAAACATAATCCTAGCGAAGATCAAACCCAAAATTTGGATACGTCACGTAGACAGAAGAAGGGCATATCTACCAAAAAGCTTATGTCTAAAGGGAACAAATGCTTCAAACAGTGTCATCGCCAGACATCTCCTCGACACGAGTCATGAGGTGGACGTCGTAAAGTCGTTCAAAATTATCAATAGGCAAAAGAGTTCAATTCTCCTCAAGTTTGTTGAAGCCATTTCCATCAAGTACCTGAAACCTGATTTATGCGTCCAGAAAGAAGCGGTTATCAGTCTTTCTTTTCCCTGGTAACTGGATATCTTCATCTCGCTTTCATTTGAATACGTAATGCCGAAAGATGGTACCACTTTATTCTGCAAAAACTGTGGTTCTTGCTTTGTTCATATTCATTAAGGGGGGGGAATAAATGTATGAAATAAATTGATTTCATTGACAGATGTAGGACAGTTGTGTGTTGATTGGGACGGGGAGAGGTAAAGATGTTCGCCGGCTGGCAATCGAACCCTTGAGAGCATCTTACTGCTGAGCCACCGATACACAATAATATATATATATATATATGCTGTTTATCATCCAACATCGTCAATGAGTAGGCATATCATTTTTTATACTTGTCATCTGTCAGCATCAATTGTGTTGAATAGTTCCAAACTTTGAGTTTAAGCGCCCTCCTATTTGATATGCCTTCTAGCCTATATTGTATATCAGTTTAAATGAGTCATTTAACCCAATCAAAGGTTAAACAACCGTTATGCTCTTTTCTTCTGTTATTCTCCCAGCCGATAACTGCTACCTTGTCATGGTGGTCGGGCTTGAATACCGTAATGACCCAAGATGATAAACTGACTGGGACTCTGTCCCTGCAGGTCCTACCATGTCAGGAAGGTTGTTTGGATAGCGGTTAAACTAAAAGCAGTTACCATGGGTTACATGGGCTCCAGTATCCAATCGGATCAAATGGCGTATGAACCCATATGGGTCACCGGAAACCATGGGAATGCGGCTCCTGACGCTGCTCCACTGCCTTGGGGATTAGACTCCAAGTCAAAGGCTCCGGGGGTGGTCCCTTAGTAAAACCACCTGCTTCGGTCTGGGCGCCCGGGCAGTATCTCAGCCCTCACACAATGAATTGAATGAAGCAACAAACAATCAATGAAACTTATCGCGTTCTATTACACGTGTTACAATTTCCTTCTTTCTTCCCTTCCCGATGATAGTTAACGAATACTGTTTGAACTTATTAAGCATGACTGTTTTCCTTCCAGATGAAGTTCTTTATCCGTTCTCTACTTATATATATTTTTTCTTTTCCTTCCTTCCTTTTTTTTTGATCTATGTTGTTTTATTATTATTGTGTGGGGCGCATCCTTCTTGGTGCCATATTGTACCAAGTTTTTATGTGTTTAAATAAATAAATAAATTCTGTTATTCTTCTCCTTTGATTTTGTGTCATATTAGGTAATTCAAATGATGGAAGTGTCGATAAACGGATCTCTGTCAGTTTAATCGGTTTACATTCACCAGTATTGACTGGAAACACGATTTCAGTGAATAATCAAAATAGTACCAGTCAGAACAATAATTCTAATACAACAAATAACAACAGCAACAGCACTAGTAATAATAATGCAAGAAACAAGCAGACAAACTCTCGTATTCCCCTATTAATGGATATGCAACTACAAGGTGCTCTACTACCTACAGTCAATGCTGGTCCAATGGCCTACGCTCAAGCCTTTTTAAAGATAGAAAATCAATCACTTTATCCTAGCTGTAAAGTTAATCGATTAAAGGAGCTATTTTTGTAAGTTTATATTTAGTTGTTTGCTTTTTTTTGGACATTTATTTAACTTTGAATTATTTGTAATGTTTTTTTTTGTTGTTGATAGTTTTTGGTTTCTATCTGAAAAACTTTTGACACGAGTTTTTCTGTGCATATTGGATGGTGGGAAAAGAGGCTAGTTCCATATTAGTTTGTTTGTCAGTGAAACAGCATTATCATTTACTGGATGATAATGTTTCGAACAAAACTTATTGTTCATAATCATATCAATTATAGTCACACGACTTCGAAACTTGAGTTTTATGGTTTTCTTTGTTTTCTCCTATTTATCGCCGTTGGGTTAGTAGAATTTTCCAGATATCCTGGCGGAGAGATGTTGAATCATTCCTATTACACATATTTTGATTCAGTTGATTCGATGAACAAAGCTTCCGTTAACAATCTCTCCCTCCAACCTATGTCATTAGATTTTGAAACTGTCATTGTAAGCGCAATATCGCTTAAAATTAAGTCACGCGTAGATAAAGGCTATCCCGGTCCAGAACAAACAAGAAACCGGTCACTGTTTCTACGGTACTATTAATAAACAAATCAATAATTATACATATACAACAAACCTTAACGGTCTCAAGAGTACAAAGCACAATGCTTAACAGAAAGCAAGGTATCGCTATCAAAGCGGAACAACGTTAAAGCCAAAATTGTGAACTAACCGGAATCAGACACGACCGTTCAGGTAAGCAGTCAGTAGAAGAATGAACCCAAGTAAGGCATGGCATAAAACAGAGAGCGGTTAAGAGATAGACCGAGCATAGGCACAAAGATAGAATTCAATTGGCTACTTTACCAGGTAGGCTGATACAGATGAAGATCAATAAATAAGATAAACTCGACAGAATAGTACAAAGTAGGACATGGATCAGCAAAAATAACAGTTCACAAAATACTCTGATTGGGTCATGAGTTCAACTATCTGACTAAACGGGTCAAGGTAAAAACAAATACACACAGTTCATTAAACAAGGTGGGATAGACACGTTAGGCATGGATAATTGGGTTGCAACAACGCTAGGCTGATCCGGGACAGGTTGACCTGATTTAGGGATGGGAATTGATCTTACAGTCATCTTATCCCATCATATGGTTGTGTGCAATTGCATGTAGCGAGTGGTGTAGCTGAACTATTCTCTAGATTTCTCATCTTATTTGGGTCAACCAATCTAGATTTTGCTAGGTCTGACCTGACAATCATTGTGCGTCGGTGGCACAGTGGTTAGGACTCTCGCCGACCATGGACATAGTCCGGGGTTCGAGCCCACGCCAGCGCACACCTGATATCTATGGTCGGCCTGCGAAATTTGGGCTTCCGATATTCACTCTGAAAATTCCATACATGTACCAAAAATACGGTGTGGAATCAAGCTGTAATCAAAAATAAAAATTAAAAAAAATAATTAAAAATAAAAATAGACAGGGTATTAAATGAACTGAATTGTTTTACTTTAAAGGCTCCACAGGATTGAACCCTTAATCGACAAAGCTTGTTTCTAATTGAGTTTGTGGGTGGTTTGAATGGCAGCCACGTTTATTCCTGCCTTGTTAAAAATTCTGCGTAAGGGTTCCTTCCTTGGAAGGAATTACTACTGATGATTTAGATTCCTTATTGTTGGTGTTGTCTTGCGCATATTTGACATGCATATCGTTATTATTATTTCTACTACTATTACTATTATTATTATCACTATCACTACTATCATTATTTATTTTATTTTTACATTTCCCTACATACTTTCCGACTAATTTATCAAGGTAGTTATTAAGTTTCAAGGCTTCTCTTATATGCCTCACTTCCTGTCTTAGATTTTCCTTGGTACCACTTGGCTTTTGTGTTCTATTATTTAAACATTTCACTAATCCTATTTTTACTGAAATAGGATGGGATGATCGGCAGTCCAAACATCTGTTTAAATGTGTGTGTGTACTTCCTGTAAACACACCACTTTGTGTTTAACCTCCTATCTTCTTTTCTTTTTTACTCTGCAGTCTAACATTGGAAGTTCTCCTTGCTGACTTTCTGACTTTAATCTTCTTTGTGAGGTAGACGTGGTAATGCATTGAAGTATGCTGAGTATTTTGTCATTGTTAGATGAAGAAGAAATCGATTGTCTGAAGTCTAACCATTCCTGATTGTTGTTGTTGTTTTTTTGATCCTGTAAACTATTGATCTTATCATATTGATTTGTTTGTTATCGCTTGTATTGATGAATGGATGGATGAGTAGAATTCTGTTTGTTTTTATCCTGGGATTTCTTTTTCAATAAATTGCCTTTTGACCTTTTTCTCGATTTTGTTTGTTTCTTTTTTTTCTTAACTGTGTATTGAATTCTTAATTATTTGCCTAAATTTTCTGAGTTTATGATTGGATGAGCTTTTTTTTGAAATGCTTTCATTGGGGATAGAATTTGTTTTGATACAGTTTCACAGTGTTATACAGTAAGTGATATTTACTGATGACAACGTTTTGAGCACAATCTATTGTCGGTCACAATCATCATATCAATCACATCAAGGTACTCACACAACTTTCCCATTTCTCAGATAGAAAGCAGTACACCGTATATAAAGGGAAGTCTTCCACTTCATTGCCTACTGAAGCTGGTGTCCCTCAAGGCGCTGTTCTTTCTCCTTTTCTTTTTTCTTTCTTCTTACATGACTTGCCTCACCCTGGTGAAATAAACTTTGTGAAGTACGCTGATGATTTAACGGTTTCAATGGCTGTTAACTCCCAGCTAGATTGTACCAAAATAAATAGCTTTCTATCGGGAGTCAGCAAATGGTCTGAGTCTAACGGTCTTAAACTGAATCCTTCTAAGTGTCAAACTATTGATTTCAGCCTAAGATGTAAACGACAGTTAAAAGAAGTCATCGATTCTCATGACAGTTGTAAGATTGACGACAATGATATAGGAATCCAATCAGAAATTAAGTATCTTGGACTCATTCTCTCTTCTGATCTCTCCTGGTCTTCCCATGTCTTAGCAATCTCCAGTAAAATATTCTGCCTGACATTTTACATTAAGAAGTTAAGACACTCGGGTATAACTCAACCCTACCCGCCTCTTACAGTTCATAAACTCTTGCGTCCTACCTATTCTTCTTTATTGTTCACCCTTATTCTTTCCTGGTTTGCTTAAAAAGGACTATGTCACAATTCGTAGAATACTAAAGACTGTTAGTCAGTAGGGTGAGTGGTGTCCCAGTGGATCACATAGTTAACGTCGTTGTCGATAGGCACTTGACTTCATGCAATAAATTTGCTAAATGGATTTTGTCTGACTTGGAACATCCGCTTCACCCTCCCTCAGCTTTCACCTTGCATCTCCTCAGGTGGAACAAGGAGTAACTTCAGAAAACTGTATGCTCGCACGTCTAAGTATAGAAATTCTATGATACCATACTTGGCACGTATTTTATGTGATGAAAATAGTGTCAGGCAAGAATTAACTAACCTTTTTTCATCTAGTAAATAAACAATTTCCTCCATCCATCCTTATATACCTTCAAGTTTTACTTTTATTACTTCTATTATATTTATGGTCCTGTTACTTCTCTGTTTTACTCTCATAATTGCAAGCACCAACTTATCTCCATGACGGCTGTAATCTTTAATTTCCCCTCACCATATCATGTAAAGAGAACATTATATTCAATACTTTTAAACATGTTAGGATTTCTATACCACATTGCCAATACTGTGTGACACAAGCCAACGGCAATTTTCACTTGTATTCTTATTATTATTATTACCCTAGCTGTTATCATTATTATTGCTATTTCCATTTTATATGCTGCATGTTTTTGACACTACCTCTACTGTAAATGTGGAAAATTTTCTGTGTGATTAATTTTATTTATAAATTGAGGAAATTAGATGCAGTAATATTGTGATTAATGCTGAAAATTCCATTCTGTATCACAAGTACTGTTTTTGGAATAAAGTAAATCATTATTAGTTTATATGGTTCTGTTATTTCTTATCTCTTAATTTGATCGGTAGTAATATTTGCCAGTGCGTCGGTAGCACACAGGGGTTAGGACGCTCGCCGACTATGCACATGGTTCAGGGTTCTGTCCTCAGCCACAGACGCACTCCTTTACCTCTCGAAACCAGTAATAAAGCTGGTAAAAAGGAAAGGTTGGGTATGAGGCTAGCAACCCCCATCCTGTAAAAATGAACACTGATACAGAAACTTCAAGCCCGTAGTTTGAAGACCTGTTTTCCACTGGGAAAGTGAAGGAATAAAAAAACTATTTTCCATATTCCTGTTATGAGTGATGAGTCATTCCTGACACACAATTTGGGTGTAGATTCGATGAATAAAGATTCAGTAATCAACCTCTCTCTCTATATATATCCACCTACTTATATTACATTTTAGAATTTTAACTCTCTCCCATTCTGTTGTGTGATTGTGCGTTGTTAATGCTTGCAGTGCACCCGCTGAGCTTTTTTTTCTAAATTCCTTATCTTCTCGGGGGGTGGGGGGGTCAATCATTCGAACCTTACCTAAACTCTTATGTTCTGACAGTCTGACTACCCCCATTCTACTAGTTCCACCTATGTATTTTGCGATATTCACACCCATTGTAAGGTTTTTTTTAAATTATGTTTTTTGTCTAATTGGGTCAACAATGCCTTATACATAAGCAGGGGATTTAATTGGTGGATGATGACTAACCGTGAAATCCAGGATGCGCATTTCGCGTCCTATCTGGGACTCGTCATCTCGATGTACCCGCATTCCCCAGTGAGTGATGCAGGTACATCCAGTGACAAGTCCCAAATAGGACGAAATGCGCATCCTGGATTACACTGCTAGTCACCACCATCCACCAATTACATTCTAATTGCATGCCCAGGCATCGTTGAATTATCTGCACAAGAAGCCATCGGATATGTCAACCTGATACCGAGCACTTCAGTCCAACGAGAATCGATGGGAAAATCTAAATTTCAATTA